ACTTTAAATTGGGGATTTTAACCTCAAATTGTAGATTCTAATCTCAAGTTGTAGATTCTAAACTTAAATTAGGGATTCTAACCTCAAATTGTGGATTCTAACTTCAAATTGTGGATTCTAACCTTAAATTGTGGATTCTAACTTCAAATTGTGGATTCTAATTTCAAATTGTGGATTCTAACCTCAAATTATGGATTCTAATCTAAAATTGTGGATTTTAACCTCAAATTGTGGATTATAACTTAAACTTGTCTATTTTAAACTCAATTTGTGGATTTTAATCTCAAATTGTGGATTCTAAGCTCTAATTGTGCATTCTAACCTCAAATTGTGAATTCTAACCTTAAATTGTGGATTCTAACTTCAAATTGTGGATTCTAATTTCAAATTGTGGATTCTAACCTCAAATTATGGATTCTAATCTAAAATTGTGGATTTTAACCTCAAATTGTGGATTATAACTTAAACTTGTCTATTTTAAACTCAATTTGTGGATTTTAATCTCAAATTGTGGATTCTAAGCTCTAATTGTGCATTCTAACCTCAAATTGTGAATTCTAATCTCAAATTGTAGATTCGTGTCTCAAATTGTGGATTATAACTTAAAATTGTCTATTCTAAGCTCAAATTGTGGATTCTGGCCCCAAATTGAGTATTCTTATCTCAAATTGTGGATTCTAATCCTAAATTGGGAATTTTAACCTCAAATTATGGATTCCAACCTCAAATTATGGATTCTAACCTCAAATTGTGGATTATGACCTCAAATTGTGGATTCTAACCTCAAATTGTGGATTTTAACCTAAAATTGTAGATTCGATCTCAAATTGTGGAATCTAATCTTAAATTGGGGATTCTAACCTCAAATTGTGGATTTTACTTTTAAATTGTGGATTCTAACTTCAAATTGTTGATTCTAACCTCAAATTGTTTTTTAACCTCAAATTGTGGATTTTAGCATCAAATTAAGGATTTTAACCCAAAATTATTGCTTCCTTACCTCAAATTGTGTCTCAAAATCCACATAATGAATCATTCTTGCACAAGTCCCTCAAAATCAAGATTACTAGTCACTTGAAACATTCAAAACAAATCCCACTTAATCACAAAAATTAATGATTTATTAACTTTTTAAAATTCGTTCAAGAATTTTAATCACCAGGTATTTAAAATATTTTTGTTTCAATTATTAATGACTCTAGATTAACATTTAATGTAGCTTTTAATTTGTAGTTTAACTATCTCTGATTTATTGGCATCATCATTGGGTTTAATGAGTTGAAATAAATTGAAAAATCATTAAGTGAAATATTGAAGTTGGATGTAAATTGTGATTTAAATTGTTGAAATTGAGACAATTTTCATAGGTTTTGAGATTGAAAGCTGAAAGCTGAACTCAGAATGAATGTTGCGGTCTCGATCTAATCAATCAAGATAAAACTGACCTAAAACCCTCTAACATCATCCCTAACATGCAATTCAGCTACATCTACAGCGTTACGAACCCTAAAACTCATCCTTAATCACATTCAATCCTAAAATCAATTAACCATCAAATTCTAAAGTCAACTTAAACGACAAAATAAGCAAAAAATTTGACAAAACAGAATTCTCTTCGAAAGTAAACAAAAAATCCATTTAAAATATGCAAACAGGCACCTGTACAACTAGAATGCTGTCAAGGTCATCAACTCAAATACCTTTTTTTTTTTCAAGAATATTTTGAGTATTTTCGATTTGTTGACTGGCAAATGAGTTATTAATATTGAGACATAAGATGATATGTGGACGGGAGAATAAGATAGAAAAAGGTAGTTGAAGTCATAAAGAAAATAAAGGCAGCTGTCATATCATTGAATTTGTAATGAGTAAGTAAATATAAGCAGGCAGCTCAATTGTGGGATCATTTGAAGTAGTTTGAACTGTTTTAAATGTGTTATTGTTGTGAGTCGTGCGGGTATGGATGGTTAAGTGTCATTTTGTAGGTTAGGATTCACATTTTTGAGGTTAAGTTTCACATGTTTGAGGTTAGGATTCACATATTTGAGGTAAGAGTTTCTTTAAATGATGCAGAAGAGGTTAGAATCCAAACTTTAAGCTATTTGAACCAACTTTGACATTAAAATTCGGTTTTGACAACTTAGTCAGTTGCTAAATCGACCCTAACCTCAAAACTAGCTCCTAAACCATTCCAACAAGTTCAAAACTTAATGGTTTAATACAGCGGTGCACTACCTTTTTGATTCACATTAATTTTGCCTAAAGACATGACAAAAACTCATTTTATATGACTTTTCGAATTTGTGTGCCGCGGCACATGGGTTGACCATCACTGGCTTAAGCTATTGAACATCAATTACATTTCCATTAGTAAATTAAACTTTCATTATCCAATAATAAGTCGAAAAGAAAGTGCTGATTTCAGTTAAGAAAGACATTAAATGAACCGAATACAAATAATTATAGCCAGAGGTCATTAATGGGTAATAATGAGTATCATGCTCAATTTTTGCGAGATTACTATAGTTCGATATTGGATATGGTTTAATTTTGAAATGATATAAGTTTCAATTAGGGATGTTGGTGTAATTTAGACTGTAATTGGATGTTGAAATTGATGGTTTTTGGTTTGGCTTGACTTGTTTTTGAAGTTTTGAGTTGTAGGTTGCTTTTTTTTCAGGAATCATGAGCTAGGTACTCAATATTCATCAGGGCACTGTTGGACAAACTTTTTTGAGCCATGACACATCTGAATGGTAAGCCATGACCAAAGTCGCACACAGTATGTGGCTCGTGGCAGTTTCAAAAAGTTTCTACGGCACACCACTGTGTCGCGGCACACATTTTGGACAACACTGCACTAGAGTATTCTTAAAGAGACTCTAGTCAATGCTAAAGAGCCCCAAACTCTTGATTATTGATGTTTCTCAGCCAAATCTTCCAAAACCAAGGCAAATCTTCCAGAAATGTGTCCCGAAAGCCAAACATTCCCAAACCATAACCAGTAAAGTCCCAAACATTAATAATCCCATGCAAAACAATGAATCATCACAAAACGACTCGAGTCAAGAAAGTCAAGACGACGACTTCATGCTGCATGTTTTTATTGCTCTTCACTTAATTGCTTGAACTTCTTCTTAGCAATTGTTATGTTATTGTGAGCCTCAAGATGTTCAGTTCTTTTGCAGGATGTTGTAAGGTAATTAATTTTACTTATTTTAATAAAAAGTATGTTGTGAATGTTGTTGGTGGCTGCATTTAAAATTTTGGTGTGAAAATGTGGAAAATGACAATTTTTTGGATTATTTAATTGAAATTGGAGCTCAAAATGACTTGAATTGTATAAATTTGACACTTGATTAAAGAAGGTTTGCATCTAGGAGTCGTGACTTACTAGTTTGAGGAGCTAGCTTCAATATTTTGAGTCTAGATGATTAAAACTCTTCTTAGTTCCCTCTGGCTGCACTCAATGGAGTAAATTTGACAATATTTCATTCGAAATTCATCAAAAAAGTGTTAAAAATACCAAAAAAATCAACAATCAAGTCTCAATAATCGATTAAATCACTTCGCACACCTCAAACTATTACCAAATTCCGAATTAAACCTAACGAAAAAATTACATCAAAACCTTAATTGACCCACAATTAATAACAATTTTTTCATTTAAAATTCATAATAACTCAAGCCTTTTGATGACTCAAGCGGACTGCAATAAAGACAGACTTTAATAAAATAATAATAATTAAACTATCATAAAACTAAGTATAAATTGATGGAGTATGTAATCAGTCATGAATTGAGCAAAAATATAAAAATGTTGAAAAAAGAGTTTGAAAAAAAAATTATTATTTTTATATAGAAAGTTTTTTTTATTACAAAATTCATTTTTAATTATTTTGCATGTAAAAGTTGAGTTTTTTGTGATTATTGCGTGAGGCTGGTTTGTGCATAATTTATGGAGTTATTTTTGGATATGAATGAATTTTTGAGATGTAATGATAAATCGAGTTGGAAATTTAAAAAGTAATTTTTTTTTAAAAATCAAAAAATAGATTTTTCAAAAATTTCAAAAATTAATTTTTCATTTCAATATAATTTTAATTTTTTAAGAGAATAAAAAATTGAAATTTTTTAAGAAAATAAAAAATTGAAATTTTTTAAGAATATAAAAAATTGAAATTTTTTGAGAATAAAAAAAATTGAAATCTATTAAAAATCAAAAAATTTAAATTAAAATAAATAAAAAGATTGAAATATTTTAAAAACAAAAAAATCAAAATTTTTAAAAACCAAAAAATTGAAATATTTTAAAAACAAAAAAATCAAAATTTTTAAAAACCAAAAAATTGAAATATTTTAAAAACAAAAAAATCAAAATTTTTAAAAACTAAAAAATTTAAATATTTTAAAAACAAAAAAATCAAGTTTTTTAAAAATCAAAAAATTGAAGTTTTTCAAAATCAACATTGAACCCCCTCAAAAAATGTAATCTTCGCACCCGTGCATCCCAGAACCAACCCAGCACCCCCATTTCCTCTAAACACCTCAAAAGAAAATTTCATATCGATTTCTTTAACATTATAAAAGTGAAAATCAAGTCGCACTCTCAAAAAAACTAGAGTAAGTCAAAGCAACAAAACACCAAACTTATGCGTCAAGTAATTAACATCAAGACAAGAAGTAGAAGAAAACAAGTCAAAAAGCAGCCGAATCTTCTGCAGCAAAAAAAAAGTTGTGACACACAAAATAAAAAAAAATTGTTAATTAAAATTGCCAACAAGAAGTTAAAAAAAAGCAGAGAAAAAAATGTAGAAAACGTAAAGTTGATGTGTTGATGGTTTGAAGAATCTTACTCGTGCGGCTTACCATGGCCGCAAATGGAATCTCAACATCGGGCAACACTCGATTAAGAAAAAAATATAAAAAAAAATTTCTCGCAAATGTGAAATTTTTTCTTATCAGAAATTTTTTAAAATCGACGGCAAAATTCGACTCACCTCAAATAAAATGAATCATGTTGAGTCACTTGACGGAATTGTTTAAAATTATTTTTTTTTAAATCCACAATTTTAATTATTTTTTTGTTATCACAAAATTCACTTTTTCCAACTTTCTTTTCTGCTTTTTTCTAGATTTTTTCAACTTTCAAAATTCCACAAATTTTTTTAAAATTATTTTTTCACTTTCAATTCTCAACTTTGAGTCACAAAAACTCGAAATTTATGTTCGAAATAGTCACAAAATAATTTTTTTATTATTTTTTTCGCCTCCGACTAAAAAAGAGTTTTGAATACGTTGGCACTTACACACGAAATGATCGACTTGCTTTCTTGTTTCCCACACTTTGTTGGCAACTTCCAGTTGACTACTTATTTTTACACAATCTTTATTGTTTGTGTGTTACCTGTGCATACGCTTAAGTGGATGGGTATGCAGGTAGGTCGTGATTGTATTGAATGCTGCATGTGTGCCTGTGGGCTTGTTACTTTTGTGTATTGTGGACTTTAAGTGGATCTTGTGACTGTATTCTTAGATATAACAGACATTATACCGCACTGTCGAACAGTTATGATGTTAAATTCCTATTAAATATTTAGATTTGTGTCTTTTGTGTTGGATATTGTAATAAAGTGAATGTTTAGGTGCTGAAGGAATTAATAAGAATGTAATTGGTTAGCGGTTCGAAAGCCGACTTTTAAGGAAATTGTGTGAAAAATTTATTTTTTTTTCAAATTAATTCTAATATTTCACCTTCGAAATACAAAAATTATGTTTTCAAAATTCTAAATTTTGACTTTCAAAAATCAAATAAATCACTTTCAAAATTCAAGAATTTCACTTTCGAAAAACAAATAATTCATTTTTGAAAATCAAATAATTAACTTTCGGAAATCAAAAATTTCAATTTCAAAATTCAAATATTTTAATTTCGAATTCAAAAATTTTTTTTAGAATCACGAAAAAATCAAGAATTTCCCTTTTGAAACTTGAGTATTTCACTTTCAAAATTCAAAATTTCACTTTCGAAAATCAAGAATTTCACTTTCGAAACTTAAATATTTCACTTTCGAAAATCAAAAATTTTAATTTCGAAATTCAAATATTTCACTTTTAAATTCAGAATTTCTTTTTCGAGAATCACGAATTTTACTTTAGAAATTTAAATATTTCACTTTCGAAATTCAAGAGTTTTATTTTCGAAATTTGAATATTTCACTTTCGAAATTTGAAATTTCACTTTCAAAAATCAATAGTTTTTTTTTCGGAAATCAAAAATTTCAATTTCAAAATTCACATATTTTAATTTCGAATTCAAATTTTTTTTTCAGAATCACGAATTTTACTTTCGAAAAATCAAGAATTTCCCTTTGGAAACTTGAGTAATTCACTTTCAAAATTCAAAATTTCACTTTCGAAAATCAAGAATTTCACTTTCGATACTTAAATATTTCACTTTCGAAAATCAAAAATTTTAATTTCGAAATTCAAATATTTCACTTTTGAATTCAGAATTTCTTTTTCGAGAATCACGAATTTTACTTTAGAAATTTAAATACTTCACCTTCGAAATTCAAAATTTTCACTTTGATAATTAGAAAATATCATTTTCGAAATTCAAATATTTCACTTTCGAAATTCAAGAGTTTTATTTTCGAAATTTGAATATTTCACTTTCAAAATTTGAAATTTCACTTTCAAAAATCAATGGTTTTTTTTTGGAAATCAAAAATTTCAATTTCGAAATTCACATATTTTAATTTCGAATTCAAAGTTTTTTTTTAGAATCACGAATTTTACTTTCGAAAAATCAAGAATTTCCCTTTGGAAACTTGAGTAATTCACTTTCAAAATTCAAAATTTCACTTTCGAAAATCAAGAATTTCACTTTCGATACTTAAATATTTCACTTTCGAAAATCAAAAATTTTAATTTTGAAATTCAATTATTTCACTTTTGAATTCAGAATTTCTTTTTCGAGAATCACGAATTTTACTTAAAAAATTTAAATATTTCACTTTCGAAATTCAAGAGTTTTATTTTCGAAATTTGAATATTTCACTTTCGAAATTTGAAATTTCACTTTCAAAAATCAATAGTTTTTTTTCGGAAATCAAAAATTTCAATTTCGAAATTCAAATATTTTAATTTCGAATTCGAAATTTTTTTTGAGAATAACGAATTTTACTTTCGAAAAATCAAGAATTTCCCTTTGAAAACTTGAGTAATTCACTTTCAAAATTCAAAATTTCACTTTCGAAAATCAAGAATTTCACTTTCGATACTTAAATATTTCACTTTCGAAATTCAAAATTTTCACTTCGAAAATTAGAAAATATCATTTTTGAAATTCAAACATTTCACTTTCGAAATTCAAGAGTTTTATCTTCGAAATTTGAATATTTCACTTTCGAAATTTGAAATTTCACTTTAAAAATATCAAGAATTTCTTTTTCGAAACTTCACTTTCGAAATCCAAATATTTCACTTTCGAAAGTTAAAAATATTACTTATGAAATTAAAAAAATTAATAAATTGCAAAAAACTAGCTCAAAAATTCCATCGATCAACAAGAACCCTAATAACTTTAAAGTTACTATAGTAATGCAATTCCACAAACATTCATCCACACCAACACCATCACAATCTATATCCACAATCTACCTATATAAAGCTACAACCTCACACAATCCAAAAACTATTCAACTTACCACCACAACCTCAACAAAAGTCAACTTGTGCCTGTATTTCACATTCCTTTACATTTCCAACCTGTTCGTTTATTTTGATTTTGTATTCTTATCGTCATAAATGTTATTGATCGCGACTATAAAATTCCTGATTAGGTACAGAATGTTAAGTCTTTAATGACTTTTTTTTTACTTTATTTTTATTTATCGCCAACAGATTATGATGTTTGTGGTGATGATTACGGCATCTTGTACGATGTGCACACATTGGCATGGCATTTTTTGTGGGGAATTGATACCATGTTGTTGTACAAGAAGTAGTTGAAGCTGTTGAAACTGAAGTATGCGATCGGAATTGGAGATAAGGTTGTGGAAAGATGAATGGAAGGGAATTTGTTGTGTTGGGATTGAGTCTTGAAGGTATAGTCGCAGTTTTTAGTGAAAAGTTGGATTATTTTAATAATTGGTATCCTAGTCTGAATTCAAACTCAAAAGATCAAAGGGGTAATTCACAAATGATGTCCAAAATAAAATGTAAATTTTCAAAAAGCAAAAGAAAAGAATCTATGACGTCATTTATGAACAACCCTTAGCGAAAAATTCTAGAACTTTACATCATTAATAAAGTTGATTCACACAGCATACATTTAGTCAGCTTATTTCAAATATAGCGTAACAGGTTGTCTTATCAATTGTACCTTATCATTCCTTTTTTTGTTATTAGATAACTCAAAGTTATATTTCACAAATTATCACGAATAAATTCCAATTGGGTTTCGTATTTATTTGGTACAACTTAATCTAAGATCCAAAATGGTGGAGGGGGATTTGAAGAAGGGGGAAAATTTTTTGTTTTTTTGTATGGAAAACTTTTAGGGGGGGGGGGGGGGGGATTTTTTCGAGCATTTCATAAAAAGTCTAGCAAAATTAAGAAATTTCTCAAGACGAAGAGGGATTTGTCCCCCAATTTCCTCCCCCCCCCCTGGCTACGCGCCTGGAAGGGGGGGGGGGGGGGAGATGTCGAAACCAGACATTTAACAGACAAGATTTCAATTCTTTTCAATGAACCTCCATGGACATAACTGGGAGACAAATGAGACCCGTAGCTGCGCCTACTTGAAATCTCCTCCCCCCCCCACCTTGCTAATTACCCCTGTAACATTATTTTTTTAAAAGCAGAACAGAGGTCGTTTGATTGTTACGTCTGATTTTTCAATCATTCTCCCCCCCCCCCCCCTCTTCTGCTCCTGCTTTGTCACAAAATATCTTTTTGTGTTTTTCTTTGGTTTGTATTGTTAAAATCCTAGTAACCCTTTCCTCTTAATCCCCCCCCCCCTACCCCCTGCCACTTCATTATTTTTCAAACTTTTTAAGGCCGCGGAGAATGAAATCATTCGCTAATGTTTCTTAGGTAAGCTTGCAACCACTATTGACCCATCTAGAAGCCATTTTTAGCAGAGTTAAAGCTCTATGGAGCATAGTTTGAGAAACACTGCCATAATGGTACCAAAATGACAATATTGATCGCTCAGAACCACTTTCTTGGTCTGAAAAACCGTCTGGAGGGGGGGGGGGGGGGTGATTTAAAAACAAATCCCCCGACGTAAACAGGAATTTCTTCATTTTGCTAGGAGTTTTTTGAATAAAAGACCCCCGCCCTTCCCTCTGAATTTTCCATAAAAAATTTGTTTGTCCCCCTCTTCAAATTTTTGGCTACGCCCCTGCATTGAAGCTAATTTGATGCTCAGATCTTCTAAGCAATAATTGGAGTACTACTTAATCAACTTCGCCTTCCACTGAATGATCAACTAGTTACTACATCAACCAAAAACAAGCTTCTAATCCACAAAAAAGTTAAAAAAAAATGCCCAGAACAAGATTTCTTTCCTCAGCTGTACGTGATAAAAATAAATTAAAAAAATCATTTCAAAGTGTTTTTTTTTCTTGTGTTAAAAAGAAATAAATTAAACGAAAGTTATCATGCGATTACTCATTCATCCACTCAAGATAGCTGTTTCATTCCGTTTCATTAGTATTATTTATTAGAAATAATTTGCTGCGGTATCTATTGAGGCAGTATGAATAGAAAATGTACACTTTTTTTTTGCGAGTGTCGTTGTTGGTATTTTATCAGTTCTGATATCAGAAGCTCTCGTACGTGATGGTTGGATGTGTGTTGAGCCGAGATGATGATGATGATGCGATGTGATTCTAAGTTTGATTCATTGATAGGATGTCCATCGGTTTATGCCGATTTTTGGTCAAAAAGCGGGGCATGTCTTGATTTCAGCTCTGAAAAAGCGGGGCAGACCAAATTTTCAGCCGGGACTGTCTCGTTTAAAAATTCAAATTTGGACAGCTTATTCATTGAAGACAGTTCAAATGCTAAAATAGTTAAAATTCGTAATTTTAATTTAAATTCTCAATTTACCAAAATTTCAATTACATCAAATTTTAGCTTCAAAATAATTAAATTCAGCCGCCTTCATAAAATTTTTTATTAATTTCCAAGTTGATCTACAAAATATTAAAAGTATGAATGTATGAGTGCAGCAACTGCTCATGTATTTGACTTTAACACCTGTAATGAACTCAACCATTCTGTCTGAAGATGAGCAACTGGAACGATTTAAGTTTATTTGTATATATTATCATGTAAATGGCAACACACCCAATACAAATGATATTTTAGTTCCAATAGGAATACAAATTCATCGGGTAACACAAAAAGCTTTGATTTTGATCAAATCCACTTGCTACGTCTCAGGGGTTGTGGATAGAAACTTTTAGGGTGGATTCAGGCCCTTCTGGCTATGCCCCTGCTATGCCATTGATAAGTTAAAACCAAGCAACTGCACATCACTTTAAAGCAAGATGATTATTTTGATGGATTCAATTCCCAGCAAATTCAATCTTGCCTGAAGATGAGCATAAAATGTGAAGTTTTTTCTTGTTACTGCCAAATACAAACAAAATTTAAGTTTCACACTCAAATGTTCAATTTGGAATGTGGTTCCACCTAGGAAAGAAAATTCAAATTTATAAACTTAAAAAAAAAGCTTTGAATTTGTAGAAATTGGACATGATGATTCATGTATTATCAATAAACGTTTAACATTGTTAAAAGTGTAAATATGTGTAAATATGATCAAGTTTTAGAAGTGGACTAATTTTGTTTAAATCTTCGTTCCAAAAGTACGAATGTGTGATGGCTGAAAATTCAGTTTGGCGATGAACATTATTTATAAATTTATTTTTTAATTTTCTGTATTTTTTCATCGGAACAACAAATATAACATGATGTTATATGCTTTTTTTTTGTGTATAAAAGCCTTGCAAAAATTGAAATTTCTTCAATAATTTTTTGCGAGCTGTCAAATTAACTTTTCATTTTTGAGTGATTAAAGTGGATTTAAAAATTGTGCAAAGTGATTGTGAAATTGTGAAATACTTAAATTGGTGTAGATTGAAATAAATTAATCACCGTTAACACATCATCAGCCAACGAATCAGCTTCATTAGCTCCGATCAGTCTCTTTTTATGGACTACAAGACAAAGGTTCGTGGATTTTTTATTTACATTTTAATTCATTCTACATTCTACATTTTCGGATAAAATTAACCCAGTTCCGATTTTATCTCATGCAGTAATTAAGACACTTTTTGATGCGCATATATATTCAAGCTTTGTGAGTGTCGACTTGAAAGTTTTACGTGAGATGATTAAAGTTCTTTCTGATAATTCGAATGTCATTCATGACGTTCATTATGCGTCGGAAATTAACGATCATTTTTTAACAAAGAACAATGAATTTCCTGGAATTTTTATTGTTCATTTCCTGCTGAGCCCATCACCCCTCCCCCTCCCCTCCTTGTTTACAAACTTTGTTGCAATGCAAGAGGAGAACGACTGTCTGTCTCATGCATACGAAATAAAAACCCGACTGATTTTCTTGTTAATTAAAAAATTACAGAAGTCCTCGTGTTATTGATCGAGGAACTTAAGCGCATTTTTGTGTTAACGTATCTAATTATTTTGCGTTTACTTACAGATCATGAGAAGATTAGAAGATTATTAATTTTAGTGTAATTAACAAATAATTACAATAAATGTCTTTGTCATTTAACGGTTTTTTGGAATTCAAATTTTTTACCCTTTGAAAAAAATAAAATTTCTGAACGCACCCTGATTACAATTTTACGACGGTTAAAAATATTTAAATTTCTGAACGCACCCTTATTACAAATTTTACCCTTTGAAAAAAAAAACAAAATTTCTGAACGCACCCTGATTACAATTTTTACGACGGTTAAAAATATTTAAATTTCAGAACGCACCCTGATTACAAATTGTACGACGGTTAAAAATATTTAAATTTCTGAACGCACCCTGATTACAAATTTTACCCTTTGAAAACATAACAAAATTTCTGAACGCACCCTGATTACAACTTTTACGACGGTTAAAAATATTTAAATTTCAGAACGCACCCTGATTACAAATTGTACGACGGTTAAAAATATTTAAATTTCTGAACGCACCCTGATTACAATTTTTACAACGGTTAAAAATATTTAAATTTCTGAACGCACCTTGATTACAACTTTTACAACGATAGAAAATAATTTGAATTTCTGAACGACTCGACTTGAGTTGACTGCATTTTTCTGGACTTAACTTGACTCGACTGGACTGAACTGGACTCGATTCCAGAAACATCTTATCCATCCCATCCTACCAGATTTATCATAAACTTTAAACATTCTCTTTTAAATAATTTTAGGACAACAAAAACTATAAACTTGATGCTGATGACAGGCCAGCTATTGTAATATCTCGAAAAGCTTATGATTTAATATTAAAAAATGATAAATGGTATAAGGCATTGAAACGTCAACGAACATCATTTGAAGAGACTAATGAGCTAGATAAATCGATTGCCATGCAGTTTATTGAGCATCATAATGCAACATTTACAACCACAAAAAAAGAAAAATCCAAAAATATTAAAATTAAGAAAATTAACTTTAAAATTAATTTACATTTAAATCAGGAAGAATTTAAGAATTATTTATTTAGGGAAGGTTTTATTAATGAAGAAAAAATGCAATTTTTGCTCAATGTTGTTAATGGTTTGAAACTTTGTAGACTTGAATTAGTTGAGAATCAATATTTGAAGGATATTTAATGCAAAGTGTCAATTTTATTCCAAAATCTACTATAAGAAATTGCTGATTAAGTAAAATGTGATTCATTATCCTTACTTTTAAACGCACAACATGTCATAACTGAAATTAAAAAAAATATTAATTTATAAGAGTCTTGTGCCAAGGCTCACACAAGTAATGTGACTAAAGTACGACGGCATGAAGTGTCCCATCACTTTGAAACTTTGCCAGAATTAAGTCCATATTACATCCAATTGCATCCCCAAAAAAATAATTGTGTACTACATCCTGTGGCTGGATATAGCAGGTTCCATTTTTAGGTATTATGCCGTCGTATTTCAGGTTTTTAAATGGCATCATTTTCAAAAATCAACTTTATTAGACAAATACATCAAAATTGATCTCTTAATTACGTTCGATTGCGTCCTGCTAAAATTTTTGGAATCAAATACAACCAGCAAGAGTTATGGACTGTCAAAGTTTTAAACAGTACTGCTTGTGGACCAATGAATTTTATTTTATTTATTTTAGTGACTTTATCAGCAAGCTTTATAGATTCGTCAGACTAGTAAATATAACACTTTTTTCTTAATAATTAAACTTGCTGGTTCACTGACTGTACATCTATACTGAACACTAAAAATTACTTAATTAGAAACAAGTCTGAAATATTTCAAAGATTCGTAAGAATTTGATGAAATTTCCAAATGTGATTAATGAAGGACAAGACTACAACAAAGCACTTTATATCCATCCGATATTGACAAAAGAACACGAATTTCATTCAAAATATGTAACTCATCACTCAGCATGAAGGAATGAATATCAGAATGAATATTCTTGACTTATTTTTGTTGAGATTTACGATACGGGTTGAGTCGTCTTGCAGCTCGTCTCCGGAAAACCTCTCTCTCTCTACCTTTTGCACGTTTGAACTGTTACGAAGATATGCAAGTAATAACACTTCGCGTTTCTCTATCTCTGCTTTTATCGCCTCCCACGAATCTTCCTTCACAACCTTTGGGGTTAAGCACACTGCCAGCTCCTCCTTAAATGTTGAGATCTTGAACAAGGGTGGAAAGCCCTTATTCGTCTTTATGCTGTTAGACTCCTGTGTGCTTCTCTCTCAGCCTTATGCACGTTCTCGCTATCTCCGAGATGCGTCAGCAGTACAATCTCTCGTTCTTCCACCTCCGTCTTGATCGCCTGCCCTGAGTCTTCACAGCCTTTAGGGGCTCTCCTTCATAGATGGCTACCACTCTACGTCGTGATCTCCGTGGTAATAGGTCCTTTATTCACCTTTGATTCTTTAATCCTTTTTACTCCCTTTTCCTTTACCCTTATATCTTTATCTTTTGTTCTTTTATCCTTTTCATTCCCTTTTCCTTTATCCTTATATCTTTATCCCTTTCCTTTAGATGTTTTCAGCTCGATTGCCAAAACAAGAACGAATTTCCTGCAATAATTGCCCCTTTCATCCTTTCTCTTTCACACCCTTTTCTGTCTCTTTCATTCTTTTTGAAAATGAAATGTCCGTTAAATTTCTTTTGCTTTATAAGGTGCGCGCAGTTCGTTTAGACGCACTTAATTTTTTTCAAATTTTCCTTTAATAAACACTATTAAGACAAAAACTATTTTATGTGTTTATAGCTATGACCAATTAGGTTATAAATATAATAAAAGTACCTGACTAAATGCTTTGCTTAAGTAATTAAAATAATTTTTTCAAAAATTACAACAACAAAGTGCGCAGTTCGTTTAGACGCACTTTGAAAAATCTAAAATTTTGTCTTATTTACGTTTCGTAGAAAACTTAATCGTTTCTAATATTAATCTATCAACAAAAACGAGTAATTACTGAGGGTTTTAGAATTTTCCATCAAGTTTTTCCAGAGATTTTCCTTCATTAAAGTTTTCATGTTGCAAAAATTTTGATAAATTATTTATCCAATAATTTTGCGTTAAATTATTATTCTTTTAACTGATTTCCATAGATAATTGTCCATAATATTAGAAAATTAACAGATATTTAAGCTTTCTTCTAAGTAAAAGGCGAAAATATGTGAAAAATATAATTATGGTGAAAAATTTCCACCACTCTCATAGATTAATCAACAAATTTTGACAAAACTGTAGATACCATAATAAATTTGAATAGACCAGCTTATTTATCGTATTAAACTTAGTTAAAAACAGAAAACTGCACAGCTCTATGGCTAATGGAACTTGAAAATTTTACTGATAAATTAAGTTGTGGTGAAAAAATTCACCATAGAAAAATAAAATTTTAAAAAAACGTTGTTTTAGGCAATTGTTTCATTTAAATTAGGTTGTAAAAGTGTTTCTGTCTCAAAATTAATCAATTTAAAACATGAATTAAAACCTTAGACATAGTTTTTTTAAAATTTTATTTTTCTATGGTGAATTTTTTCACCACAACTTAATTTATCAGTAAAATTTTCAAGTTCCATTAGCCATAGAGCTGTGCAGTTTTCTGTTTTTAACTAAGTTTAATACGATAAATAAGCTGGTCTATTCAAATTTATTATGGTATCTACAGTTTTGTCAAAATTTGTTGATTAATCTATGAGAGTGGTGGAAATTTTTCACCATAATTATATTTTTCACATATTTTCGCCTTATACTTAGAAGAAAGCTTAAATATCTGTTAATTTTCTAATATTATGGACAATTATCTATGGAAATCAGTTAAAAGAATAATAATTTAACGCAAAATTATTGGATAAATAATTTATCAAAATTTTTGCAACATGAAAACTTTAATGAAGGAAAATCTCTGGAAAAACTTGATGGAAAATTCTAAAACCCTCAGTAATTACTCGTTTTTGTTGATAGATTAATATTAGAAACGATTAAGTTTTCTACGAAACGTAAATAAGACAAAATTTTAGATTTTTCAAAGTGCGTCTAAACGAACTGCGCACTTTGTTGTTGTAATTTTTGAAAAAATTATTTTAATTACTTAAGCAAAGCATTTAGTCAGGTACTTTTATTATATTTATAACCTAATTGGTCATAGCTATAAACACATAAAATAGTTTTTGTCTTAATAGTGTTTATTAAAGGAAAATTTGAAAAAAATTAAGTGCGTCTAAACGAACTGCGCGCACCTTATTCATCATTTCAACAATTTTGTATTATGTTCACACATTGATGAAATGACGATTAAATTCCCCACTCAATTTGAAATTGTATCACGAAAATGTTATTAGTATAAATTCAGCTCAATCATCATCATTATTATCATTTTAATGAGTAGTCTCAAGATGAAAGCATTCTATACTCTCGTTGTGTTGATTTTATTCTCAATAGTGAATGGTGAAAGTGAAAAATTTAAATTCAGACTTGCTAGAAGATCAAACTCAGGAGTTTTTGAGGATTCAGCGGATTCAGAAGAGGATTTAGCTGAGGAAGAAGTTTTTGAACAAGAACCACAAGTCGAAGATGAAAGTAAATGTGCAGAGCTTAAAGACGCCATTAAAGGCAATCAAACAATCATATTTGAAATCATTTTACCAGAAATCCGATACATGGAACTAACCAAGGTTGACGTCATGATTTACAACAATATCAACTCAAGGATGCCTTTAAATGTGGAATTAAACATGATAAGCAATTGCGATAGATGTGATTTTAAAGTTTACAATGACAAATGCGGAACATCAGATTCAGTTTTTCCTAAAATCATTTCTGTTCCACATGCTACAGCTCGATTATTCTCATTCTATACTCAAACATCCTCAAATTTAAGAAATCTGAATGATTTGTTACATTTAAAATTGAAGGCAAGCATCAAAAGTGAAAATAACGAATGTTTTTTAACAAAATCAGTAAATGTTAAATCACCGACGGTAAAAACCTATGATATTGAAACAAACAAGTTCAATTTAAGACCATCAAATAATAAAGTTATGGTAAGGTCATATGATCAAAGTTTTCAAACATACGAGATTAGAATGGCTACAGAGATTATTGCAAATGGATCAGCAAACTTTACAGTCACATTAACAAATGATGGTGATTTTAGAGAGGTTTTAACTGTCACAGATTCAACTCCAATTGAGGTCATTTTTCCTGAAGGCTCAACTAGTATGAAGACATCAATAAAAGGCAGTGGATTCTGTACCATAAGAACAATTTTTCAAAGAACGGTCTTATTAAACCATTTAAATTCAAATTTCAATTTGACAATAACTCCTTTAAAGTCGAATAACAAAAATGTAGGAAATGTTCGAGTTTGTGCTTCATTTAACCCAAGTAATTTTTATACAATAACTAATGCTATATTAGATGTGCAGATGCCAAGCGGATATGTTTTCAATAAAGTTACAAACAAAGCTAAAATTAAGGTAAAAAATGCGCTTTATACTTTTTAAAAAAATTCTTACTTGATTTATATTCAACAGCATGTCGCCCCAAGATGGAAGAATTCGTCTGTCCAGATTTACTATGATGATTTCCGAATGACTGAAGTCAAATGTGTTAATATTCAAGCATTAAAGACAATGGAAGTTAGCAATGCACAAGACGCAGTTGTTAGTATTTATGATTATGAGGATAAAAGTAAGGCACTATTGACATAAAAAGGAATTTTTTGTTAAATTTTAACTTTTTTATTTTGGATTTTAAATTATGTAGAAAACATGGCTGTTGGATATTACAACTTTTTGGGTTCCTGTGGCAGTTCCTAATTTTTTGGCATTTAATGCTGAGACTTTATAACCTACGATTTAAGATCTACCCGCAGGTCTATTGATTGCTCTCAATTGCATAAATATTGTATGCAGCATATAATACTATTCGGTACAAAGCTATAGCTTGAATCCGATTGAATAAAAAAAATCAAAAAAAATATTAAGAATTTTTTTATTTTAAATTTTAAATTCAATTCCAGCTCTAAAATTATTCATAATATTCACATACAATCCAGCTTTTCTCGGTACATGCAACACCAAGTGCTTGATAAGGTCCATACTGTCCAGAATACCTTAAACATTCGCCATTAGTTTTCCCACGAATTGCATCCTTGTTGACCCACTCAATATCTTTATAAAGTTGACCTTGAATTGTTCTGTTGGCACTGAAGACATTCCATTGATTAGTCACTAAGTCACGTATCCCATTGATCCATAAGTAGCCTCCAGCAATTGTCTTCATCACATCCTCAGCGACTTCATGGAAAGCTTCTTCAACAACTTTATCATCGAATATAAAAAGATTCATTCCATTTTTGGCGCATGCTCTTCTTCCTTCATCGTACGTGTACGCGACATTGATCATGCACATTGATTTTATGTAATTTCCACCAAACCGAAGGTCTCTTTTATGAAGGCACGGAGTTGTGTCCAACAGTGGCTGAATTTCAGTTCTTTTATGATGCTCACAAATAAACCAAAGTGCATCTGTACAAGGTCCTGGCTGTGCTTGATATGGACCGTAAGCACCTGAGAATTTAAGGCAGTTACCAGCTATAAACCTGCTGTACAAAGTGACTTCCTTGGACAATGGTCCATCAATTGATCCATCAGCATTAAAAACTTTAAATTTTTTGGCATGTCCATCGCGTTTTCCATTAATCCACACAGATCCACGTGGATAGCTGGCAAGTAAGACAGTCACTGCATCATAAAACTGAGTTTCAACTGTAAAGTCATCAATTATGAATAGATTCATGTTGTAGCTTGTACATTTTTCCTTAGCTGCATCGTACGTTGATGCTGCATGAACAAGACAGACTGATTTGAGGTAATTTGGTCCATCAAATAAATCCTTCTTTTGACTGCAAACTTCAATCTTTGGTTTTTGGGCTGATGTAACAGTTTGGATGACTTTTCTTGGGGAAGCTTCAGTTTGTGTAGTAAATGATGATTCAGGCTTCTTTAAAGCTGCAACTTCCGACATTTTCACGGTTGATCCATCGTAAAATTTAAAGTTATTTGGATTTATTATAGCTCGTTTGTCGCAGGTTACAAATTCTTTGGATGTACAGGCTTTATTGACAATATCCCACCACAGATCAGCTTCACAGACTTTTCGGATTGGTGTTCCATATGAGCAGTGGTAGTAGCTGGAATGTTTTATTTAAATAGTATTGTATTATGGAAGAGACACTGCCAGATAGCCAGCCAAACTGACATAAAAAAAGCTACTCACACTTTACAGTCAACTGGATCTGCCACAAAAACAGGACTTTTGACATCATCAACTTCAGGACACCAATAATCTCGATGACACTTAGCTTCGCCAGGTGAGACACACTCGAACTTAGTTGGACTGAAATGTAGACCAGCAGCACATGACCAAACTTCTTTTTCTTTACCGTGGTAAGTCACAAAAGAGTTGCAGTCGTATGGATCTGGGAATTTGTCGACTGGCGATGAAGCGGAGATTAGATGGAGCAGTTGTAATATTAGTAGGTAGGATGTGAATTGCATCTTGGCTGGATTTGAGTTCTTTTGGTTCTAAAATTTAAATGATGCTGCTTGAACATCAAATTGAGATTAAATGACACAGAACAATCCTCTCAGAGAGTCTAATTCGTATTTATTTTGACATAATTCGGAGATTACTGACTGTACATAACGAAAAATATGCAAGGTTATCGTTCAATGACTCCAAAGCTTAATTTATACAAGTGACAAAAATATCACCAAATTAATTTTATTTCATAACTGATAAGCCTTGCCTCCGTAACCCAAAATATTTATAATAGCAAAAATCCCCAAAATTAATCATAATATTCACATACAATCCAGCTTTTCTCGGTACATGCAACACCAAGTGCTTGATAAGGTCCATACTGTCCAGAATACCTTAAACATTCGCCATTAGTTTTCCCACGAATTGCATCCTTGTTGACCCACTCGATGTCTTTATAAAGTTGACCTTGAATTGTCCTGTTGGCATTGAAGACATTCCATTGATTAGTCACTAAGTCACGCATCCCATTGATCCATAAAGACCCACCAGCCCATGTTTTAAGAAGGTCTTCGCATGATCTGTGGAACTCTTCTTCAACAGCTTCACTGTCAATGGTAAACAGGTTCATTCCTAGCTTAGAGCAGTGTCTTCTGCCGTCATCGTAAGTAAAGGCAGTAGCAACGACACATACTGACTTGATGTACACTCCATTGGTTGTTAAGTCTCTTTTTTGTGTACATCCAGCTGTGTCTACATGTGGATGAGTTTCTGTCTTCTTGTAGTGCTCACAAATACCCCAGCATGCATCAGTACATGGACCAGGTAGAGCTTGATATGGTCCATACTGTCCTGTAAACTTGAGGCAATCTCCAATCGCATATTTGCTGTAAAAATCAACTCCACTGTGTAGTGGACCGATTGAGGTTCCATTTGCATCATGTACATCAAAATCCATTGCATGACTTTCCCGCTTTCCATTAATCCAGACAGTCCCACGTGGATGATTAACAGCAACAAGTGCCATGATTGCATCATAAAATTGAGCCTCGACAGTTTCATCATCAATTATGAACAAATTCATGTTATTGTCAGCACATTTTTTAAGTGCTGCATCATAAGCCAAACCAGCACTGACAATACAAACTGATTTAAGATAATTTGGTCCATCAAACAGGTCCTTCTTGATATTGCAGACTTCTAGCTTTGGTTCAAGGGATAGTTGTGAGCTGTGTGACTTTGTTGATGGATTGTAGATGGTCCTTTTATCGCAAATAACTAAGTTGGCTTTGCTGTTGCATCTGTTGTTGAGGATGTCCCACCATTGGCCGTATGGACAAGACTTTTTGATCGGAACTCCATTTGAGCATTGATGGTAGCTAAAATAGGGGGGGGGGGGGGGGGGGGAAACAACATAATGGAAAAAAAATTATTCAATATTATATATCCTTACAATCTACAATCCTCAGCATCAGCCACAAATACAGGACTTCTATGATCATCAATAGTTGGACACCAGTAGTCTTCCTGACATCTAGCTTCAGCTGGTTGCATGCATTTGAATTTAGTTGTACTAAAGTGAAGTCCAGAAGGGCAAAACCAAACTTGTTTAGGGTACATGCTGTAAACGAATGCTTCACAGTTGTTGGGAACTGGGAGTTTAATGACAGTAGCTGGAGATGACGGTTTAAAGATCATCAATGAGATGATGATTATCGTGAGGATCGTCATGTTGCTGGCTTTGAGTTTCTAAAATGACCAAAATTCAGTTTAAAGCTTACTCACAAAAATAAACCAATTCAACTTAAATCAGTGAGAGTTTTGCACTTGTGTGCCTCAAAACCTGTGTTTTATATGCTATATAAGCTCTTACTCTTATATTTAAGTATATAAAGATGATCATTTTAGGAACACAGAGCATTTATTTAAATTATTGAGTCTTATTTAGTGATTTGCTAGCAAACGAATGAGCTAAAAAGTGAGCATTGACAAGAATAAAATCACAAAATGAAGACTTCCGTCCTGTATCTTTTCCTAATCATTGCATCAGCCTCAACATCAGATAATAAGGAACGCATCCCACATCCATATGACTGTGAATCCTTTATGTACAGTTATAATCCTGAGCAAGTATGGTCGTGTGCTGAAGGTCTGCATTTTAGTCCAACAACTTTCAAATGTGAAGCACCAGCTGAAGCTAAGTGTCATCCGGATTATTGGTGTCCGACTAAGGATGACCCTGAAAATCCGGTTTATGTGGCTGATGTTGTGGACTGTCGCAGGTGAGAATTTGTTCATTTTCACTGAATTTTCTCAAGATTTTCCACAAAATTCGACAAATTTTCCTTTTCAGCTACTACACCTGCACTAATGGAACTCCAAACAAAAGCACCTGCGATTTCAACCTTTACTGGGACTCCATCAATCATGAATGTGTCTCACAAGATTCAGTCACATGCGACAAACGCACACAATTAAACCTTGAACTTAACAATCAAGTTGAAGTAATCACAACAGCAACAAAGACTCCAAAGCTAGAAGTCTGTAACATCAAGAAGGACCTGTTTGATGGACCAAACTACCTCAAATCAGTTTGCATAGTCAGTGCTGGAATGATTAATGATGCAGCCCTAAAGAAATGTGCTGACAATAACATGAATCTGTTTATAATTGACGATGAGACTGTTGAAGCTCAATTTCATGATGCAATTATGGCACTTGTTGCTGTGAATCATGCACGTGGGACTGTCTGGATAAATGGAAGACGCGAAGGTCAAGGAAAGAAGTGGAAGGTCTTAAATTCTGATGGAACTGCTCGAGGACCATTACATGCTGGAGTTGATTTTTACAGTAAATATGCAAGTGGAGACTGTCTGAAGTATACAGGACAGTATGGAGTATATCAAGCCTTACCTGGTCTGTGCACAGAAGCTCCTTGGCCTATTTGTGAATATCACCAAAAATCTGAAAATCCACCAAAGTTAGACACATCTGCATGCACTCATAAAAGAGATTTAAAGCTCAATAGCTCATACATCAAGTCAATATGCGTAATCAGCACAGCACACACATACGAAGAAGCAACACGTCAATGCTCAAAATTCGGAATGAATCTTTTCATATTTCGTGATAAAATTGACGAACAATCATTCCATAAATCATGTGAGGACCTGCTTAAGACTATTTCTGGTGGCTACTTATGGATCAATGGAATGCGTGACTTAGTGACTAATCAATGGAATGTCTTCAATGGCAACAGAACAATTCAAGGTCAACTTTATAAAGATATTGAGTGGGTCAACAAGGATGCAATTCGTGGGAAAACTAATGGCGAATGTTTAAGGTATTCTGGACAGTATGGACCTTATCAAGCTATAGGAATAGGATGTAATGAGAAAAGTGGAATTGTTTGTGAATATTTTGATATTGAAAAATAAACTTTGAATTTTTTGAATTGAACAAGGCACGCTTATTGAACAAGAACTGATTGACAGCCTTTTAATAGCTTTCCTTTGATAGTTTCTGAATCTTTTACAAAACTTATCACAATACTTATCACAAAACTGTCACAGAGGTCAATTCCCCCCCAATGGTTACTTCCAATCATTGGCACAAAAAAATATAATTTCCTTGATAAAAACTTGGGGGCCATTCACTTATTACGTAACGCTTTTAGGGGGGAGGGGGTCTAAGATTTTGTTACGGTTCAAAAAAGTCATTTTTCCGCGTTACGTAATAAGTGAACAGCCCCTTGGGTGTCACAAACTTCCTGACTCCCCTCCCTCCCCTGTCACAAATTTTTGGATCCCCTCCCCCCCTAAATATTGGACATCATTATTGAATGATCCTTTATTTATAAAAATTCAATACGGTGGAGTGACTCCACTTGACTTTACATTTATAATTTTTAAAAATAATCAATTTATTGACATTTTCCATCAAAATCAAGCAAAACCGAGAAATGAGAGATAAATTAGCAGGAATTATCGAAATTGTAGAAAGCTACAGCCGTATTTTCTAAAAAAAAGCGAAAAATAAATTAAAAACCTTAATTGCCCTGCAAGAATTGAACTTACTTTTCTCATAAAAGTCATAAATTTTCACACCAGCTTTCTGCACGTCATGTATATCAAATAGCTTAGTTACTTCAATATCAACACAATAGTTTTTGGAACTCATAAAGTCATCAAAATAAATCTGAACTCTTTGTCCGTAAAGTCTTGGATGAACCATCTGCGTATGGACGACAAAATTAATTAATTTAAAATAAAAAATAATAAAAAATTTTACTTGCCTTTATTTCATGGATGTCCAATCGATTAGTAAGCTCTTTAAATTTATATCCACTAACCATTTCAACATCATAAATAACACTGGTAAGGATAAAGGAGCTTGGATCTTCCTCACTTGGATGATAAATGGCACAAACTTTCAATTTTTTTTCATTCGTCCTTGTCCCATTCTGTGTCAAAATTGACATTGTGAACTTAGAGCTGCTTTGATCAAGAACAACTGTTCTTTCAACAATTTTTGTGATTAAACAAAATCCACTTCCTTGAATTTTTATATCTGCCTTTAATGTGTAGTCTGGAAAAGCCACTTCAATTTCATTTGCCTGATTTTCTTTTGTAATGTGAACAATTTTTTTGAAATTATCTTCATTCGTCAGTGTGACTGTAAAGTCAGTTGACTTTTTGACTGGCTTCGCAATTAAATATCTTGAAATTGCTTCCGCACATACAGCATAGAAGTATGTATTTGATAGAACTTGATTCATTTTGTATTCATCATAAATGTAACGAAAATGTGATTTAGCTTTATCGGGCATGTTTAAAATCACATAAGCAATTACAGCATATGATGTGTGTCTTGTGTCACACTTGTGATTGGTTTTTGAAATTGTTAAACAAGTGTTTTGATTCGTCACATTTCTGGAGTTTTTTTCAGCATAAGTAAGAAGTTGTTTAGCCATTTTATCGTTTCCATTTAAGGCATAAGCATAAGCAGCTACTGAAAATGCTTCAGTGTCAGATGTTGAGATGTTTGTCATGTTATTAAGGTAGTTAAAGCCATTGGTAATGACTTCATCATAGTTCTTATTGACAAATCTTCGTAACTTCAAGAATGGTATTAAAATGTAGGCAGTCTGGAAGTATAAGTTACGACTGCTTGGGATACTTCCAAAATTATTAAAAAATCCATTCGAGTTTTGCCGATTTTTCAACAAGTCTAGTTCTTGTTCGATAATTAATTCGTTTTTTGGTATTGCTTCAATTTCCATAGCTGATGCGATTGCTTCAATGAAGTATGCTCGGAAGCCTGATGACGTTGCGTAATTCTGTTGGAAACAAACTTAAAAAAATTACAATTCAATCTATAATATTGGCTTAGCATGTGACGGGCAGCTAAGGCTTTAGCCGAATCTATTGCTTCTCATATGGGAAGCTGGGGCTTTATATGAGTCTATTGCTTCTCATATGGACATATGGGGCGTTAGACGAGTCTATTGCTTCTCATATGGGGAGCTGGGGCTTTAGACGAGTCTATTGCTTCTCATATAGGCAGCTGGGGATTTAGACGAAACTATTGCTTCTCATATGGGCAGCTGGGGCTTTAAATGAGTCTATTGCTTCTCAAATGAGCAGCTGGGGCTTTAGACGAGTCTATTGCTTCTCATATGGGGAGCTGGGGCTTTAGACGAGTCTATTGTTTCTCATAGGGGCAGCTGGGGATTTAGACGAGTCTATTGCTTCTCATATAGGCAGCTGGGGATTTAGACGAAACTATTGCTTCTCATATGGGCAGCTGGGGCTTTAGATGAGTCTATTGCTTCTCATATGAGCAGCTGGGGCTTTAGACGAGTCTATTGCTTCTCATATGGACATATGGGGCGTTAGACGAGTCTATTGCTTCTCATATGGGCAGCTGGGGCTTTAGACGAGTCTATTGCTTCTCAAAGGGGCAGCTGGGGCATTAGACGAGTCTATTGCTTCTCATATGGGCAGCTGGGACTTTAAATGAGTCGATTGCTTCTCATATGGAAATCTTTTCATGTGACTAGCTTCATAGGAAGCTTTAGGTTACGTAGTTGAACTCACTAACGCATCCATCATACATACCCAATTATTTACTCTTTCCACCATTGTTGATTGATAATAAGAACTAAAATGAGTTGTCAATGGATTGGCATTCTTTGACTTCAAGTATCGGAATTGTTCTACGTTTCCCTTAATTCGAGATGTCCTCTGTTCGAGACAATGATCAGCATTAATTCTGAAATGTATCTTAAAAGTTAAAAAAATTCAATTTAATTTGGAAGTTTGGTCTAAAACTTACTCAAATCTCCAATTAACATTTGCCATTTCATCAGTCATGAAGTCTCCAGCAATGTTGACAAAAAATCTAGAATATTCATCAGACTTTGTGACTTCCTTTTGCATCCTGTCTACATGTGGTACTTGTGATGGCTTTACATTGAACTTTTTATTTTCATAACTGTAAATTTTTATTCCAACAGGCTCTACTTTAAGTTTCTTTAAAACTCCATCGCTGTATGTATCACCACGACTAGATGTTGCTGAAGCATCAACTCTGATCTTGAATTCCTGATAAATATAGGTTTCATTTGTACCAGATTGAATGTAGAATGAGACTATCTTTGGCTCATCATATGGAACCCCAACAGTTTTTGTCATTTTCTTAACTGTACTCGCTGTTGTGCTACATGCAGTTTCAAAAAATTTAAATCTATTATGTCCATCATGATCGTACATATCGACATTTACGTCTAGTGTCTCATTGATGCCAAGATAATTATGAATCATAACATCAACTTTAAGTTTCTCCTTAAATCGAATCACGAATGGCAAGTTCATCCGGATAAAGAATTGACTTTTAACGATAAGCTTCTTTCTTGGTCCAATTGCTAATCCATCCTCTACATTCATTGAGAATGATGAGATGATCCAGGAAGTGGTCGAGTCGGGAGCATAATAAGATTTAATTAAATTTCCATTTGGAACTTCAAACATGTCATAAATGAAAACTTCACGAAAATCTTCACGGATATCATCAGAATTGGGTTTAGTTGGCATTTCTGGATTGCGTACACTGTCCATTTCTCTATTCATTTCATCTTCCTCATCATTTGTATTGGCAGTAGTTTGACCACCGCCATGACCAACAACAAGTTGTCTTCCTGTATTAATACGTCTAAGCTCCTCGTTTGTGCACTTATGCCAACTTAGCTTTTTAATATGAAATACTGTGACTATGTTATTTCCGTCATAATTGACAAGCTCTTTGATCACATCCTGCTTTTCAATTTCATTGCCTTCAAACAAATATGTCAATCGTTCGTCATATCCGAGTATATAAGCCGTTGAATTTGGCTTTGTTGTGATATTCAAATCTACTCGCTGTTTCATTTTAGCTGTTTTTGGCAGGTCTATATCGAGCTGAAAATTATGAAATTTAAAATTTAGTTTAAAGGCTGAGTTGAAGCTTCAGAAGCTTTGTGTTAAAGTCTTAGACTTAGGAAGGGGAAAAGGGAGAAAGGGGGAAAGGGGGAAAAAGGGGAAAAAGGGGAAAAAGGGGAAAAGGGGGAAAATAAGGAAAGGGAGAAAGGGTAAGGGAAGCCAAGGAAGAAGTAAGTAATAAGCAAATAGCCCCATAGCTTGAATAAAGTTTTAAAGCATTTTTTTCCGGGGGGGGGGGGGGGTCAATCAAGTATTTTTCACCAAGATCTTAAGCAATCAAGACAAGCTCTAACCTTGGCTAAAACTCAACTAGCTTGAAATCGACTCCAAGTGAATTAATCAAATGATCCAAAGACTACTTACAGTGTTTCTACCCAATTCATAAGTTGTAATGGTGACCTCGCCCTGTGAAATGCTTGTCATATTATTTACATAATAAACCACAACTTTAGCTTGCGGCATCATGTCTTTAGTGATTGTAATATCAAAACTGCAATGAAGACGATATAAGCAATAAACTTGATGACTCTCAATGTTTCCATGCCTTGACATTACAATGCCAATAAGCTGATTGACATCTGCATCTGTTAAGACATGAACAGTCACAACGTCGCCATAATTTGGACTAGAATTAAGTTTATATATAGTAAAGGTATGACATAAAGCAATTGTATTCTTACTTTTTAGGTAGATAATCCAAAGTAATATTCTTAACTCCAACAACCACATCACCTATCTCAATATTCTTCTCAAGAGTAACTTCAAGGTACTCAACTTTAACTGACAGCTGAATAGTTTTTTCTGGCACTAAATAGTTGATTACAGCCACGCCATTTTTTATGGCACCATCAATATAGTACGTAGCGTTCTTCTCATGAGCAATGCTGTATTTTATGACTGCCTTGACCTTTTCGTATGTCTTTTCAATAAGCGAATCCTTCCAGTCGTAAACAAAAACTTTTACTCCAAGTGGAAGTCCAGGCATAAATTTATCTGGGAAATTTGCTCTAATTTTTGGCTTATTATTGCCATGGACTGTAAAGTCGATAGTTTTATTGGCTCTAGTTCTAGTTCCAGCTTCTGTAAAGACAACTGTAGCTTTATAGCTAAGCTTTTCTTTCGTATCAGCTTTCAAGTCACTATATGCCATATATTTGACATTATGCGTGCCACTGACGTTATCAATAGTCTCGGATATGACAACGTCATTATTTGTAGTGCATGTGATTGTAAGCTGTGCATTTCCATGAACATATTCGTTAAATGAATATTTAGCATAGAATCGGAGATAAGAATGTGTTAATAAATGATTTGCCTGAACATCAATATGGACAGCAAATGGAGGCAATGTCTTCTTGGCGACTGCAAATTCCTTAAAAGTTTCCCATTGCTCGATCCTGTCGATGATCACACGAATCTTCCAGATGCCAAGTGGTGTATTTTCATCTAAAATGAAGCGTTCTGTAAAAACTCCTAAAAAGTCACCTCCAAGATCATTAAACTCTTTTAACGGACGGTTAAGTGAGTCAGTCACATTGATGTTAATGTTGTTCATGTGGTACGGCCTCAAATCTCGATCGACAACAACAACTCTAAACCTGACTGTATCTCCAGGTTTATAAATTGGCTTGTCAGTCTGAATAAATGTGTAATATTGCCTCTTTTCAGCCTCGATTTTCTGCAATGTTTGTGTTATGCACATTTGACGTTGTCCAGTCGCACCCGTCATATTTCGATGCAGTGTCATGAATAGCTCAAATTTTGTTTTCGATCCACTTTTATCAGGATTTTTTACTTTCATTTTCTGAACTTTATCCGATGCTAAAGCAACAGTTCCATAACTTTTACGAAATTGAAGTCCAAGTTCGGTTCTTTTGTCTAAATGGCTTGACAGGAGGACCACATTGTAGTCTTTTTCGTCATAAAATGTTTTAGGTGCCCATATTGTGACGTATCTGTAAAAAATTGAAGAAAAAAAAATGTCAGTTCAAATCTAGACGTTATTTGTGAACAGCATCTTGCTGTAGTTCCCATACTAGTGTAAAGATAAGACGAACATGCATAATTTGGCAATTTTTCATTCAATTGACAATTAAAGTACAAGAAGAAAAAATTTGAAATAATCTTTCACAGCATTTTAAATTGAGCATAACTGTGTTATGTGTTGATTCAGTCAATAACTTCAAAGTATTATGATTAACAGAGGCAGATTGCAGGCAGACGTTTAATTTAATTATAATTCACATTTGTCGTCGGAAAGGCTGTGCTTGTGCGAGCGATTAATGACTCTGGACAGGACGGAGATGAGCATCTGAGTCAATGCTTCTCAAACTATCTGTCCGTTGATATTTGCACGTCACACTATCGACTACTTTTTACACATCTAAGATTTTCTCGCGAGACGGCTAAGCTCCGTGGAGCATAGAATGATGATCTAATGATCGAATGATCTCAGCAGTTCCAGGTTGATGTTAAGAGTTTCTTCGTCTAATGTATTGAATGGCACGAAAGTCATTAGAGCAGTGCTTCTCAAACTGTACTCCACGGAGCATAACTTGAGTTATATGGGACAGGTGAGTAATGAGAAAACTATAAAATTTTAGAAACATTGTCTTAGAATGACAGTTACAGACTATGCAGATGACAAGAAATCGCGATAAAGGCAGTAAAATACCTGGATTGGATGAGTTGATAAGGATGATAGATTTCTAAAATGATCATGATTTGCTCGAAAGGTCTGAGCAGTCTTTAGATATTCTCTATGCATAGCATTGAGCTTACGAGCGTCCCAGCCAAGGAGAAAGTAACTTAGTCTAGCTAGTGATTTATCTCATAGAGACCGGTTGATGGAATATGTATTTGGATTCTAGGTTATAAGACTGGAAGATACCCGAGCATTTAGCCTTCTGTAATAGTCAGTTTAATTTTTTTACGAGCCACAGGCATCAGAATTTAAATAGCGGCTCACATTATTAATATTTTTTTTTTTTCAATTCATTAAATCCCTAGATTGGGTTTGTGATCTTTCTTTGGGTAAATATGTCGACATTTTAATCAATTAATAATTTAATTTGACACTCTTGAGATCTCAATGGCAGTCTTTACTTTAAGAATCACTTGTTTGCGGGTCCTTTGGTCGATTTTTCAAACACTTTACGATACATTTGGAGTCTAGCGTTAGTTTAAATTAAGTTTAAGGTTGTCCGAATTTTTCACGCTTGTGATTTAATTTTAATACTTAATTCTTCACTTTTGCACCCCCGTTTTTCACTTATTTGCTCAAATACTTACTCTTCCTCATCAGCTCCAACAGATTCAAAATATTTTAACAAAAAAACAAAAATCAGCCAAGCGAGCTTCATCGCAAGACAGTGGCTAAATTATCATTAAATTGTCGAGATCAAACTCATATCTTTATTTAAGAAAAATAAGTCAATTTTTTGGAGAGAAGAGTATTTCTCTCACTTAAGCACTTGATACACACGAGAGCAATATCCAATCAGATGTGCGTGAATTAAAAAAAGGGGAAAATCGCACATGAACTCACACAGATAATTTATTATAATACAAATTCTAAAGTAGCGCAAAAAAAACATTTTATTTAATTTTCTCAAATGACTCTTACAAATTGATCTTGCAGTTTAATCGACTCCTATACAAGCTGCAAAAGACAAGAAAATAAATTAAAAGTCATTCAACGAAGTATTTTCCATACCCAGAGTTGTAGAATGGCCTAAAGCGACCTCTACAAAAAAACGACAGCCGTTGATTTATTTTTCATCGGCCGTCGATAATTGACCGTTTGGCCAACGTCTTCCTTCACAACTCTGCCCACACCCATTTACCTTTAGAGACTCAAAGTTGTCAGGATCGTCAATGAATTTGATGAATTCAGACACATCTGTAAATAATGCGTAAGTGTCCTCATCGCAAACGCCTTCTTTAGCAGCAACAACAGCAGAGACGATTCCTCGAAGATAAAAATGATCAGCATTCTTAACATACAATCCACTTCCAATATCCTCAAAACACAATCCAGTTCCTTTACTTTCACCACCGCAAAAGGTTCGGTTGCTCGAAATCGAACTAAATGCATCGTTCTTACTTGGACAGACTGGATTTTCAAAAATTTTACAAACAATTTCTTTTTGTATCGGATTTGTTGACTTTGGAACTGGTTCTAGTTGACCATAACTTACAACAACTCCCTCGGAAGTGACAACACTTAAATCTGTCAAACAAATTGGCTGAATAAATTGATTAAATTTGACATTTTCTCTTAAAATCATCACAGCAATGTCTGCGTCCATTTCATAAGCATTAATGTTGTAATCAGGATGAATAAAGAGGTCCAAAATGTATGTAACTTTCTTGCCTTGACTGTTTTTATTGTCAATGCCTAAGAGAATTACAATTTCAAATTTTGTGAATGCAATTAGCTCTTCGGTCTTCTCATCAAATTTGTAAAGGCATTTTGCAGCTGGAAGTAAGATATGAATCGATTATTAATTTAAGTAGGCTAGTTCCATGAAACTAGTTCACTTGGTTTTGCTATTGGATGTCATGCACAGAGTTGGCATGTCTCCATTGGCAATGGTCTCGTAAAACTAAAGGTCGAGGTCCAGTTTATAAAACTACCCAGGGCACCTTACCTTAGTCTCCGGTTAATTTTATTTATATCCCATATCAGAGGCTCAGCCAGATTTATTTTAGATCTTTGGAGCCTTGCCAACTCTGAATCAAATCATAATAAACGAATTTTACCTGTTACTACTTTCTTCTCTGAAATCAACACCCCACTACAAGGACCAAGACCATTTTTCATTACAACTGCACTCCTGAAATAATAATTTTAAAGTTTAAAGGAGGGTCTTGTCCCCCTCTTAAGCGTTTTAGGCTCGCTGCGGTCCCAAACCGTTAAAGGGGGGGGGGGGGGACAAGACCCTCCTGGCTACGCGACTGTAAAGTTAACAAAATATCATCAATCATTTGATGTAAAGAGACACTCGCTAGGTTCTAGGTACTGCAGTTCTAACTTACCATGGATAAGATTCTTGTTCTAAACTGTCGTCATCGTTAATTATAGCTTTTCCACAGTTCAACTAACCTAGAAAAAAAATAAATAAAATGTTTTTTTCCACTTTAGTATCAATAACAAGGCATATTCCCTTCAGATTTATTCTAAAAATCACAGAGTGTCTCTATATGAGAAGCGCGAAGTCAAGGAGAATGGGGATATAAGGGGGACAATAAATTTTTGGCAGCAACCAAGCGACTAAAACCTCAGTGCTATACAGTTTTCTATTTATCCAAACAAAAATCGCCATTTTGTAACTTTGTATTAAAATGGTCTTACAGCGAAATGCCAGAAAAACGAAGGGTTTTGTAACATTAATCCTAAAATTTCCCTATTATGACCCCCCCCCCGTTGTTCGATTCCTGACTACACAACTGCGATATGAGTCTCCCCAACTACAGCAATAGAGTTTCTCTTTATAGAGAGCAGCTGAATTTAGCTCTCTGTTGGCTCCGGCTATCATCGGAGGAAGGGGGAAGGTTATAAAATATTAAGTAAGATTTTACTCACCAATTTCACCATGTACACGCAAAAGGAAAGAAGAGAAAAAAAATATAATTTAATATAGTCACGATGTGTTATCAGTAATTTAAAAATAAGACAGAAAAAAAATAAAAATCTTGGGAATTCCAAAACAAATATTCACCGGCTCTTGAGCTATTCTTTTAGCTACTGTTGTTATCTCTTTTATGATTGTCGATGTTGTTGATGATGCTTCTGTACTTGTTGTCGTTAAATCCTCAACTATGGCTGTGTCCGGTTCTACAGATGTCGGTTCCTCATCTTCTCTTTCTTGGGTAAAATTAGATTGAGAGCTAAAAGATGCAAAGGCTGTCAGAATGTCACCAACATCAGCAGTCGCATTTCTGTCTAAGTTTGACTCATCTTGGACATAAAGCGCTGGAAGAATTGAAAACAAAATTGAATTTAAGAATAAATAAAAGCTTGTCTTCTTACTAGAGTCAAAATTATCAAAGCACAATTTTAGTTTCTCGGCCATTTGATGCCTGCTTTCAATAATTTCATCAAAACAAAAATTATTTTCCATTCGAAGTTTCGTAAGTTTTGAATTTTCCACAATTTCTGGGTCCATTGCGCTGATATTATTCGAATTTACACAGATTTGTGTCAATTTATCGCGACTTCCGAATGAGTTTGAGTTGAGGATTGTCAATAAATTGTCGTCCATGTGCAGCATTTGGAGGTTGTTTAGGTTTGCAAAAATATTTTGAGGTAGGTGAGCAACTTTGTTGGAATTGATGGACAATGAGACCTAAAATGAGGGATTTATGGGGTTTAAAAACTTAATTCTGAGAAAGGATTAAGGCTCAGTGGAGTAGGATGGTCAGAAGTCCTAAGCACAAGCTCCAGTCCATCACAATAAGAGTTGTAAGTTCTTACCAAATTGTCCAAACAGTCGAACCATTCAGCATCTAGAACTTCAATTTGATTATCGTCCAAATTTAATTTTTTAAGATTTTTCAGGTTCCTGAAAATTCGACCTGGCAGTGACTCAATTTTATTGTTGTGAAGGAACAACTTTTGGAGATTCTTCTGTGTCTTAAATGTATCAGCTTCTAATGACTCTATTTTATTGGAACTAATCACAATTTCAACTAGATTTGTATTCTCGAGGAGGAAATTTTCAGGAATTTGACCAACTTCGTTGCCATTAAGATGCAAAAGCTTTAAATTTTGGCATTTTTGTAGAGAATTTTGTTGAATTTCTTTTATTTCAACATTTTCCAGTATTAAAGCTTCGAGATTGTTAAATTTATCACAAAAAACTGAACTTAATGCTTGAATTTTTGACGGACAAAACATTTGAAGAATTTTTAAAACGCCGTCGGTCTTTTCAGCTTCGTCATGTTCACCGATAACTTGAGTTATATTTTCATAATTCTCAAAATCTAGCGAAAGTTCACATGAATAAGCCGAAAACTTCATTGAGAATATAGAAATGTCAATGTCTTCATACTGGCAAGTGACATTGTCAGCTGATGTTTCACTTTTTAGGATAAATAAGGCACAAAAAATTATTAAAATGTGAACTTTCATTTTTTAAAGATTTTATTTTTGTTGAATTTTAAAAAATGATGTTTTTGTTGTATTCTTTAGAAATAAACTTTAAAATCTTAAAAAATATAATTTTCTAGTTTCTTGCTGTTCCTTAGCTAACCTAAAGTATTATAATGACTTGATTATGAAGTCATTTGCTTTATTTTCTCGATTACTTCCCAATACAAACTTAATATAAATTTAAATGTATTTAATGATCGCTTTAATTATTAAACTGTGTAGAATTTTAAACAGTAATCTCTTATTAAAATTGGGAGAGTCATAGCTAATGAGAAACAAGAGCATTTGATGCTCTTAATCAGTGGTGAGCAACCTTTTTTGATCCAGGGCACACATTGAGGTTAAATGATGACAAAAAACGCACACAGCATAAGGTTCGTGGGATTTCTGAATTTTTTTTGGCATACTTATGTGCCGCGGTACATGGGTTGACCATCACTGCTTTTAATCAAGGCCTATACACTCGGGACGAATCTTCAAAAATCACTAATTTATCAACAAAAGTAGAAATTTTAAATAGAATTTTAAAAATGATGTCAGGAAGTTCTACCTGGGTGGGGAAAGGGGGTGCCGTGCCAGATTAAAAGTTTCGGGATGAGAGGTCTGATTTTTTTTATTTCAATATCAAATGAGAATGACCGCTTAGATCATTGTAGTATATAATACATTGACATGCTGACAACCACTTCTGACACCTTTAGAACTTCTTGGGGAACAATAAATCCTCGTGGAGCATCGTTTCAGAAACACTGCCCTAGATTCTTATATAGAATGTTTATTACAAATTTGAAGCTTTTTTAGCGCATTTTTGAAACTTGTTTCGAAAAGGTAGCTTAATAAGACTCTTTGTTCGTTTGCTCGGCTGCCTGCAAAACTTTTTGATCTAGACATCGTAGAGAGTTCTGGTTTTTTGCGTTAGCTGTGTTTAATCGAATTATTCCGGCGACGAATAGTTAAAAATCTCAAAACCATCGGAAAATACTATAATTAATGATTTTTTGACTTCAATACAATGTAGCCAACTTCAAGTTGGAAATTTTGAAATATATTTTGACCGTTAGAAAGTTTGAATTCAAAAAAAACCGTTAAATGACAAATCCTTTGTGTACGGAAGTTCATCGCCACAAATTATTAATTATACTATAATTAATGTTTTTGTAGTGCAACTCTTAGCCTGACACCACCTCTTGAGCACCCTTTTACATAACAATTGATTTTTTGGTGACGGAATTGTGAAGTAACTGCGATGTAACTTAGGTTTATGGTCAACTTTGTGGTGGTGCTTGCAAACCAACCTCAGACTCAGGAGCGTAGTCTGAAGTTTTTGAAAGGCAATTTAAAGCGCGTTATTGAATTTTTTCTTCAAAAAACCCTAGCAAATTAAAGAAATTCTCCAAAATAGAAAGGGTTTGACCACAAAAACCCCTCTTTGGATAAACCTCTGCTCCGACTGGGGTCTTCTTGCTCCGCCACTGATAATTCGCCATTTTATCAAGTTGAACAATAAAAGATAATTATTTAAATTTTATTAAATCCAATTTTTATTTAAAATTCTAAATTCCAAGCTATGAGAAAAACTTAGTTCCTGCCAATAATATCCAGCACAGACCCAGCAGTTAAGAATTCACCAAACAGGCCTGAATTAAATAAAGAAAAGCAATTTAAAAAATCCCGAATTTTTTAAACATTTAAAATTTCTTACCGGTCATCAAAATTACTAGCTTGCTGAATTGTTGCTTCAGGAATTGATCTAATCCAATCAGTGAACTTTACGACATCAGTATAGATTGATAAAGTCTGGTCATCACATAAATTAACATCTTTAGTAACAACGGATGACAAAATTCCACGCAAATAAAATTCACTTTCATGTTTCACAAACAATCCACTTCCAATGTCCTCAATGCAGACTCTGTCACTCAATGTTTCATTAATACAGAACGTCTCAGCTCCAGATGTATGGACAAATGCATTATAACCTATAAGACAACTGACACTATCTAAAATTGATGTCTTTAGTTCCTTTGGAGCTGATTTTGCAGTTAGTTTGCGATTGTTCTTATATCCATAGCTTGCAACAGTTCCATTTGTGATTTCACTTTCATCTGAGCCTTCATCCATCAAATTGATACTTTTGACAAATCGAGTAAAACTCACACGTGCAGCCAACACAATAACAGCTATATCATTAGTCTTAATCTTGTCAATTTTAAAAGTTGGATGAATTATGATGTCAGACACCGTTGGGATAGTTCTTCCTCTTTCGGATGGATTAGTTAAATCATGCGATCCAAGAATGATCGAGAAATCATCTTTGGACATTTGTTGAAATCTACTTGATACATAATTATGAAGACATTTCGCAGCTGTTGATAATTTTAAGTTTGTTTTTAAATTGCTTTGGGGTTTACTTTGAGGGGGAAACAACATGATGGGAAAATATTTTTTTACAATTTTGTTACCAAGTTAAGCATGACCCGATTTGAGGCTCTTAAAAAAGCGGTACAGAATAGGTTTAGAAAAGGCTCTCTCGCTCTAAAGTGCGCAGTTAAATAGCCTAATCATGTTGATTCCCCGTTGGGATACTTACAAGTGACAATTTTTCTGCTAGAAACAAGAACTCCACCACAATAGTAGTCACCATTTCGATTCATTATTGCTGCAATCCTGAAATAATCAATGTACTTTAAAATTGATAGGGGACTGTTCATAAATGATGTTCATCAAGAACAAGATTTTCATTAAGGCAATTTTTTACTTGTGTCACAAAGTTTGTGTGAAGAACAAATTTTTTGTCACAAAACTTTTGACCCCGCCTTCGTTTTAACATTAAGGACGTCATTAATGAACGACCCCAGATATTTTGACTAGATTTGACAACAAACTTCCGATTCTGAGTAGCCTATTCTAGTCCGGTACCCCACCCTGGTTAAAACATATGTTAGAACCCCCTTGTTACAAATTTTTGTAACGAAAAAGCTGTTGCGCAATTCTTGGACCCCTTCTCCCCTTCTCCCCCCTCTCCTCTTTTAACTAAATTAGCTAAAATATCCACTTTCTAAACATAACTTTTGAGAATCAATAACTCCAAAAAACAGAACTTTGAAGAATACGTGTCATCTAGCCTGGATTAAGAACCCCTGAATACAATTGATGTGGTCATGAAATACCTTAAGTTAAGAACCCGAATATTTCTCAAAATTTATTCTTACCAAGGATACGTCCCACGTGCAAATAGCTTCCCATTGTTCAACTTTAAAATAGAAAAAAATTAAATTAGTTAAAAAAAATGAAAATCAAAAATGAATTTTAAGCTCTTACTTTTGGTACCTCACTTGCTGGTGGTATGGTTGGCTGAGTGGGTCTTGCTTGTGGTCGTCTCGTTGTTGTTGTTGTTGTTTTTGTTGTTGTAGATCTGGTTGGTCCTCTGGATGTTGGAGCTGGCACATTATTAAATCCTAGAAATTAGTTTTTTTTGATCAATTAAGCTTCATTTGGATGTTATTTAACTACTAGTAGCGTAGCAGGGGAGCTCAAATCTCATTGTCAGGGTTGATTGACGCTCCACAAAAAAGTGATAGCTACGCCGCTGTTAAAAAACCAACAAAGCACTTACTTGACTCGTAATTCTTGAAGCAATTTGCCAAAATAGTATTTATCAAGCTTTTAACTGATGACTTTGTATGAAAACAGATGTTATTGTGCATAAAAATCACATGAATTTGAGAATTCTGGACAAATTTGGGATCAATTGCGTCAATTTGATTGTAACTTAATTCGATATTTTTAATTTTTGTGTTACTTGCGAAGGATTTGGACTTGATGACTGTTAATAAATTTGATCTAAGAATTAATGTTTCAAGGTTGATTAAGCTGCTGAAAACTCCTTCAGGAAGGTCTGCAATCTCATTTGAGATAATTGACAGTCGTTCTAAGCTTTCCAGCTCTTTAAACCATTGAGGCTTTAGCACCTTAAGTTGATTTTGATCCAAATTGAGATTTTTGAGACTTATTAATGCAACAAAAATTTTATCTGGCAAAAATTTAATTTTGTTGTTTCTAAGGCTTAAGATTTTGAGGCTTTCCTGCATCTCGAATGTATCTTGTGGTAAGGAATTCAGTTGATTCGATGTTATCATGATTTCAAGCAGTTCTGTATTCTCGCTGAACAAATTCTCAGGAATTTCACGAAGATTGTTGTTGTTTAGATGCAAAAGCTTTAATTTTGGACATCCTTGAAGTGACTCAGCTGCTATTTTATTAATTTTTGAATTATCAATTTTTATAGCTTCTAGATTTGGAAACATTTCACAAAAAATTGACGAAAATGTTTGTAAATTTATGTTTGGTTTAAAAATAAGGAACTTGACATCGTCGTCGCTATTGTTGTCAATGTGATCTCCATCAATGTCTGTGAGAGTAACGAAGTTGTTGGGATTTCCCACTGATAATTCGCATGTATATTCATTGTATTGTTCACTATTTATTTTCATTGACTTTTGACTGTATTGACATGTTCCCGTATCGGCTATTGTGACTCTTGTTAGAGTTGTGAGCACAAAAATGATTAGAATTTGCCTTATGTGCATCATGTTAATGACCACTGACTTGAAGTTTATAGTACTATTTTTTAAAATTTACAATAAAAATAGAAAAAAATTTCAAAAAGTCAAAAATAATTTTTAAAAAATTAAAAAAATAATTTTTAAAATTAAAAAATAATTTTTAAAATTCAAAAATAATTTTTAAAATTCAAAGATAGTTTTTAAAATTCAAAAATAATTTTTACAACTCAAAACTAATTTTATCAATTCAAAAACAATTTTTAAAATTCAAAAATAAATTTTAAAATTCAAAAACAATTTTTAAAATACAAAAATAAATTTTAAAATTCAAAAACAATTTTTTAAATTCAAAAATAATTTTTAAAATTCTAATATTAATTTTTAAAATTCAAAATTAATTTTTAAGATTCAAAAATAATTTTTAAAATTCAAAGATAATTTTTAAAATTCAAAAATAATTTTTAAAATACAAAAATAATTTTTAAAATTCAAAAATAATTTTTAAAATTCAAAAATAATTTTTAAAACTCAAAACTAATTTTATCAATTCAAAAACAATTTTTAAAATTCAAAAATAAATTTTAAAATTCAAAAACAATTTTTAAAAGTCAACATTAATTTTTAAACTTCAATAAAAATTCCAAAATCCTCAAATCATTAAAAATTTTCATACATTTAAATGAAATTATTCTTTTCTGCTTCTAGAAATATTTTCTAACATTTTTAAACATTAAAACCTAATTTTAAAAATTATTAACCTTTTTGTCAAAACATTTAAAAAACAAATCACTTTTTAAACTTCACAAATAATTAAATAAATTCGATTAAATTGAATAGAATAATATTTTTAAATTATTTACGCGATGAAAATATTAAAAATCGTGTCTTATCAGCAAACTGAACCAAAATACTGAGCAAAATCTCTTTTTAAGCTATTGAAATGAGAAAGCTGCATCATTCTGAGCAGGAGATTATATTGCTTAAATGTTATTTTCTTTATTTGTATTCATTGACTTACTATACAGTCATGAACATATTCTCAATTTGTAAATTGTCACTTAAAAATGGTCAGAATGGGACGCTAGACTTTAATAAAATCCGTGAATTTAATTAGCAAATTTAATTTATTTTAAATGGAATAATTTATATTAAATAATCTTATAATTTATAGTTGCCTTATTAATACTTAAAAGACTGAAAATGAAAAAAATTAAAAGTGAATTTTGAATGATAGATTTTTTTTAATTTGTTTATTTTTAAAATAATATATAATAAATAAATGCACTCAGTTATACAATTTCAATTTTTTCAATCAGCTTTGTATTTCTTTTACTTAACAAGAATTACTAAATGTGTAGAAATCGATGGCAATGTTTTCTATAAAATGAAAAAAAAAATCAAAAAGTTAAAAATAACAAAAATATTTAAAAATTTGAAAAGAAATTCAAAAAAAAATTTAAAAACAAAGTTTGAAAAAATCCAAAAAAAGTAAAAATTGGTTTGTTAAATTATCGACGCTGAAGGGCTAAATCTCGTCCGTTTTATTAGAGGCAATAGTGAAAGACAAAACTGTATATTCTAGTCTTAATTTCTATTGATACAGTCCAACAACCTCCTCGTCCCCTCAATCTTCCGCTTCTCATCAAAAAGTATTAAAATAATAAACGATCCTTTTTGTATAACTCAGGAGTACGTTCAGAAATTAATAATAAGGATCTAGTCAAGTTTTTAACCCCGGCAGGCACACTTCAGGATATAACCCAAATGACACAAGTCGATTCGTTGATCAGAAATCTGGCATCAAGCAGTTGTGACCCTGCTGGCTTCAATTGAAATCCAGCACCATGCCGGCTGTGCGCCGGATTTCTATTCTATTTTGAAAAACTTGTGCTATTCGGGTAATATCTCCATTCCACATCCCATGGCCACCCCAAACCTACTACTCAGTACTTACGTTTATCATTATAGTCATAAACCATCACGCCAGCATTCTGCACATCTTTTACTTCAAAGAACTTTGCAGCTACGACATCAGCACAATAATTTTTGCCTCGGTCAAAGTCATTGTAGTAAATTTGAACCCGTGTTCTTCCTAGTCTTGGTGCTGCAAGCTATAAAAATATTTTAAATAAATTAAAAAACAATTTTTCATTAAAATTTTCGAACCTTAATTTCAGGCCTGCTTGACAAATTGACGATTTCCTTAAATGTATATCCACTCGGCATTTCGACATCATAAATGACATTGAACAGCGTCTGCAAGCTGACTTCATCCTCGAGTGGCTGATAAGTTGCACAAATTTTAACAATTTTCTCATTTGGTCTTGATCCAGTTTGTGGAGTGACTGACAATATTAATTTAGAGCTCGTGTGCTGAAGGGCAACAGTACTTTCCATAATCTTAGTGATTGAACAAAATCCACTTCCTTGAATTGACATTCGAGCCTCTAATGAGTAGTCAGGATAAATCACCTCAATTTCATTCTTTTGATTTGCATTCGTTACGCGCACAACTTTATGGAAATCCTTATCATTTGTTAATGTGACTGTAAAGTCTGTAGCTTGTGTGACTTGCCTGGAAATTAAGAACTTGGAGATAGCTTCCGTAGATACAGCATACGAGTAAGTATTTGAATAAAACTTATTTGATTTATACGAGTCAATGATCCAAATGCACAGTGACTTAGCATCATCATACATGCTCATAGTCACATAAGCAATCACAGCATATGATGTGTGTCGAATGTTGCAGTTGTTGTCAGTCAAAGAGTTTGTTAAACATTTTTTATGTTCAGTCAATTTTTTATAATATTTTTCAGCTTCAGCTAGCAATTGTTTAGCCATTGCGTGGTTCCCATTAAGTGCGTAAGCATATGCAGCTATTGAATATGCTTCTCTGTCTGAAGTAGAGCTACTGGTGATGCCATTAAGGTAACTAAAGCCTCTGTTGATGACGGACTCGTAGTTTTTATTAACAAATCTTCGGAACTTCAAGAATGGAATTAAAATGTAGGCAGTCTGGAAGTATGAGTTACGGCTGCTTGGGATGCTTCCGAAATTATTAAAATATCCACTTGCTGTTTGCTGATTTTGCAGTAAATTCAGTTCTTTCTCGATAATTGGAGTATTACTTGGAAGTGCTCCAATTTCCATAGCTGATGCAATGGCTTCAATAAAGTATGCACGGAAGCCTGATGATGTTGCGTAGTTCTGTGGGAATTAATTGTCAATTTTAGTAAGTTTGCCTTGGTTTTATCAGATTTTGAGGTTGTCTCGATTCAATTATACCAGTGCTTCTCAAACTTCGCACCACGGCACACTTCTATGAAACTAAAACTTTTAGGAAATATCAGGTTAATACTTGATAAAGGAGAACAATGAGGCAAGTTTGAGAACCACTGGAAGAGACAGGCGCGTAGCCAGGGCGGGGGAGGGGGGGGAGGGGGGATTTATGGGACAAATTTGTGGTACAAATCCCCCAACGTAAACAGAATTTTTTTTATTTTGCTAGGTTTTTTTGATAAAAACACAAAAATCCCCCCCCATGACCGCACTAGTGTGTCACGGCTCATAGGTTGAACATCACTGCCCTAAACCACTAAAACATAACCTACATACCCAATTCCTAACTCTTTGCTGTAGTGTTGATTGATAATAAGAACTAAAGTGAGTCGTCGATGGATTTGCATTCTTAGCCTTTAAGTATCGGAAGTGCTCAACGTTTCCTTTGATTCGAGATGTTCTTTGTTCAAGACAGTGTCCTGGGTAGATCCTTAAAAAATAATGAAAAGTCAGCAAATTAAAGTTGGCAATAAAATTTATCACTTACTCATATCCAAGATTGACTTTAGCCATGTCATCGGTCATGTAATCTCCAGCAATTTCAACAATGAATTTTGGATATTCGTCATCATTTGTGACATTCTTTTTGACAGAATCTATCTTTGTAGCTTGCGATGGCTTAAGATTGTAATTTTTAGTTTGAATGTCGTAAACTTTGACTCCAATTGGCTCAACTTTAAGTCTCTTAACCATTTTGTCGATGTATTTAGTTCCATGTCTGGATGTTGCAGTCGCATCCACTCTGATTCTGATCTCTTGCTCAAACTTTGTCCTTTCTGCACCAGATTGAATGTAGAATGAAACCTTCTTAGCATTGTCATGTGGAACACTAACAGTTTTTGTCATCGTTGTAGCTGTGCTTGCTGTTGTGCTGCATGCAGACTCGAAGAATCTAAAGCTTTTCTTATTATCGTGGTCGTACATGTTGACAGTCACATCCAGTGCTTCTTTGTTCTCGACATAATTGTAGACCATGACATCAACTCGAAGCTTCTCTTTGAACCTGATTGAATAAGGCAAGACCAATTTAGTGAAGAATTCATTCTTAACGATCAGCTTCTTTGGTGGTCCAATGGCTAGTCCATGCTCTTCATTCATTGAGAACGATGAGATCAGCCATGATGTGATTGAATCTGGTGCATAATAATTTTTAATCATGCTGCCGTCAGGAACTTCAAACTCATCGAATATAAAGACTTCCCGAAAATCTTCACGGACATCACTTGCAGCAGGCTCAGTTTCTGTATCAGGATTACGTACAGATTCAAGATCATAAATGTCTTCAAACACATTCTCATCCTGATGTGCTGAAAACTCGTCACCGCTGTGCTGAACAACGAATACTCTTCCTTTTTCGATTCTGCGTAGTTCTTCTGGTGTGCATTGATGCCAATTTGTCTTACTGATGTGAAATACAGTAATTTTGTTACTTCCATTATAATTGGCTAGTTCCTTCACGACATCGTCCTTTTTCACTTCATTTCCTTGGAATAAATAGCTTAAACGTTCATCATATCCGAGCAAGTAGACAGTTGAGTCTGGTTTGGTTGTGATTTTCATCGGAACTTTGTTTCTTGTTTGAACTGATTTTGGCATGTCGATGTCGAGCTAAAATTTAATTTTAAGAATATTAGCGCTTTTGTCAAAGACTGGCACTTACTGTATTTCTTCCAAGCTCTGTAGTAGTGACAGTAACCTCGCCTTGTGAGATGCTTAGTCTATCTTTCACATAATAAACGACAACCTTAGCTTCAGGCATCATGTCCTTCTTTATTGTAAAGTTGAATTTGCAGTTTACTTGAAATTTACAATAGACTTGATGACTTTCAATGTTTCCATGCCTTGACATTACGATTCCAATAAGTTGATCAATTTCTGAGTCTGCTCGGACGTGGATAGTCACAACATCACCATGATTTGGTCTAAAAGTCAAAAATATTTAGTAATTTGAGGTTAATTTTCAAATCAAGCTTGACTTACAGTTTTGGCAAATAATCCACAACAATCTTATTGACACCAACAACCACAGCACCTTTTGGAATCTGTTTCTCATAAGTAGCTCCAATGTATCTAATTGTAACTGACAATCTATCTACAGTCTCTGAAATCAAGGTATTAACTATAGCCACACCTCTTTTTATCACACCATCCAATAAAAGTGTTTCGTGCTGTCCATTCTGATGACTACATGACAAGCTTATTTTGACTCTTTCTGGTGTGCTTTGAATCAATTTGCCTGTCCAATCGTAAACAAATACTTTAAATCCGAACGGAAGTCCAGGCATGAATTTATCTGGATGATTAGTTTGTATCTTTGGACTATTGTCTGCATGAACTGTAAACTTGATGGATTTATTGGCACTGATTCCACTTTCTGGGTCTGTAAAGACGATCGTGGCTTCATAGTCAAGTTTGGTTGTTGTTATGGCTTTGAGGTCTGTATGTGCATTATATTTGACATTATGGATGCCAGCGATGTCACTGAATGGCTTTGACACAACAGTTTGACCATTTGTTGTGCATTTAATTGTCAACTGTGCATTTCCACGGACAAAATCATCAAATGAATATTTAGCGTAAAATGAAAGCCGCAGCACTGAGTTGGTCAGCAAATGTTTGTCTTTAAGGCTTATGTAGGCAGCAAATGGTGGCAAAGTGTACTTTGAGACTGCAAACTCCTTCGAAGTCTCCCACTGTTCAATTTTATCGATAACTGCTCGAATCTTCCAGATACCCAAAGGCGTGTTTTGACTCAAACTAAAGTTATGTGTAAAGACACCCAAGAAATCGTCTTCAAGATCATTAAACTCTTTTAACGGACGGTTCAGTGAGTCAGTCACATTGATGTTAATGTTGTTCATGTGATATGGCCTCAAATCTCGATCAACAACGATAACTCTAAACCTGACTGTATCTCCAGGTTTGTAGATTGGCTTGTCAGTCTGAATAAATGTGTAATATTGCCTCTTTTCAGCCTCAATCTCCTGCAATGTTTGTGTCATGCACATTTGTCGTTGTCCAGTCGCTCCCGTCTCATTTCGATGCAGTGTCATGAACAACTCGAATTTTGTCTTCGATCCACTTTTATCAGGATTTTTTACAGATATTTTCTGAACTTTATCCGATGCTAAAGCAACAGTTCCATAACTTTTTCGAAATTGAAGTGCAATTTCAGTTCTTTTGTCGATATTATTTGAAAGGAGGACGACATTGTAGTCTTTTTCATCATAAAACTTTTGCGGTGCCCAAATTGTTACAAATCTGTGAATTAAAATTTTTTTAATATTGTTATCAATTTTGGGAAGCAAAGTTCAAGTGACAATCAGAAGTTATAAGCAAAAACACAGACAAATTAAAGCAGGATGATCATTGAACTTTTGCAATCCAGGACGAGTCTCCTTAAATGTAATACATCTTGTTGCAATGACTTTATTATGGCTTTTAGCTTGATTCTTCTCAGAATTGTATTTTGAGAGCCGTGCATCAATAATAATGTGTGAAGGGCCCAGCCTTTCAGTTGGAGGCACTTCACTATTTGTACCATATCCATTTTTAATACCGTGCATCATACAAACTGAGTGGAATGACTTTAAGAAGCGTAATTAACCTCCAACTTCATAGCAATTGCTTCAATCCATTTAATTTTCCTATTGAAGCTTACAAAAGCAATTGTCCTCAATTAAAAAACTGCCTTAAATTTGTCGTACTTTCACTTAACTGTCTCTTCTCGAAACCTTATTTAAACTAATTGACACTACTTACTCGTCATGACTGCAATCAATATTTATAATACTTTGTAGGAAAAGTAGCCCGAACAACCAGAAGAAGTTCATCTTAAGACTGATTCTTTAATATTAATTAATAAGTGACTGCTTCTTCCTCTTAAATAGAATGAAAGATTTTTTTTTATTTGTGAGAAATTGCGTTTATTCTACTTTTGACTGAAGTCACTTCTTTTGAATTATTCTCTCAGACTTTTCTTCTCAATTAATCATAAAATACGGGGAATTTTTGAAAAAAAAATAAATTATTTAAAACTTTTATATTGCTTGGTTGATGTGATGAAATGAATCTAAGGAATTTCCATTTGATATGCCAGTTACAGTATTCAGGACAAACTGTTCAATGGATTACAATTTAAATATCAAGATTTTGGGTAGCGAGTAGGTAAAGCGTGGTGTTTTTACATACGATCTGTTTGTAAATTGCTAGATCCACATTGAACCTTGTAAATCTATGTCAAATCCAGGTTAAAAGGTCTTTAGTAGCACACAATTCCTTTCTCCGTCCCCCCCCTCCCCCTCACAGTCTTGAAAAATTGCGTTGGTTGAGAATCAATTAAGCATAAATTTTATAAAATGTACGAAAACACCCTCTTTAGTATCTTGCGTAAACCAATCAGGTGCGTGGCTAAGGAAAGGGGAATCTTCGGATCGACCCCGTCCCCCCTCAAAAAAATTTATGACTAAGCTTAAGGGGTCTGACAGCTCTGGTGACAAGTTTTTTTTTTTCATTTTTTAATTGCACTTTACTGCATTTATTGACGACATACTGTCAGGTAATAATTCACATTTTACACTTTTGTATTTGTATACATATGAATTAATATTATGTAGGATCAAACTTCTAATCTTCATATCTAGGTTTCAAATAAACTAAGGCTCTCGTTTCGATCTTCTGTAGGCGTGACGTGATACTTTTCAGGTCCGTTCTAACAATATTCCATTCGTGGGTAATCTTGTAGCTCTCGTTCCTATTTCTGCCGCTACACTTCAAGTTCCTGACCCGTTCCTTAATCCAACGTTTTTCAATTGCCCAACTATTGCTTGATATCCTACATTAAGCAGTCTAAACTTTATAAAAGAGAACAAATTTGGAAATGGCTGGATTCAAACCGACGACCTTCGAGTTACCATCCCAAATTTGAGCCAAGCGCCTTACCTATTCGACCAGCAAGGCACACAACTGCTTTAAGTTAAAAAGTTACAAATTAAAAAGGGTTAAAATATTTGGAACTTAATTTGTCAGCCCCATGCTGAGTTTCTGAAAGCAACTCTACAGTAAATCAAATAAAATTTAATTATTATTTATCATTTTTATTCTAATTTATTATTCTTAAGGTACACATTCATAATTATTTAATTGACATTTCTAAAAAATAAAACAAATTTCATGCTTTTTAACAATCATTCTTTACATTTTTTGACTTCATTATTGGAATTTTTATTAGAATTTTTTTATTATTTTTTTCGTCATGCTTAAAGGGTGCTTTACTAGTATCAAAATAAATGTACAGATTTGAGGTGCTTTAATTTATGACAATTTATAATTTAGCCGAGAGTATTGATCTTATTACAACAGTTTGGGGTTCTGAAAATTTAGATGGACGTCATAAGTGATTGACCCCTTTTAAATCCGTTATTTGAGGTAAATTAGCACCGAATTCTGCAGGTTATGGCACAACTTGAATAAAATCAAGAGTATAGAACTAATTAATCAGATTTTAATCAGTTCTATACGCTAGATTATAACTAATAAAAGTAATTAAAATTAATGTCCTTTCTTCATTAGGCAGTCTTCCTAGCAACTATTTGAAAATGTGTAGAAATCAATGGCGATATTTGCTAAAAGAAAGATATAAAAATTATTTTATGCTGAAAACTACAAGACATAAGCCTTACTTTTATCATTAAAGTCATAAATCATGACGCCAGCGTTCTGAACGTCCTTAACCTCAAAGAATTTAGTAGCTTTAACATCAACGCAATATTGTTTACCACGCTCGAAGTCATTGTAGTAAATTTGAACTTTTGATCGTCCCTTCCTTGGATGCGCCATCTTTATAAAAAAAAAATCAAGTAAGAAAATCACAAAAAACATAAAGCGCATTTTTCTAACCTTAATTTCCGGTTTCTTATCCAAACTATCAATATCAGTATAAGTATATCCACTTGGCATTTCAACATCATAGATAACATTAACAAGTGTCTGCATGCTGACTTCATCCTCAAGTGGCTGATAAGTAGCACAAATTTGGACAGTTTTAATATTTGAGGTTGACTTTGCTGGCTTAACTGTCAACAAGAACTTCGAGCTTGTCTGTACCAAAGCGACAGTACTTTCAATAATTGTTGTAATTGAGCTGTATCCACTTCCAGTAACCGATACCTTAGGTTTAAGGGTATAAGCTGGGAAAATAATTTCTTTGGCATCTTTTTGATTTTTCGTTGTTATATGCACAACTTCATTAAAGTCTAATTCATTTGTTAAAGTTGCTTTAAAGTCAGTGGTTGGATGGACTTCCCTTGTGATTAAAAACTTAGCAATTGCTTCTGTCGTGATAGCAACATCGTATGTATATTCGTAGGCACTGTAGACTCTATATGAAGTAAGAAGCCATGTGATGAGTGCCTTTGCATTTTCAACCTTTTTCATTGTTAAGTATGTGATTGCGACATATGATGTATGCCTCATATCACATTTTGTCTGACTTCTTGACAATTTATAGCATTTACGAATTTTGTCAATTCTAACAATGTCCTTTTCAACTTCATCGAGCATCTTTTGTGCCTGATTATTGTCACCATTTAGTGCATACGCTAATGCAGCCAAACCATAAGCTTCCTTATCCGTACCCGATACAGCATGTATGCCGGTCAAATGACTAAAGCATCTTTGAATCACTTCATCATAATTCTTTGTAAGAAAATTCATTTTTTTAATCTTCAAAAATGGAATTAAGACATAAGCAGTTTGGAAGTATGTGCTTCTGCTGGGCGGTGTCGGTCCAAAATCACCAAACGTTCCATCAGCATTTTGCTTGCCTTTCAAGGCATCCAATTCTTGTTCAACAACTCTAGCATTCTTTGGAAGTGCTCCAATTTCCATAGCTGATGCGATAGCTTCAATAAAGTACGCTCTGAATCCGGTGTTGCCTCTGTAGTTCTGGAATTGAGGACATAGTGTTATGCTAAACAATAACTAGCTTGACACCAACTTACCCAATTCTTTGTCTTTTGATCCAAGATGGATTGATAATATTCAGTAAATCCATGTGATGATGGATTTGGATTCTTTGCCTTTAAATATCGGAAGTGCTCAACATTACCTTTCAGCTTTGACGTCCTTTGTTCGAGACAATTGTGTGGGTAAATTCTGAAGGCGAGAATAAAATGGTTAATTTTAAATATAAAGCTTAATAAGAACCAACTTACTCATATCCTAATTTGACTTTACTCATGTCATCCGTCAAAAAGTCTCCAACAACTTCGACTATAAACTTTGGATATTCATCTGAGTTTGTAACATTTTTGTAAAGTGCTTTAACTTTTGCTGCTTGTGATGGCTTGAGACTGTAGCTTTCGGTTTCAACTTCATAAGTTTTAACTCCAATTGGCTCAACTCTTAACTTCTTTAACAATTTATCTTGAAGAGTTTCTCCATGCCGGGTTTTGGCAACTGCATCAACTCTAATTTTCAGCAATTGCTCGAACTTTGTTCTATCAGCACCAGACTGTATGTAGAATGAGACACGTCTAGCATTATCGTATGGGACACTGACAGTTTTTGATGGCTTTGTCTCAGCACTTGCTGTTGTGCTGCATTCTGTATCATAGAATCGGAAGCTACTTTTACCTTCATAATCAAACATGCTGACTTTAACATCCAATGCTTCTTTGCTTTCGACATAATTGTAGACCATAACATCAATGCGAAGCTTCTCCTTAAACCTGATCGAGTAAGGCAACACGACTTTGGTAAAGAATTGATTCTTAACAATCAGTTCCTTTGGTGGTCCAATTGCTAATCCATGCTCTTCATTCATTGAGAATGATGAGATCATCCATGATGTAATAGAGTCTGGAGTTTGGAACTGTTTTGTCAAGGTTCCTTCAGACACTTCAAGCTCTTCAAACAACCAAACTTCTCTAAAGTCTTCACGAATGTCATCAGCTACAGCTACGGATGTTGTGTCCACAACTCGTTCACTTTCAAGCTCGCCCAACTCTTCATCCATATCATCATCAGAATTTGCTGAGAACTCATCACCGCTATGCTGAACAACGAAAATTCTTCCTCTTCGAATTCTATAAAGTTCCTGTTCATTGCATTCATGCCAGTTAGTTTTCTTGATATGGAATACAGTGACTTGATTAGTTCCATCAAAATCAGCAAGTTCCTTTACAACATCATCCTTTTTCACATCATTTCCTTGGAATAAGTAAGTTAGACGTTTGTCATAGCCAAGAAGGTAGACTGTTGAGTCAGGTTCCGTTGTTATTTTCATTTCTACCATTTTTCTGGTTTTTGCTGATGGCGGGAGTTCAATGTCGAGCTGTGAATTAAGGAACAGTGATTAATAATAAAATATTGGACTATAAGATACAAGTATGGAGTACAAAATAAGGTATAAAGAGGGGATGAGGATATGATGCAGTTCTTAAACTGTAGGGGTTGTTCTTAAATGACGTTCACTATGTGGTGAGGAGACGCTTTCCTTTTTAAACCACGCCCTATTTTCAATATGGTGGGATTCAAAATGGTGGACTTTTTGCTTTGTTTAAACATTCAAAATGGCGATTTTTGTTTTGTTGTAAAATTCAAAATGGCGTTTTTTTAAAAAGAAATTCAAAATGGTGGACTTTTTGCTTTGTTTAAACATTCAAAATGGCGATTCTTTTGTTTTGTTGTAAAATTCAAAATGGCGATTTTTTGTTGTGTTGTAAAATTTAAAATGGCGATTTTTTTATTTTAAGAAATTCAAAATGGCGGAATTTTTGCTTTGTTAAAAAATTACAAAATGGCGATTTGTTTGTTTTGTGTAAAAGTTAAAAATGGCGGGTGTTTGTAACCATCATATTTTACAAGGGATTATAAAAGAAAATCTTATATTCCAATTGACGTAATTTATTAACAGAACCTTGTCTCATGTTAAAGGAACCTAAAGACATGGCAACTTTAGTCAACTAAGGTTGGTATTTACTACCTTTTCTGTCAAGCAGAGCTCAATGGCAACTCAAACCCAGAGTTTATAGCCGGTATGCAGGTCAAGTCGGATACCCAACCCCACACTGTTACTATTACTAGAAACGGGAACTCCTGCAAGCACCTAATACAATAAATCATTCCCCATAGACCTTGACTTACCGTATTCTTTCCAAGCTCAATTGTCGTAATAGTTGTCTCTCCTTGTGACATACTCTGTCTGTCTTTCACATAATAAACCACAACCTTAGCTTCAGGCATCATGTCCCTTGTGATTGTAAAGTTGAATTTGCAGTTGATGCGAAAACTACAGTAAGCTTGATGACTTTCAATATTTCCATGCCTTGACATTACGATTCCAATAAGTTGATCAATTTCTGAGTCTGCTCGGACGTGGATAGTCACAACATCACCATGATTTGGTCTAAAAGACAAAAAGATTTAGTAATTTGAGGTTAATTTTCAAATCAAGCTTGACTTACAGTTTTGGCAAATAATCCACAACAATCTTGTTGACTCCAACAACCACAGCACCTTTTGGAATCTGTTTCTCATAAGTAACTTGAAGGTATGTTATTTTAACAGTCAGTTGATCGACATTTTCAGGAACAATAAGGTTGAGTATAGCCACACCACGTTTAATGACGCCATCAGCAAGGATTGTACTACTTTCGCCGTTCTGAAGAATGCATTCTAGCTTGATCTTAACTCTTTCTGGTGTCGATAGAATCAATGTCTCTTTCCAGTCAAAGACAAAAACTTTAATGCCAAACGGAAGTCCCGGCATGAATTTTTCTGGATGATTAGTTTGGATCTTTGGACTATTGTCTGCATGAACTGTAAACTTGATGGACTTATTAGCACTAATTCCACTTTCTGGGTCTGTAAAGACAACAGATGCCAAATAATCGAGTTTTGTTGTTGTTATAGCCTTCAATTCTTCATGTGCCTTATATTTGACATTATGGATGCCAGATATGTCACTAAATGGCTTTGATACGACAACTTCACCGTTTGTTGTGCATGTAATTGTGAGGTGTGCATTACCACGGACAAAATCCTCAAATGAATATTTGGCATGGAAGGAAAGTTGAAGAACTGAGTTGGTCAGCAAATGTTTGTCCTTAAGTGTGATGTAAGCAGCAAATGGAGGAAGTGTGAACTTTTCAACAGCAAAATCTTTAGATGTCTCCCACTGTTCAATTTTATCGATAACTGCTCGAATCTTCCAGATACCCAAAGGCGTGTTTTGACCCAATGTAAAGTTGTTCGTGAAGACTCCCAAGAAGTTCTCACCAAGATCATCAAACTCCCTAATTGGTCGGTTAAGTGAGTCTGTCACATTGATGTTTATGTTGTTCATGTGGTACGGCCTCAAATCTCGATCAACAACGATAACTCTAAACCTGACTGTATCTCCAGGTTTGTAGATTGGCTTGTCAGTCTGAATAAATGTGTAATATTGCCTTTTTTCAGCCTCGATTTTCTGCAATGTTTGTGTCATGCACATTTGTCGCTGTCCACTCGCTCCCGTCTCATTTCGATGCAGCGTCATGAACAGCTCAAACTCCTTCTTCGATCCTGTTTTATCGCTGTTTTTTACTTTAACCTTTTGAACTTTATCCGAAGCTAAGCCGAGTGTTCCAAAACTTTTGCGAAATTGAAGGGCAATTTCAGTTCTTTTGTCAATATCAGTGGATAGCAGGACGACATTGTAGTCTTTTTCATCATAAACTTTTTTAGGTGCCCATAATGTGACGTATCTAGAAATAGAATGGAATTGATTGGGTTATAAATCTTTAGCCTGATTGTGTCCTGATAGGTTGTCCCGGGTAGTCCTATAAACCGAGCCGTGGTCTCAAAAATTGAAAAATAATATAGTCAAACATGAAAATCCCTCGAAAACAGCAAATTAAATTTTTTGTCCATATTTTAAAAATAGGAGTTTGATAAGCAAAGTTAATAAAGTGAAAAAAAATTTATGAGCTTGAATTTTTCTTATCAACAATAATTAAAAAATAGGAAGTACTTATTGAGCTATTAAGTCAGTTTATTTAAATAAAAAGTTGAACTACGACAATTATGCATTAGGAAAGAAAGCAAGAAGGGAAAGCAGCTACAGCTGTGGTCCCAAGTTATTATTAAATACAGCTTCAAATGTTTAGTTAAAGATGCAGCTGCATTTAACATCAAACACAAGTCCAGGTCAATAAAATAAAGCATGGCAGTTTCATGATAAGCTTATTTTAATTAAATTGCTGATTTCGCTAGAATTTGAGCTGTTATTTTTATAACAAAAATTCATTTGTGTAATTTATTATTTATTTATTTTTTAAATTGCGCAATTATTATGGTTTACTTTGCCAGATCGAATTATAACTGTAAGGCATGTTATCCAAAGCTACTTAAAGGATTGTTCACGTTTTGTGTTAACTTAGCATACAAAGAACATGCTTTAAGACCGTAATTTATCAATTTAATTTAAAGAACAAGGATAAGTTAACCCGGAGTAAAATCGGAGAGTCTCTCCTGGGTCCCTAAGAAACCAGGGTCAGCTCTAGAGAAAGGCTCTAATGTTTTTTTGACAAATTCTAAGAAAAATGAATCATAAGTTGTATTTGAGTTCCTTTTACTATCCTAGAGTCTAGTGATGGTCAAGTGTCAGGTGCGTAGTCAGGAGGGTATTGTCCCTCTCTTAATCGTTTTAGGCCGTGCTCTACCTGTGGTTCAAAACGTTTAGGGGGGGTTGGCAAGACCCTCCTGGACACGCGCCTGGCTAAACATAGTTTAGACACCACTGGCCTTTACCAGTGGTTGTTATTGCGTGCGTTTGTGGGATTTATCAATTTTTTTTGCAGCACATAGGTTGGCCATCACTGGCTTAGACCAGTGTTTCTCAAACTTTTTCAGTCTACGGTGCACCTTGATGTTAAACAAAAACCAAACCCGAGCACAGCTTGTAATTCGTAATATTTATAAAAAAACTGCAGTACAAAGTTTGAGAACCACTGGCTGTGGCTGTCAAAAATGTGAGAATGCAATGCATTAATTTGCTTTAATAGTAAACAAGACTGTTAATTTTTTTACAATATTAGATTAGGAGCCGTTTATTTATTACTTCCAGGAGAAAGGGGGGGAATCAGCAATAAAAGAACAATATAAATTCCTAGAAATCGATTTTTCTTTTTTGAAAAATGACCGTTAATTTCTGAAGTCATAAGTGAACGACCCTACTTTTCTATTTTAACTTTTTACTATTTTAAAATTGTTTAAAATAACCGAAAAAATTTAATTTAAAAAAATCAAAAATCAGCAACTTAATTTAACTGTCTTAAGATTCCCGACTTAAACTATAAACATAATTAAATCTTAAATAGTACTTACTCTTCAGCACAATCAATAGTCACAATATTTTGTAGGCAAAATATGAAAAACAACCAAAGGAGTCTCATGTCTGAAAGCTACTTTGAGAATGACTTGAATTGAATCACAGACGTGAAGCTACTCTTTTGACTCGTTAATTTAAATCTTTGAAGTATTTGTGAGAGAAAACTCGTTCGTTCTTAAAAATGATCTCAGCGATGATTTTGTATCAAAATCGGGGATTTTTTTATTATTTTTGCATTATCAGTTCCTTTTTTATGTATGAATAATGGTGAATTTACTTGGATTTTCCAATTAATAATGTGTGTCAAAGGTACAAATGAGATTAAATTCTTTCTTCTGAATATGAGATGATTAGTGCAGTTGTCCTTAAATTCGAAATTATTAAATGACGACAAAAAGTTTATGGTTTTCTAGCTTCATTTTTGGTAGTCTACATCTGCACTTATGACTATAATTTATAAGCTATTTTAATAATTGAAATTTTGAATTTTTACTCAAAGTTAAAAGTGTCAAAGCCTTGTTTTTGAGCGAATTTCACAATTTATGGTGGGGGGAATTCTCAAAAATAATAATCTTTTTAAAATTTTGAATGTCTTGGTTAACTGCGAAGTAAATTGAGAGAAATCTGAGCTAAACGAAGTAAAGAGAATTTTCAATTTGTAAAAAAATAACTAGAACTGAACCCTTTAAGTTTGTTAAGACCTCTCTCATCTTATAAAAGGATCTTCTGAAGAAACCCCCTCGACATTTTAAAAAATTAAAATAGTCATGAAGCTTTGCCCTTTTCCGAAACGATTTAAAAGAGAATACTTGCTTTGGAATCGCTTCTAAATCCATCCCCTCCCCCCTTTTTAAACGTTTTGAGCCATGCTCTCGCTGCGGTACAAAACTTTTAAAGAGGGGGTTAGATGAGGGGGGGGGGGTTAAGAGAAGAGGAGGGGGTTGGGGTCAGGAGAAGAGGAGGGGGGGTAGAAGAAGAGGAGGGGGGTTAGAAGAGGGGGGGGGTTAGAAGAGAGGGGGGGGTTCAGAGAAGAGGAGGGGGTTGGCGTTAGGAGAAGAGGAGGGGGGGGTAAAAGAAGAGGAGGGGGTCCAGACCCTCGTGGCTAAGCCACTGGCTCTTTCATCATAAGCAGGCACGTAACCTGGGGGACAAATTCATATGAAAAATAATCAAAAATCCCCCCCCCCCCCCCTTTTTAATTCTTAATCGTTGACTAAGAAATTTTTTTAAGCACGAAGGGGAAAGGCTCATTTGAATAATATTTCATTAAATACAGCTGGATTGAATTGTAGCACCTAAAAGATCATAAAATTCATTGGTTTAAGCAACTTCAGATCATTATTTAAGTCAATTCTATCGTTGCAAGCAAAAACTCAACAAAAGTGTTACTTAAAAGCCTTTAAAAAAAGTCTTACAGTCTCAACAACGAATCAACATTTTAGGAATACTTCAAATAAATCTAGTGAGCACATTTTATATACTCAAGATGATTACGTACGAAAACTCAATAAGCGATAAGTCGACAGCAACAGATTTTCAGTCATTCAGTGATCGTTCAGCAGCCACACGATATTGTATTTTTAAGTGTCTTTTGAGATTTTTGCTTCGTAAAAATGAAGCTTGCCTTTAAATTCTATTTGATATTTGCAGTGCATACTGCGACGATTTATAGGTGAGAAGAAGATTATTGTTATTTTGGGTTTTTTCCAGTTTATTTATTTATTATTTTCGGAAGATTAGACTTGACTTGTTTTGATTATTGCTGTGCTGTTTGGGATTTTTTAATGATTTTATTTATTTATATTTTTCAAGTGATCAAGTTGTTACATTGATTGGATCTCATTTGCTGCCCGCTGACTCGAACTTTAAAACATTTTTATCAACAAATAATTTGGATGGTGGCTCAAGTGTTGATGTGTCTTTAACTACCTCAAATGGTCCTACTAATAAGAATGTCCGGATGTCTGCAAAAGATACTTTTGATGAGGTTCAGTTTGAGGTAAATTTTGAATAAACTTTTGAATTTGAAGAAACTTGCTTTCAAAAAAAATTATTTGAATTTCAAACAACGTTAAAAATTATGAACTTAAAAAACAGTTAAAATTTTGAATTTAAAAAAACCGCTAAAAAGTTTGAATTTTATAAATTCATTTAAAAAATTTTGAATTTTAAACAACCGTTAAAAATTTGAATTTAGAAAAAAAACGATGAACGTTTTGAATTTAAAAAACCGTTAAAATTTCATCTTTTCACATTCATTTCCTGTCATCAGCGTCTACCCCAATCCAACGACTACGAGCTCAAAGTTGCCCCAAAGTCTTCCAACAAATGCTCATCAGCTAAACTCATCAAAACTTCAGACCGTCCGATCATTTTCATCCAATATACTAAACCTTTTTATAAAATCGGCGATGACTTTAGCTTCAGAATTTTCGCATTAAACCAAAAAATGCTTCCATACTCTGGCAGGCAGTCAATTAATGTAAAAATTCTAGACTCGAAAAATAAAGTCATAGAAAAATTCGACAATATTGAGACCTTAAACTTTGGTGTCTATGAAAACAAATTTAAGCTATCAGACTCTGAAAATTTGGGTAAATGGAAGATCCAAGTTGAGTCAGCGGACAGAAAAATCACAAAAAAGTTCAATGTTGAGCAGGCAAATCCAGACAATTTAGAGATTTACATTGAAATGGTTCCAATGCTTGCCTATTTGGATCGAAAAGCTTTTATGAATATTTATGTCAAGGACAGAAGCAACAAGTTCTTTACAGGAACTGCTAAAATTTACGTCAGTGGAAGTGTCAAAGGATCAAGTCGAGTCGACTTTAACAGAAAACTTGTAAAGACACTGGATCTTGTCGGTCATAAAAATGGAGTTGGAATCAGCTTTGATGAAGAAATTGGACTTTCTCCGCCATCTGACATGAATCTCAAGTTTGACGTTGAAGTAACTGACCCAGCAACCCAAAGATCCATCAAAGCATCAAAAAATGTCGAACTTAAGTCCAATTCCAGAAATACAATTCATCTTGTCAAGAAGAAGTTCTTCAAACCAGGATTCAAATATCCAATGAAAGTTAAGGTCAAGACACTAGACGGTGCGCCAGACAATTCCTTTAACAAATTATCAATGACTGTTGAGTATCACAATAAAGGCAGTGGAATTGATAAGAAAGAATTCCAGATGAATCTTAAAAATGGAGAGATTTCAGCACCATTGAATCCAACAGCAGACACGACACAGATTACAGTTAATTTGGCATTTGTTGGTGCATCATTGACTGAAGTAATCAAACCACTGCCAACTATGGGAGCTAATGAGTACATGCAGGTGTCACTTTTGAAAAAAGGGTGAGTTGAACTTAGTTGTTTATGATATTGAGGGTAAGGGGTTGCCAGGGTTACCCTAACCTATAATCAAGAATTGATTGTGGTTAGGACTAGGTTTGTAGATTTTTGTGTGATCCGATCCAACTTCCTTCCCTAAAGCTCATGCCTAATATAAACATTAGCTCTTAAACTGTTTGGTTTAAACCAGTGTTGTTTAAACTGTGTGCCGCGGCACTTTGGTGTGCCGTTAAAATTTTTGGTAAATGCTGTGTCCGACTTTTTTTTAATGGCTTATCCTTAAGGTGTGACATGGCTCAAAAAAGTTTGGACAACACTGGTTTAAACCATCACAAAACTCCACAGCCCACCTCCCCTCCTTAAATATAGACGTCATTAATAATCACCTCCAAAAACTTCCTCCTTTTTTTTCAGCAACGCAGTCGGCGATACCGCTAAATACCAAGTACAAGCAACCCAAGAAATGGAGTCACTTCATGTCCTTTTAATAGGTTTGAATGGAATCGTTCATTATGAAGAGTTTCCCGATGCTATGGACAAGGATATTTTTGAATTCTCTATTGAACTAACTGAGGAGATGAAGCCTGAGTCGAGAGGAATTGCATTTTATATTCGTCCGTCAGATGGAGTTCTTATTTATGATGAATTTGTGTTGAGTCTTACATTTGGCATTGAGAATTTGGTAAGGAAATTCGGGGTTTGTAAGGGTTTATGGTTTGGATGGTACCTCAAGAAGTAGGTTGGGTGTGTGGCATGGATTCAAGTCCATGCTATGCAAATATGTATAGCTTAGGTTTCGCCGAGAAATTTGCCCATGGTTTCTGAAGCTTAATGCTACTGTAAACAATTTAATGATCTTAGGTGTGCTATTGTACCAAAGAGTGGTTTCTAGGATAAAATATAGGCGCCTTAACACTCTATTCAAGCCATATGCTGAGTGTGTCTTGGTTCTGATTTTACCTGGGCTTCTAAAACTTCCCGGAGTCCTGTTGAATCAACAGTCAATTTACTATTCTTAAGGGTATAATCAAACCATTGACTAAGACTATAGCACCAAAAGTAACCCTACGTACTGATCTAAGGCACACCTAAGCTATGTCAAAGGATATACCAAGCCACTATTGACGTAAACTTATTTACAGCTCGAAATATCAGCACCAGAAACCGGAAAGCCAAGCGAACAAATTAATTTAGATTTTAAGACATTGAAAGGTTCAAAAGTGTTCCTTACAGCATCAGATCAAATATCACCGCAACTTGTCCGTGACAATGAAATCTCCCGATCTGACATTTACAATGAGCTCATCTTCTACTTGAATTATAGATTCCCAAACACATCGCTCTACAATTTTGAAAAGTTTAATGGATTTATCTTGCAACCTTTGTCAGAAGGACAAACTTGTGGTCGGGAATCTGCGAGATATACTAATATTGAGTCTGATGAGGAAGATGAAGCTACAACTGATGTTAAATACTTCCCAAATGTTTGGTTTGATAAAAGTTTTGATGCATCATCTGACAGTGCTACATCAGTTCCTGTTAAACTTCCAAACAGCCTTACAACTTGGAGATATTATGGAATTTCAGTACATCCAACAAAAGGCTTTACAGTTGCTAAAGTTCAACCAAAAACAGCAGTTCAAAGTGAAATTGTTGCTCAAGTCAAAGCACCGCCATCAGCATACGAAAGTGAAGTAGTTTGGGTCGACATAAATGTCTTTAATACACTTCCTGATCGTCTTCAATCTGATGTATTTGTAAGCATTGAGAATGGATTTATTGTTGATCTAAAGGACAATGTAGAGTTTAACCTCAAATGTACGAAGTTCACAACAAGAAATCAAAAAGATGTCAAACTAAGCAGCAACTTACAGCCTCAAAAGAAGACAGAAGTTAAGACCATTCCAATCAAGTCAAACGGCAACGGGGACATGAAAGTCAAAGTCAGAGCTGCTGCAGGAAGCTACAATGATGAAGCCACAAAGACAATAATGATTGAGCAAGCTCAAGATCCAGCTCATACAGACAACAACTTTGAAGCTAAAGTCAATACTCAAGCACTGCCAAACAATCAAGCAAAGATTGAAATTGAAGGCAAGGTCTTGCGTCAGGATGTCACACAGTCCAGCATTATTGTTCTTGATGTTGAACTTCCAAGAGGATTTAAGTATGCTGGACACGAGCAAAATGATAAGATTGAGGTTAGTATTTAATGGTTGTGCTGTATTTAAATGAAAATCAATCTTTTCTGATTCCAGGATGTCGATCTACATGATGATTCCAGCGTTACATTCTACCTTAAAAATCTGAGACCAAATCAAAACTTTAGACAGTCAATTAAAGTATCAAAGGTTTATGACTTTGACAACCATAAACCATCGGTCGTAACTGTTTATGACTATAAGCGACCTGGTAAGCAGCTTAATACTCTAAAATTAATTCATTCTTAAACTTCTTGGTCCTTAACATTCCAGACAGCAAAAGCATTTCATACTACAGCTATGACAAGAACACTGATGCATGTGACAGAATCGAAGTCATCAGATGGACGAACAAAGCGAAAGATGCACAAGAAATCACACAAGAAGCTCAAAGAGCTGTCCAAAAATCACGTGGTAAAGTTGAACAAGCACAACAGATCCTTACAAATGCTCAAACTAAACTCAAACAAGCAGAAGAGAATGTCAAGATAGCAGAACAAAAGGCACTTGAGGCTGATCAAAAATCACAAGATGCATTTGCTATAGCTGAAGATGCATGGGGTGCTGCTGAACAAGCAAAGCAATATAAACTTAAAAATGTAGTCGTGACAAATCCGAGTAACTCAATTGAAGAACCAGCACAAGAAACAGCAACAACTGCAGCAGAAGCACAAAGACTTGCAAAAGAAGCCCAACATCTCGCTGATCAAGCACAAGATGATGCTGCTAATGCTGAAGATGATGTAACACGTGCTAATGATGATGTTGAGGCTGCAAAGGCTGAAGTTCAAAAGGCACTAAAAGCTCTGACCGATGCTCAAATGCATGCTCATGAGTCAAAAGATGAAGCTGAAAACTTACAAAAAGACGCAATGGCAGCTAAAGGAAATGTCGGAGATGCTCAAAATAAAGTCAAAACAGTACAAAAGGATACATTGGATGCACAAAGAGCTGTAAATGCAGCTGCAGACGAGGTTAATAAAATACAGAACAATGTCGATGATGCTTTAGCAGTTGTTAATGATGCAGTCAATAAAGCGAATAAAGCAACAAGATACACAGATATTGAGCTAGACATCCTTAATGCAGAAAAAGTGTCACAAAATGCACAAACTCTTGCACAAAATGCCAATCGAGTAGAAAAAGGAGTCATCCAAAAAGTCCAGCAACCTGTTACTGCAATCAATCAAGAGTGGGACAATGTCCAGAAATTACAAACTTATTGCAACAGCATTTTTGCTAGAGCTACGACAGTAAACAATGGAGCTATGAATGTCCAAAAAATAATCACCGTCAGCACAGTCAGCTTTAAAAATGGACAGAAACATTTTGAAGATGCAAGGAAGAATTTTGCTGAAGCACAAATTAAGGCACAGTTGACAAATGACAGAGCAACTAGACTGCGTGAATATGCACAAGCTAAGAGCATTGAAGCAAGAAAATTGGAAGCTCAGGAGCAAGCAACTCAAAGAACAACAACAAAATACACAACTAGAATACCAACTTATTGGCAAGGTGGTCAAGGATCATGGCAGGATAGTCAAAGAAGAACGACTCAAGGACGGATTTATACAACAACTCAACCAACAAGACAAGACAATGTATACTATCCACCCCAAAGTGTCAATCATGAAGTATCATCTGTGCAAGAATCAAGCGCTAATAAGTGTTCTAAATGGTACAGATTCTGTAATGTGGGATTTTAAGGTTATGGAAATAGATTAAAAATGAATTTGAACGTTTCCTGTAGATTTAAAAAATATTAAAAAGTTAATAAAAATTGAAATAAAACAAATAAATCGGAAAGGGCTCGTTCACCTATTACGTAACGCAAAAAAACGAGTTTTTAGACCCCCCCTCCCCCCCTGTAACAAAGCGTAACAAAATCTTAGACCCCCCCCCCCCCCCATAACGTAACAATAATTTTTTTCATTTAAATTGCTTTTCAAATGTTTATTATACTTCCTTTAAGTATGTAAAAGTAAATAGAAGGAAAGCAATAAAAAAATATATTAATCGTTTACATCCATATTATTAACTAAACGCAAAAAAAAAAACTCATAAGTTTTGTAACCATTAGTCGTTTTCCCAAATTGGTTGAAAATGATCTTCAACTGCAAATACATTTTGATATTCAACAACAATATCAGTATTTGCACGTTCCTCTTCAATATCCAAGTTCTCAGCTTCTACTCAATCCAAATCCTCTTGCAATTGTACTAATACTTCTTTTTCACGTCTGCATATTACTTTTCTTGGTTTTTTCTTAGTATTAACTATACGTTTGTGAATAAGTTTTCGGTGATTCTTTAACATATCGATTGAAGCACAGTAATGATTACAATCAATGCATACCCTTTCTTTTATAATGTCTCCAATCGAAAATTTAAAATTAATATAGAAAAAATTATAAAAAAATATATTTTTTGAAAAGTTACGTAACAAAATTTAGACCCCCCCCCTCCCCCTGTAACAAACCGTAACAAAATCTTAGACCCCCCCTCCCCCCCTAGTGCGTTACGTAATAAGTGAACGAACCCAAAGCTGAAATTTGGAAAAACTTAGTTGAGACTTTTTGACTTATTAAGTTACGCCAGGAATTTGAAGAGGGGGGGGGGGGCAAAAAAACCTATATGGAAAATTCAGAGGGAAGTAGGAGATTTTTATGATTTTTTTCATAAAATTCCTAGCAAAATGAAGATATTTTTGTTAACCCCCCCCCACCCCCCCCTCCCCCTGGCTACGCGCCTGAATTACACAAACCCACCTTTTGGACCCACCGAAAGATGCATGTCCTGAACACCAGTTTGACAGCTTTTTTCATGTCGTGTGCCTTTCGGGCCCCTTGTGACAATCTATGTTTAAAATGTTCCAAAATCCTCACGCCCCTTCCCCCCCTCCCGTGTAAAAGAGAGGTGCGCTAAGTTTAATTATTAATTGGATAGTACGAGCCACAAACCTATTTCTCTTTTCCTTTGTCTCTCTTAAAATCTACCCCCACCACCCCACTCCCCCCCCCCCCCCCCACAACTGGACCATATCAAACAATTATTTAGAAAATTTTTTGAAAAAATAAATCTTTTATTGCCATCAAGCATAACAACATCCAAAATAATTAAAAAAACTTATGCAAATGGATCGTCCTCCCCTTCATTAAAAAAGTCATCCACAGTTGTTGTGCTTACTGTAGTTGTTGGCTTTGGCCTTGCTGGTCTTTTTGGTCTTGTTGTTCTTGTTGGTCTGGCCGTTGTTGAAGGTTCACGAGTTGGTTTTGGATCCTCTGGTAATGGAGCTCCGCCTGTATAGCTGTCAATCCAATCAATGAAGCATGCGACTCTTAAGAATCCAGCTGCAAATTTAAAACTGTGAGTTTGACTTGCTTATAAAGTTGATGAAATACTTACAAGGTGTGTCTCCATGACCACATTCTGGTGCACCAAAGGAAACGACTCCTTGAAGTGTTGGTACGCCATCGACTTCATTTGTAATTGGACCGCCTAGATTTGATGTCAATTTTTAAATTTATTATTTTTTAAATGATTGAGGTTAATAAGTATCTTTACCTGAATCTCCTTTGCTGATTTGTAGGATGTAAAAATAAAATTAATAATTATTTTATTAAAATGAAAAAAAGTGTAGCTTACCATGTAGCCAAATCTGGATTTTAGAAAATTTTTAAAAAAAACATTCTTAAATATTTTTGAGGTTATAAAAAAAACACACTTACTATTTGCACCTAATCCGCAAAACTGTAAAGGATTCAAAAATATAAAGTTATTTTTTTAGTTTTAGGGGGTCCGAAGGGTGCTGGAGGGGGTGTCTTAACTACTTACATGTTTATCACCATTAAATGGCAAGCCAAGCTTTCTTTTGCATGTGGCTTGATCATGAAGTGTTATGAAGACCTTTTTCTTCATGTTTGTGTAGTGCTTTGGCTTAGTTTCTCCTGGAAAGTGCCAGAAATCATTAAAATAATTCAAAATTTAAAAATGCTCATGTTAGAAGTCGTTCAATTATGACGTCTAAAGTTTAGGGGGAGGAACTTTACGAGGGGGGGGGGAACTAAAGGAGGGTACTTTACGGAGAGAGGAACTTTTGGGGGGGGGGGGGTGGACTTTAGGGGGGGGGCAAGAAATTTATGGCATCCAATTTTTAAAAACGGGGAATTATAATTTTTTTTTCTTGGATTGTACGTCACAAGGGGGTGGGGGGTCTTCTGACATCTGTGAAAGTTTTGTGACAGAGGGGGGAATCATGTTTACCTTATGCTGCTATCTTTGTACATGTTCATTTCGGGAGGAGGAGGGGGTCTAAAAATCAGGTGTTTTTTAAGGACGTCATAAGTGAACAGCCCCTTACCAAATCCAGTAACCATCAAAGGATGATCAGGTTCATCTTCACACGTGTCTTCGCTAGGTAAATCAATACTTTTAATGATTTTTGATACACGCGGTGGCCGCTTAAGCTCAATAATTGCAATATCGTAGGCACTCTTGCCTGCTGTTCCCTTCTTTTTCAAATATTCTTTGTGGATTGTCAACTTTTTGGGTGGAATTTCAGCGACTTTGTCTGGGAAGCAAGTCTCTTCCGAAAAATTTTCTTCTTCACTGTCTGTACAGTCTGGATCAATACCAACCTTCCATTCGCCGATGAAAATTTTAATATCATTTGAGAGGCTTTTGTCGTCTTCAAGTTCGTCAAAGCAATGCGCGGCTGTGAATATAAAGTTTTTGTAAGTTTTTTGAGTTGTCACGCATATGAGGGGGATGGAGGGGAGGGGGGTGATGAAGCCTCACCTGTTACAACATATTTCTTTTTAATCAAGCTTCCAGTGCATCGAGATCCCTTTACAACTAACATAACTGTCCATGGTCCATCCGTTTGTCGTGCATATGAGATTCCATCATCTTTTTTGCCACTTGTTGGAACTGGAGGATTTAATAATATTAATTTTTTATTATTTGTCAGTCAATTAATCCTCAAATTTTGAATAACTTACACCCGTAAATAATTTGAATAACTGATAAAAGCACAAGCAATTTCAGCATTTTGATCTTTTGACTTTTCTGCTCTGGAAATGTTTTTTATTTAAAATTTGTTTTTATTCAAAAACTGTTTTTATTCTTTGGAATTTATAAATAATTTTGATGTATTTTATATATTTTAGAATTTTAAAATTCAAGATTTGCCGCCCGCAACATTTAAAAATCAAAAAAATTGTATTTTTACCATTTTACATAATTTGAATTTCTTTTTTAAAATTATCAAAAAAATTGAAAAAAATCAAATTTTAATTTGTTTAAGTTTTTAAAATTTTATTATTTTAAAATTATTTAAAATTTTTCTATTTTCCTTTTTTCAAGAATCCATGATTCAAAATTCTTTTCTTCAAGAAAATCTAGTTTAATTTTTTTAAAATCTTATTTAAAAAAAATCTTTTCAACAATCTTAAAATTAATTTTTTTCAATTTTTAAAATTTTTTGATTTAACGTTTTTAATGTTTAAAAATAATTAAGATTTCACTTTTTTATAATTTTAAAATATTCAAATTATATTTTTAAAATTTTACATAAAATTAAATTTTACTTTTTTTCAATCTTAAAAGTTCTTGATTTCACTTCTTTTAAATTTTACAAAATTAAATCAATTTTCACATTTTTTAAATTTCAAACAATTTTGATTTAATTTTTTTTTTGAAATATGAAATTTGACTTCTTTAAATTTTTTTTAAAATTTCCAGAAAATAAAATATATTTTTATTTTTAAATTAAAAAATATTTTTCAAATATTTTCAAACAATTTAAATTTAACTTTTTTTTGACGAACTCTCTTTCGTACTTCGCCTTTTTTCTTTCCTTATTCATAAAATCTTACTTTATACTTCGACTATATTTTGAATCAAACTGCGACTAACGTAATTAACATCCAAACGTGATTGTTGTGATGCCTCAAAATTCCCCAAAATTCTCATTTAAGGGGAAATCGAGATGCAAAGTTCTCAGAGAAAATTTCAGATTCACAATTTGAGAATAACTAGATTCTCTTTTTGAGCATCCAAGCCAAAAGAAAAACATTTTTTATTAAATAACAAAATAAAATAAAATAATGATTGCAAATGTATCATACTCAACCTTTTGACAGGCATCCTATTAGATTTGATTAAATAAATAAACTAATTTGACCTGAAAAGTTATCAATTCTGGGTTTTTTTCATGCTCGCTAACTTGTTGTCATTTAAATTGATGATTTGCAGTCTTTTGAGGTTTTAAGGTTTTTGAGGGAAGAAAATCAGATTCTATAACTAAGCCTCTCGATCCCCCCCCCCACCTACCCCCCCTCCCCCACCTACCCCTTTCCCCCCTCCCCCCTCCCCCCTCCCTTTCTCTCTCAAAGCAAAGCTCACACTAAGAGTCGGTCCCCAGCAAAGCCCTAGAAACATTTTGTGAAAGGAGCTTGATTCTTTAAAAAGATTCAAGTGTTCCACTCTGAGTCTGTTTCCCCTTCAAATCGTCATCATCTCCTTAATAATGTATACAGCTAATATAAAAATTATTCACAAATAAGCCTTAAATCTCTCTGAGCACTAGCGAGCTAATTATCGTGAGAAGCTACATACTGTATTGAAATTTATTCGTTCTGTTGTCGCATTGTGCTTGGATACAAAAGTGAAAATTGTTAAAAGTTTCTTATCAAAAATGAAGCATCAACTTCTGCTTTTTGTTGCTTTACTTGCTGTTACTAATTGGTAAGTTTTTTTTTTGAAAATGTGAAATCGGGGTTTTTCCAAGCTGTTATCAGTGATGTGTGTTGTTTAGTATAGAATTGGTATTAAATAAAACAAAAGATTAAAGCCAATAATACAAGATGCGGAAGGAGTTTTAACTGAGGAGGAGTCAACCAAATCCTCCCTCTTGACTTCAAAATGGATTCTAATCAAGTCCACAATAGCAGTACTTCTTAAACTATGCTCTGCGGGGTTTATCTGTTCCGCGAATTATTTTAGACGTGTCAAACGCAGTTGCCAGTGTGCTGCAAAGGTTCGAACGGGTGATTTTCTGCTCCGTGACCCTAAAACACAGCGCGTAAGGCCTTTTAGTTGTTGGTTCGGCAACTTATGACGTCCAAGATTTATTAGAAGGAAGAGAAGTATAGAATTTTGTGACAGCTCAAACAGTGTCAGGTGGGGGGAGTTGGGTTTTTAGGTGGGGAAAAGAGAGGGGTTGCAAGAGGGGGTAGGGGTGGGGGTGTCAGTTAAGGGAAAGAGGTGGTAGATGGGGGAAATGGAGGGGGTGTCAGATGGAAGTGGGTCTGATCGGGGGAGGGGGTGTAAGTTGGGGGGTGAATCTGATCGAGAGAGGGGGTGTCAGTTGTGGGGTGGGTCTGATCGAGGGAGGGGGTGTCAGATGGGGGGTTGGTCTGATCGGGGGAGGGGGTGTCAGTTGGGGGGTGGGTCTGATCGAGGGAGGGGGTGTCAGTTGGGGGGTGGGTCTGATCGAGGGAGGGGGTGTCAGATGGGGGGTTGGTCTGAACGGGGGAGGGGTGTCAGTTGGGGGGTGGGTCTGATCGAGAGAGGGGGTGTCAGATTGGGGGGTTGGTCTGATCAAAGGAGGGGGGCGGTTAGGTGTGAGAAAGGAAGGGGGTGTCAGTTGGGGGGTGGGTCTGATCGAGGGAGGGGGTGTCAGATGGGGGGCTCATCTGATGGGGGGAAGGGGTGACAGATAGGAAGAGTTGGGTTTTTAGGTGGGGGAAAGGTAGGGGGTGTCTGATGGGAGGGAGGGGGGCAGGTGGGTGGGTAGGGGAGGGGGGTAGTAAGATGTGGTGGAAGATTGGTCCGAGTTTTAAGGGGTATGTGGTAGAGTTTCGTGGTAGGAATGACCTTAAACACTTTATGGTTATTTGCGCCTCATAGTTATTTATAAAATAGTAAACCCTGTTAACGAATGCCGCGGGCACCCCTTAACAGTCAAGTCTGTTTTAAAAATCTAAGTCCCCCCACCCCCTCTTTTCCCAAAGCAACTAGCCCCCCAATTAATAATTTCATTTCATTTCACTTTCCAGCCAACGTATATCCTTGATTGGATCCCACTTCATCCCCATCGAATCAAAATACAAAGCTTTTCTATCTACAAATAAGCTAGAATCTGGTTCAAGTGTCAATGTGACGCTGTATAATAAAGAATATTCAAGAAGTGTTTATTTTGATAGCTTTGATGAAAACTGGTTTGAGCCTATTGAGTTTAAGGTGAGTTTGTGACTGCTTGAAGATCAATTTCTGGGTCAATGGCGTAGCAAGGTGAGTTCCACGGGTGCAACCAGAAAATTATTGGTTCTGGGAGCTAAACTTCTTTGCTTTGCCACTGTTCTAGATGTCCAGCACATATTATGGCAGATTCTAATGAACAAAACTTTATTAATAGCTTCCAAAAGTAAGATCATCAGATTACTTCCTAAAAATTGAATCAAATTCAGACAACAAGTGCTTCCATCAGTCAGTAAAGATCAAGAACCTCAAGGATAATCCAATAACATTAATCTATCTTGATAAGCCGATCTACAAGCCTGGAGATACTTTGACATTCCGAGTCTTTCTTCTTGGACAAGATTTGCTGCCATTTTCCGGGAATCTAAAAGTCGATGTTAGATTTTATGACTCAAAAAGTGTTTCTATTCAGAATTTTACGGATGTTCTGACAACAAATTTTGGATTTGCTGAAAAATCTTTCAAAATTCCGGAAACTAAAACTTATGGAGACTGGAAGATTGAGGTACAAGCGAATAGCCGCAAAATATCAAAAACGTTCAAAGTTCAGCGAGAAAATGAAGCAAATTTTAATGTTTTTTTGAACATGTCAGACACCATCGCTTATGTGGATGGGAAGTTTTTGATGACAATCCTTACCAGAGCTGAAAATGACAAAGTTTTTGAAGGAACTGCCAAAATATCTGTCAAAGCAAAAACTTGGGGATCAAATCAATATGAAATCAATAGAATTGTCAAGACTGTGAATCTTTTGGGCAACAAAAATGACATTTTGCTTAAAATTCAAGATGATCTTGGAATTATTACTTCTGGCGACGACGTGGACCTTACATTTCTTGTTGAAGTAACTGAAAACTCTTCCCAAAACACAATGAAAATCAAAAAAGAAGTTCAAATGAAACAAAAAGGCAGAAGCGTCATTCAAGTTGTTCGAAAAACATATTTTAAGCCTGGCTTCATATTCCCAATCAAGGTTCGAGTTAAAATTATGAATGGCCAGCCAGACAATTCATTAAATCAACTTAAAATGACTGTCGAATACAAAACTAGCGATGGAATCACAAAGACAAAGAAAGATTCAGTATTTAATCTTGAGAATGGTGAAATATCAGCGACTTTGACTCCAGCAGCTGATACACATTGTATTAGGATATTCTTGGAGATTGGAGGGTCAACTTTGGTTGAAAATGTTCAAAAGTTTACAACTTATTTGATTAATGAGTTCATGCAAGTTAGCTTTGTTAATAAAAGGTAAGGAAATCTGATGATTTGCAGTCTATGGTTGGCAGTAATAAGAACTCGAGTGAACTTCAAGCTCTGATCTAAACTAACAATTTTACATTCTTACAAATTTTCAGCTCTAAAGTCGGCGACACCATCCAACTTCAAGCACAAACTACTGGCGAACTAGAAACCCTTAATTTACTGGTTTTTGGAACAAATGGTTTAATTTACAGCGAAGAATTTCCTGAAGCTATTGGCAAAGACATTTATAACTTTAACTTTCAGCTGTCTGAAGAGATGAAGCCTGAAATCCGTGGACTTGTGTTTTATATTCGACCGAGTGACGGCATAATGGTTTATGATGAATTTATTTTAAGGCTTGGATTTTCGATTAATAATTTTGTAAGTTGAAGTTTTATTGACTTATCCGAATAGCACAAGTCGGTCAACAAACGGTGACTCTGGCATGGTGTTGGATTTAAATCAGATGCCAGATTTATGCCAGCTTGGTGCGGATTTTGTATTCGATTAACCGACTTGTGCTATTCGGGTTACTTTAAGGCATCTAATGTGGAAGCTTTAGAGCTATTGTGAGAATCTGGCATCTCAGCTAGATAGTAAGCGCTCTGGACTAGTTCAGAAATAATACAATGGTGCCTAGGTACATGTTTAGGATAGACAATGATTCCCTCAAGCATCTTTATTGCTAAACAGCTCCAGATACAGTAGATCAGTGGTGACCAACCTTTTTTGTGCCACGGAACACATTGATGGTAAGCCACGACATACGTTCGGGAACAAACACCCCCCCCCCTCCAAAATGTTTCGCGGCACATGGGTTGGCCACCACTGCATTAGATCCTCGTCATTTATTGAACCTAAACCAAAAATTCTCAAAAACTTCTTCACATCCTCTTACAGCTTGAAATATCAGCACCTGCTCATGCAAAGCCAAACGAAGAAATCGAAGTGACAATTAAAAGTGAACGTGATTCCTTCATCTTATTAACTGGAATCGATCAAAATGCAGAGCTTTTTAACTACGACAACGAAATATCCCGAAATGATGTCTACAATGAGTTGACTTATTACCAAAACTTTACAATTCCCAACGTCCATGAGTATAAATTTGAAAAAGTCAACAGCTATGTGCTTGAGCCTCTCCAAAAAGGTACCAAATGTGGAAAACGACAACCACAGATTCCATCAAATTCTGACTTTAATGATGTTAAAGCTTGGACACAAAAATATTTTCCAAATGTCTGGTTTGATAAAGTTTTTGTGATGGAAAGTGGAACTAAAACGTTAAAAATTAAAGTGCCAAATGAAGTCAAGACTTGGAGGATTTATGGAGTTACTGTTCATCAATCCAAAGGATTTACAGTCGCAAAGATGCAGCCAGAAGTTGTTGTTCGAGGTGATTTTGCTGTCAACATCAAAGCACCATCTACAGTTAAGGAAGGTGAAGTCTTTCAAGTCGACTTAAGTGCTTACAGCTTTGCAGCTGGCAACATTCATCCAACAATTAATATCGAAGTCGAAAATGGATATTTTGTCAATAAACTGACACAAGAAGATTCAGGAAAGGTTTGCCATTATTTTGAAACAAGTTCTCGATCATATTTTGAGTTTTCTAAGCAATTGAGTTCCGAAAAAATGACTCAAATTGAAAGATTTTACGTTAAATCAAATTGGAACGATGAAATTAAAATAAAAGCAAAATCATGGTTAAGTGGAACTTCATATGAGTCAGTTAAGATGATCAAAGTTAATAGAATCGAACAGGAATCGACGAATAATTTCAAAATTAATATCGCAGTCGAAACTGTATCGAATGATGAAGCTAATATTGTGATTAGAACTGAGATGGAGTCACACACTGAATCAAGTTTGGTTATGGAAGTGGAATTGCCTACTGGATACAGATATGTTAGTCATGGAGTTGCATATCATATTGAGGTTAGTCATTTTGATCATTTTTGTTCATTTTTAAAATTTTTTGAATGTTTTTGAACATTTTTGAAAAGTTTTTAAAAGTTTTGAACAATTTTGATCTTCTTTGGTCTGTTTTGAACATTTTAAAACATTTTTTTAAAATTTGGAACATTTTTGAACATTTCTGAACAATTTTGACCATTTTGACCATTTTTGACCATTTTTGACAATTTTTGACAATTTTTGACAATTTTTGATCAATTTTGAGCATTTTTAATCATTTTTGATCATTTATGAACATTTTTAATCTTTTTTGTACATTTTTTGACATTTTTGAAAGTTTTTGAACAATTTAAAATTTTTTTGACATTTTGGAACAATTTTGAAAGTTTTTGAACATTTTTTACATTTTTGACCATTTTTAAAAGTTTTTGAACATTTTTTAACAATTCTGAACAATCTTGAACAATTGTTGAACAATTTTGAAAATTTTTGAACATTTTTTTGACATTTTGAAATTTTTAAACATTTTTGAACATTTTGGAACATTTTTGAACAATTTTGATCAGTTTTGGTCAGTTTTGAACATTTTTGAACAATTTTGATCATTTCTTAACAATTTTGAACATTTTTGACAATTTTTGATCATTTTTGAGCATTTTTGAACAATTTTGAAATTTTTTTAACATTTTTGAACATTTCTGAACATTTTTAGACATTTTTAGACATTTTTTGACATTTATGAAATATTTTGAATTTTTTTGAACATTTTGAATAGTTTCGCACCTATAAAATAATTTAAATGTTCAATAATAATCAAAAATGATCAAAATTTGAATTAAACAAAAGATTTATTTGACTTTTCTTTGCAGACCGCAATCAATTATCCTCGTCAAAATATGTTAAAATTTATATTGCACCGAATGGACACTTACACAGTTTATAAGAACACAATCAGAATTTCAAGAGTTCTCAACGTCTACGAACATACAAAGTCAATGATAAAGATTTATGATGCAAATAGACCTGGTAAGATGAGTTCTTGACTTTTTTTAGAAGAAAAATGATTTTTTATGCTGTTTTTTATTCAGATCAACAAAACCTTTTTTCGTACATTTATGATGTCAATTTAAAAATGTGTCAGGCAGTTGCTGAGGCTAGAAAGTGCACTTTTCTTAAATTTTGGAAATGTTTTGGATGAGAAAAATTATTTTATTGTGAATTTTACGATTCTTGTTAAAATATAAACCTTAAAGACAATTTTAACATAAAGGTTTAGACTTGAAGCTATAAAATTCGATTGCAATGTTTGCTGGAAATTTAAAAAAAAGGAAAATTTATTAATTAATTACCCAAGTCAGTTTTTATAGCTTTTTTACTCACATTTATCCATGAAATCATAAACCTTGATGCTTGCACTGTGCGGATCTTTGACGTCAAACAGCTTCATAGCTTTAATATCAACACAATATTGTCTTGAGCTCATAAAGTTGTTGTAGTGGATGATGACGAGCGTCTTTGACTTCTTCTCTTCAATAAGCTAGGATCAAAAAATTGAAAAATAAGTCTTAAAGATGCACTGGGCTTAGGTAAGTCCTAGTGTGGTCATATGGGTCAGTTTCTAGGGCTCCCTGGGACATCCTCTTCTAGTAGGACTAGAGAAGTTCCAGGCAGCCCTAGACAGCAACAATCTACACATACTTCAGTGCCTTTTAAACAATGAAGCAGAAACCATCGATATAGGACCAAAAGATGTCATTTGCCTGTCGACAAGCAGTCACAGACGACAATTAAATGACAGACAGCAACTCTCCCCAAAACATTAAGTTCCATACCTTTATATCCTTTAACATCCGTTCCTCATTTAATATTCCCATATAAATATATCCACTTGGCATCTCAACTTCATAAATCACATTACTAAGCGTAAAAAAATCAGAATCGGAAGCATCAAATTCAGCACAAATCCTAACGACTTTTTCTTTTGACTTCAAGTTCGTAGCATTATTGTGGACAGTTGCAATAACTTCAAAAGCTGATGATGACTTTGACTGCGAGTAAATCTTTTCAGTAATTTTAGTAATTGAGCAGTAGCCATGTCCAGAAGCTGTAGATTTAAATACTTTTGAGTAACTTGGAAATTCAACTTTGTGAGCTTCCGTTGAATTTTCCTTCCTGATCCTCAAAGATTTCTCAAAATTTAATTCATCGCTCAGCAAAACTTCAAAGTCAGTCAAGTCAGTTTGGAGATAAATTGCAGCCTCAGCAATTGGTTCCGTCATGATTGCGACATTGTAAGTATATCCACTGTATGTTTGGAAGTTGTAGGATTTGAGGAGCCAGTAGATCAATGGCATTGCTTTGTGGATTTCATTAAGTTTAAGGTAGACAAGTGCTGCATATGCTGTATGTCGTAAGCTACATTTGTCATCTTGTGGCTTGATTTTGAAGCATTTTTGGTTGCTTTTGTAGTCGATTAATGATTTCTCGATTGTGTCTAGGAAGTCCATAGCCATCAACTTTCTTTCATAAGAACCTTCAAGAGCATTGGCGTATGCAGCTATGGATAGACCTTCATTGTCTACAGTATGCTTGTTTTGATCATTATCAAGGTAGCTGAATGCTTTATCGATGACATCACTGTAGACTTTGCCTACTTGATCCTTAGCTTTAAGGAATGACACAAGGATGTATGCAGTCTCGAAGTACTCTGGAGTATTTCCTCTATCCTGTCTGTCTAGATTAGGCACAGCTCCGAAATCCTTAAATTGTCCAGTTTCCATTTGTGCAGCTTCTAGAGCATCCAATTCCTTTTCTATTGCAGATTTATCAACAGGTATCAGCTTAAGTTCCATGGCTGACACAAGAGCATCAACTAAGTACGCTGTGTAGCCTGATGATGATCCATGATTCTATAAAACAATGCATTTTATATTAAGCTAGTCATCTAGGATTGAGGACATTACCCAATGGTGCTGACGTTCAGCTAGAACCTCTTGATACTGCTTGCTGAAGTAACTGACTTTTTGGGGTCTTTTTCGAGTCACAAAAAACTTATAAACTTGAACATTTCCTTTTAATTTTGATGTTTTCTGCTCAAGACAGTCGCCTGGACAAAGACTAAGATTTATTTTTCAATTATTCTGTCCATTCTGTGTAGCTTCCTGTTCATACTTACTCAAACTTTGATTCCAAATTGATCACGTCACTTAGATAATCGCCACTAACAATGCATTGAGTAATCGAGTCTGATCTGTTGCTGTTATTCTCAAAAATGGTTGTTTCCTTAGTTCCAGTAAGCACGTGAGTTGCTGTATCAATATCGTACAGCTTAACTCCAATTGGCTCAATTCTCAGCTTCTTTTGTGCTGCATCTTTGTACTTTCGACCATTTTGGTCAGTTGCTTCAGCATAAAATCGAATATTTTTGAGTTTGTCGGATGAAAAGTCAGTGTCGGTTGGATTCGATCTGATGTAAAATGAGACTTTCTTCATGCTTGATCCAGGGATTGTTGCTTTTTTGGATATCTGTCGATTGTTATTGTATGAAGCGACACAACTGCCATTCTTATTGTCGTACTCAACAAACTGAAACTCAGTTCCTTTCGAGTTAATTAAGATGACTTCTGCACTGACATCCTGATTACTTTTGATGTAGTTAAAAACCAGGACATCAACTTTTAGGACCTCCTTATGACGAATTGAGTACGGCAAGCTGAATTTAATGAAAAACTCATTTTTGACAATTAGTTACTGTGGATCAGCAACAGCAACACCCTTTTCTTGCCTTTTTCGTCATGCACAGAAATTGCTGAAATGTGCCAAGAAGTCATCGAGTCAGGAACACGAAAAACTTTGTCAACCGTTGAGTTCTCAGCTTCAAAATCCTCAAAAATCCAAACTTCTGGAAAATATTCTCTAAGAAGTCCATCCTCAATTGGCATGTCTGGTGTTTCCATTAAGTATTCAACCTCATCCACATCAATGTCATTTGAGTCATAGTCATTCATAAAGTCATCATCAAAGTTGCTGGTTATTGAGTTGCTTGAGTGACTAGATGTGACATCTCTTCCTGATTCGACTCTAATTAGCTCTTCTGGTGAGCAGATGTGCCATGATGTCATGTCATCCATGAGAATCTCAGTTTTTGGAGATAATTCTGAGAATTTCTCAATTATGTCATTTGATGTCACATCGTTGCCTTCTCTAAGGAACCTTAGTCTTTGGTTTATGGCAAGTAAGTAAATTTGAGAATTTTCTGAAGTGTCGAATGACATTTTTACAGCTGACTTTGGCTTGACTTTTCTTGATGATAGCTTCATTTTGAGCTGAAATATTAAAACATGAAAGTTAAGTCGCTCCAAGCCTTACTCTCCCAACCAACTTACATGATTTGGTCCCAAATCAGCAGTCCTAATGTCAACACTTCCATGAGCCACCAAATCCTTGCCTTTCACAAAATAAGCATCAACCGTGAACTGAGGCATCATATCCTCAACAACTTCTAACTCAAATGTACAGACAATTTGTAGCTTGCAGTCAATCAGCTTTGCATCCTGCATTCCATATTTTGACATGATTACGATTATGATCTTGCTGAGTTGTCCTTCACCTTTGATGAATATTTCGATGGAATCGTTCAAGTTTGGACTAGAATAAAGCTGCATATTTAATTACTCAAATCGCCAAGGGGGAAACAACATGGTTGGGAAAAAGTTTAATATTTTTTCCCCAACATGTTGTTATCCCCTTAAATCACAAAGAGTGTAGAACTAATCAATAATGTCCAAAACCAATCAGTTTCACACCCTTTAAGCGACTTACTTCTTGGGAGAATAATCCACACTCAGCCTGTCCAACCCAATCTCATTTTTCTCAACCCCAACCTTCATCCTGTAAGTCTTACTATTCAGAAACTTTGCATTTATGTCAAACTCGACAGTATCTTTAGGAACAATAGCTTCTTGCTTGGCAATTCCTTTCCTAATGTCTGGTCTGTTGCTAATCTTCTTACTGGATCCATCAGCAAGCTTGTATGTGTAATCAATTTGAGCTTCTTCGTCCGTTTCAATGCTCTCGTTCTTCCAATTTTTAATGATCAAGTTCATGTCGAATGGAAGTCCTGGAATAAAGTCTTTTGGATGGACTGGAGTCATTTTGATTGTTGCATCTGGATGGATGCTGAATAAAGCTGATTTGTTGGATTTGATGCCTGTTTCTGGTTCTGTGAAGGTTACTGTGGCTTGAAGATCTATTCGGTTAATGATCTTGATGCTTAAATCATCCTGAACATTTAAGGCAATCGACTTGATGCCTGTTATGTTCTCAAATGACTGCTGGAAGTATGTTTGATTAGCTTCAACATCCTTAATGATTAAGTCTGCATTTCCAGTCACAAAGTCACCAAAAGAGTATCTAGCAATGATGGATATGATAATTCTAGACTCAGGCAGGTAGTACCTTGATGAAGTTTCAATATTGACAGCAAATAATGGTAAATTGTACTTCTGGACCGGAAAGATCTTTGAAGCACCTAAATGACTCTGCTTGTTGACTACAACCTGCAGCTTCCAGTCACCAAAAATTGTATTACGGCTCAAACTGAATGTGTCGCCAAAAATACCAAAATTTCGATCCTCTAAGTCGTCAAATCTTTGTATTGTTCGGTTGTAAGGATCGATAGCTTTAACATCAATTGTATTCATTTGGTATGGCTTCATGTCTTTGTCAATAACAATAATTCGGAATCTTACGTCATCGCCTGGCTTAAAGATCGGTTTATTCAATTGTATAAAAATATGAAAGTCTAACTTTTCAGGTTTTACTTCCATTTCCTGTGTAGAACATTCATGAATTGTCTTATTGAGTTCCTTCTTGTTTCGATATAAAGTCACAGCTAAATTTAAGGATTTGGCATTTCTGAAACTTTTTGTTGGATATTTAAACATGAAATGTTGATCATCAAGTAGCTGAATTGTGATGTTTGAGGTTCTGAACTGCATTGACAACTCAGTTGTCTCATTTACAGCTCTAACTAGCATAAATGCATTGAAGCTCTTCGATTCGTAAGCTGACTTTGGTGCCCATACAGTATAGAGTCTAAAATTCGGGTTATTAATCTTGAATAAATTCTTTTTGAAATTATGCAACGCACTTACTCAGAACAGAACACGCTCGCAGAGCCAAAAATGATAAGATTATAAAATACTTTAAGTAAAGTCCACATAACCTTAGTCTTGAAAATGCCGAGTGATAATGAAACCAAAATAATGGTTTTAGTGATCAATTTGATGAAATAATTTACTAGCCCGAATGGCACAAGTCGGTTAATCGATCAGAAATCCGGCACCAAGCTAGGGAATCGTTCACTTATGACTTCCGTAATCAACGGTCACTTCTCAAAAAAAAACAATGGATTTCTAGAAATTTCTTTTGTTCTTTTTCTTGTTGACCCCCCCCCCCCCCCCCCCCCTGGACGTCATAAGTGAACGGCTCCTAGTGTGAATCTGGCATGGTACTGGCTTTGATTTAAATCTAGCACCATGCCAGAGTCATGCCGACTAAGCGCCGGATTTCTATTCGATTAACCGACTTGTGCCATTTGGGTAGCACATGTAGACTCGATACAGGAGAATATTGAGGGGGAGCATTTTTTGGGGGACCCATCCCCCCTCATTATTGTGAGGGAATTTCAACTTCTATCCAAAAAACATAAATACACAAAACTTTCTCCCCCCCTTTTACTCTCAAACTATTTATATATATGCCCCTGGCTTCAATACAGGGCTGCAAAACTATTGGCAAAGTACAAATGTATCTGAAAAATTTTAATTCTCTCTTAAAGTGAATACTAACCTTTGACTGGGGTCCCTTGGAGGCAGAGTCCATGACCATGCACTTGATAACTGCTTATAACAGTGTTTCTCAAACTTCACTCCACGGGCATCAACAGTTTTTTGTGAGAATTCGAGATTTTTAAAAATTATTCGCTAGAGTTCTTCATGCGAATCTTTAGAGATGGACAGGTCATGTGTTCAGACGCTCATCGATACTGAAAGTGACACTAGCAGACTTTGTGGATAGAAAGAGAGCAAGAGGAAGACCAAAAAACTCTTGGATTGGTTGTGTTTAGGGTTTTTAATCCCCGGGATGGAAACGTATGTAATCCCGGGATCAAACCCGGGTTTCAGTACATTTTAATCCCGGGATGGAAAACCCTACTTGTGTTGAAAAGGACGCTAGAGTCCTGAATATCCCGAACTGGCAAAAGGTGTCTAAGGATATATAGAAGTTCTTTAAGCGCAGCAATGGGCACAAGTGTTCCCCTGCCAAGGCAGTTAAGTAAGTAAGGATTCGCAAATGAATTATTAAATGGAAGATTATCTGAACCTCGGTCTAAAAAGTTTGAGCAGCACTGACCTATTAGGAAAAATTTATTTATAGTCAACCTTAGCAATATATTAAGTTCTACTAAAATAAAAAGAAATATTCAAAAATAATTGATTTCTTTATTTATAGCTACGACCTTTGAATTCAGACACTTCAAAAAAATTATTTCACCATAATTATCAAATTCTCATCTCACACGTTCAGCTGTACGACAGATGATTTATTAATAAAATATTTCTGAACTCACAAAAAAGGTCAAATTAATGTTTTCGTTTTGTTTATTTACTTTTGGTTTTTTCCCATGCCTTTATAGCATTAACCTTGAAATTATTTTACATATAATCAGTGTCCTGTTCTTCAGCAGGCACAGTCTCGATCCAATTTATGTATCTCGATACGTCAGTAAATAGCGAATAAGAGTCAAAGTCACAGGATCCAGAAACATATGTCAAAATTCCACGAAGATAAAATTTATTGCTTTCATTCACAAAAAGTCCACTGCCGAGAACATCAACACATGCTGGATCTTCATTATCGTCACTGATGCAGAATGTCTCATCATTTTTTGGTTTTTGGCATCGTTGACTTTCCAAAATTGATGCTTGAAGATATCCAGCACTCACATTCGATTTTAAACTTAAGCTTTTAATGTTGCCATGAGCAACATATGCAGCATCAGTGATTGACATGACATCAGGTGTCAATATATTCAATCCTATTGGTTTGATTCTTTTGGTGATTTCTAAAGGCTTTTCCGTGAACACTACCGCAACATTGGCTTTGCTTAATGGAGAATCGATATGAAAATCAGGATGAATGCAATAAAGTTGAACAGCTAAGCTTCGTTTGCCCGCTTCAAATTGTTCGAATATGTTTCGAGATCCTAAAACAATTTTCAAGTCGCGGTATAAAAGTTTTGTTTTATCGGTCTTTGAATACATGCAGGAGCCGGCTGGAAAATAATACAATATTTTAGGAGTTGTTCATAAATGACGAATATCAACCCCCACCCCCCCTGTTATTATAAGTATCACAAAATCTGAAGCCTCATTAACTTATCCACAGAATGAATGTCAACTAATGCATTATATTTGAGGGCAGTTCATAAATGATGTTCGAAATTCAGGGGGCGGGGATTTCATACAAATTGTGTCCCAGAGGGACGTTTAATAAGATTTGTTTTTGATGAACGTCATTTATGAATAGCTTCTTACCTGTAACAATTCTTGAATCAGTGACTACGACCCCTCCACATTGATAGTCTGAATTTTCTAATATAAAAGCTGCAATCCTATAAAAAATTAATAAATGTTTAATTAAATACTACCCGGACAGCACAAGTCGGTTAATCGATCAGAAATCCGACTCAAAGTTGAAGTGAGTCGCAATTGGAGTGATCGATTATCCGACTAGAGCTTTTTTGGACTAGTGAGACGATCAACCTGGGGCCAGTTTCTAGAGCTACGCGGGGCATCCCCTCTACATTACCCCGGGTCAACCTAGGATACCCGACCCTTTCCTCCATCTAGTTTATCTAAGGGCCCAAGGGTAGGTTACCCAAGATAGGGTAGAAGATTGTCATGGATCACCTAAACATCAAAGATCACCCTAGAATAGCCCATGGGAACCCTAGGATAATCCTCCCTCTTTCGGGTTAGTGGAGGGGATGATCGAGACTCACATAGGGTATCCTCAGGCTGTTGTACGGTAATCTGGGGCTATCCTATGGGTAATTTACATTGCCTTAGGAGAACCTAGGCGGAGAATAGGGTAGGGTATCCTAAAGTGACATAGAAACTGGCCCCAGGGCAAACTATTATATCCGTTAATTTGAAATAAAAATGAATAATATTTTGAGTCCTCTAAAGCGGTGAAATGGCATCAGTAGCCTAAATGGTAAAGCGTTGGCCTTCTGTGCCAAAGGTCCTGGGATCAATCCCAGGCCATGTCTAATTTTCGAAGCTCTTTTTCCATTTCACCGTTCTAGTACGAAGCTCGGTTGGGGTGTTTAGTGTAGTTTTGAGGGCTACGGCACATAAAGTGCCTCCTTTGCTAGGTATACAATGATATACTAGCATCTGGATGGTTTCATTACAGCATCTTGGGCCCACGAATTGTGACTAGGTACATTGCAGGGTACATCAGGTCTTATTACGTACTCGTGTCTTTGCAATGTGTTGAGCTTGCAAGTGGTTCGGATTCCACTATAAACTGTAGGTCTAAAGGGTGTGGTACAATAGATTCTGTTCTAATTTGAATCGCAGTGCCTCCAGCTGAAAGGCTAAGCCCTTCACACATTATTATTATTCTTGGTCGCTCTAGAAACCTGGCCATGGTTACTTCCTTGCTCATATGCATTTTCAGACCCCCACAAAATTTGAAAATTTATTTTTATTTAAACAAGTTGGACGTCATTTTTAAACTGACCCCTTGTTTCTTGAAGGTAACCCTAAATTAGCTTGTAAATCATATTTTATTTACCATGGATGGCTTTCAACTGGATAAGTTTTGAATGGAATCACGAGTTTTTCTGGCTTATTTGGGAACACGGTTGCTGTCTCGGTTGTGGCTTTAGTTCTTATTCTGGTTGGTCGACTTGTTGTTGATCTTGTTGTGGTTGACCTTGTTGTGGTTGACCTTGTTGTCTTTGGAGTAGTTAATGTCTTAACTAAAGTATCTAAAATAAATTAAAATAATCGTCAGAACTCAATGATTAAGTCAGTGGCACAGCCCACACATACCAGCACTAAAGCTATCATAACATGTCTGAAGATCCTCATCTTGTCGACCATTTATGGTGTCATCTAAACATTCATTGCCATCCATTTTTAAGGTATTAATTGGACCTTTATTGAAGAATTCAGGATCTACAGCTGCTACCTTGTTGTTGCTGAAATCAATGTAAGACAACTGATGATGAATGCCGAAGGAGTTGGAATTGATGACGGAAAGCTGATTTGAGTTCAATTCGAGGATTTGAAGTTTGATGAGGTTTGAAAAAATGCCGCTGGGAAGGTCAGCAATGTAATTTGAATTTAAGGACAATTTTTGTAATTTTATTAATTTTTTAAATAATTCTGAATCGAGAACTTCAATTTGATTGTTATTTAAATTCAGAAATCCGAGATTTTTTAAAGGATTAAAAATTTCGCTGGGAAAATTTCGAATTTTATTATTTTGTAAATTAAGTTTTGTCAACTTTTTCTGTGCCTCGAACATATCTGCTGGAAGTGACTCGATGTTATTTGATGTTATCTCAATTTCAATCAATTCTGTATTTGAAGTCATTAAATTTTCAGGAATTTCAGAAATTCCGACGGAATTTAAATAAAGAATTTTTAAATTTGTGCATTTTTGAAGCGATTCTTCGCTAATTGAGTTGATTTTGACATTTTTAAGGTCGATAAGTTGCAGATTTTCAAACTTTCTACAAAATGCTGAGGAAAACTTTCTTAAATTTGAATCTGAATCTGTTTGAAGAACTTCAACATTGCCGTCGCCTTTTGAAGTTTCGTGATTTCCAGCGAATTCATGCACACTTTCTGAGCTGCTGTCACTATCGAATGATAATTTACAAGAGTATTTGTCAGACATTGTGAATTGAATGTAAACTTTCTTCATACTAAAGCTGCATGTCGCATGTTCAGCTGTGATTTTATAAACACATACACAAAATATTAGAAAAATTTTCAAATTCATATTTTTTGACTTTTTCTAGAATTTTTTGATTTTTTTAAAAATTATTTTTTTTATAAATTTTAGTGACACTGCGACTTTATAACGCTCAAACTTCCACTTATTATTTTCATACTCGCGAGTTTTGTTGTTTTTGAATTTTGATTTTTAAATAACTTGATAATTCAACTTACTAGGAAATGAGAACAATAAAATTTTGTTTTGTAAGAGCACAGCTCTCTCAAAAAAGTAAGTCTCAAGCTCAAGTAGTGAGTATGAAAAAATGAATTGAGAGAAAAAAACGAATTTTAGAAATAAAATCTTATTTGCAATTTAAGACTCTCTACACAACCCCCCTCCCCCCCCCCCCCCCCCCCCCCGACTTCAAATTTTCATAAAATTTAACCAACCGTACCAGCAGTTTTAGGCATGCCCAGAGCTTGATGTCACCGAAATTTTGGTCATGTCTAATTAATTGTTCTCAACCCCCTTGTATAGCCAATAGCAGGGGCATAGCCAGGAAAGGGGGTGGAAAAAATTATAACCTAGCCACTAATTGGTTCAATAAGGTCCAGACCCACTCTTGAGTTTTTTTTTCCAAACTTATAATTTTCTCGTCACACCGCATGTCTACTTGGATATGTCAAGGCCACAAAAGGATATAACATTCAAAAATAATTTTAAATTCTGATTTTTCTTGTTCTCATTGTTCAAAGAGGTCTGGAAGGTCCAGCTTCCCTTATTTATCACAATAATGACATTTGGACATCAAGATTTACATCTCTTATTGAGATTCAAAATATTGTGTTATGTCAGAGCCATATTTAAACAATTCTGCCAGTGCGAGAGCAAAGCGTCAGTGGCGCAAGTGCTCAAGCAATAGGCTGATCACCTGTAACCACTTTTCTGCAAGGACTGGGGTTCGATTCTTCCCAGAGACTGGTCTCTCAATAATTATGTAGACTCTGTCGATATGGCAAGAATTCACACAGTCATCTGATTTCTCTCTGATTGCCAGAGTTATAATAGTAAACAGTCCCAAGCTAGCTTCACACAATCTTTATATTAGGATTAATAATTTAAAATTTCAAAAAAAAAAACCTAAGATTCTAAGCCTTGCTGAGCTCATCGCTATTCTCTCTGAATGTAATTCCCCTTTTTCATAATTTAATGTGATTTTTATTTATTAATTTTTCATGTCCAGATTTAATAGTAAATGTATTGATGACTATTTATGAATGTATTAAGTTTGTTAGTCTTGCTGGTTGGAATAAAATTTCATTGCAAATAATTAAACTTCGGTAATAGTTGAGTTTTTGGGAAGTGAAATTGCAATAAGTCATGATTTTTCGAGTGTTGCTTGTCATTTGTCTGTCATTAATTAAGAATCAAGGAGTTTCTGGACAGACTGTGACATGTGAATACACAACAAGTGACATCTTTGTCTACATAACAAGATTTAATTATTATCTGTGTGAAATTGAGCTTGAAAAGTCGAAAGAATATGAAAGAATTTTAGAAATCGACGGCAACCACAAAGACAATAGAACCAGCAATGATGTAAAGTTCCTGAAAATCACGTCTGAAGATTCAAATCTGAAAGAATTTTCCTCAATTTTCTGTGAGACATTTGAAAAGCTCGAAGGATTAAAAATTGAAAATTTAGGAATTTCTTCAATTGACGACGATTCTTTGCAGAATTGTCAACACTTGAAGCTTTTGAGCTTGCGAAAAAATGGAATTCGAAATTTTCCGGAAAACTTTCTCAGTGAAAATTCAGAATTAGCTGATTTTGAGTTTAGTTTCAATAAAATCTCGACAATTCCTGAAGATGCATTCGAAATGCTGGAAAATTTATTAAAACTTAACCTAGAAAATAATAAAATTGATGATCTGCCCGATAAAGTCTTCACAGCTCTATCCAAACTCGAGCAATTGAATCTAGACGAAAATAGACTCGAAGAACTAAATCCAAATTGGTTCAAAAACATGAAAAATTTAATAAAATTGACAATTAATCACAATCTTATTCAGCATCTTCCGGAAGACGTTTTTGGTAATTTGCACAACATCACAATGTTGGAGATGAAAAGGAACCAATTGACTGAAATTCATGCATCATCATTTGGCAACCGAGCTAGACTTCAGGCTCTATTTTTACAAGACAATCATATAAGATCAATTGATCCGAAATTCATGCAGGAATCATCGATCTCATTACTTTATATGGGAGGAAACTTTTGTTATTCTGGAACCATGAAGATGAGGATGAGTCAATGGATACAAACATTAAGAGATGCTTTAAAAATCATAAACCTAGTAAGTTTGGACTGGGGTTGTTCGTTTATGATGTCTGTTGAAATTATTTTACAACCCCCCCCCCCCCCTCTTTAACAACTCCCCCCCGCCCCTCTTATTTGTAATAGAAATCTATGGAATTCTCCCCATACTCATTTTTCTCATGCTGGACGTCAAAAGTGAACAGTGCCTTAGGTCAAAGCAGGGGCAAAGCCAAACTTTTTTAAGGGTGGGGGGATAAAATTTTTCGACGTGTTTCTGGTTCGAATCTAAAGAAGTTCAATAATATTTTATGAAAAAATTCTGATAAATTGAGGCAGGAGGGGGGGGGGGGGGGGGGGGGGGGGGGGGGGGGGGGGGGGGGGGGGGGAGTTGACCCCCTCTTTGCCTACTATATGGTTTGGCTAGATTAAAATAAGCTTGCTTGATAACACTAAGCTTAATCAATGCTAGGTCAAGTATAAACGCCTCGATCATTTGATTAAGACTAAGTCTAAATTAAAGATTGATTTTTTTTTTGTTTCGTTGAAACTTTAGTAACAACAACAAGCTCAACAACGACTTTGGCGACTACCACAACATTTACAACAAGTTCAACTACTCCAGAAACATCCCAAAAGACAACAACCACAAAAATCCCACTTACAACGACAAAAGAGGCTATTACAACTACAGAACGAACAACAAAGGCTTCTCCAACTACAAGAAGCACAACAGAAACTTCTACAGCTACAGAAAGCACAACATCCACAAAAATAACAACATCTCAAAAACCTACAACTACATTACCTACCTCAGAGGCAGCAACAATTTCAATTCCAGCAATATCTAGTGCTACAGAATCTTCCATTGTCTTTCCTACAACCAGAAAGTCTAAACCTTTTGTAGCTTTTAAACCCCCGGTAAGTAAGAATTGATGTTTTATAGCAGTGATGGCGAACCTATATGCCACGGCACATTAGTGTGCAGCGAAAAAATCGCACGAACTGTTTGCGGTGTGCAGATTAGGTCATTGCTTACCATGAAGTTGTGCCGTGTCAAAAAAGGTTGTTCAGCACTGTTTTTTAGCGAACTCGACATCGAAATTGTTTTTTTTAACCTTTTAGTGCGGGAAAGTTCAATATGGAATTCCAGCTCTGTCAAAAGGTGAAAAATATGTCCGCGGACAGTTTCCTTGGTAAGAATGTCGATTGAAGATCGAAAAAGCACAAATTTAATGATTAATTTTAGGAATGTAGCCATCTTTCGAACGAATGGGAAGTTCATATGCAGCGGAGTTCTGGTTGACAATAGAAAAGTTGTGACAGGTAAATATGAAAAGGAGTTAAGCGGTTGTTCATAAATGATGTCTAACATGCAGCGGTGGGGGTGTCTTTTTTACTTCACCACCCTTTTTTTGTTTTTAAACGGCGAACTTTGTCATTCGATTGGGGGTGGTTAGTAAATTACGTCACACAGTATCATTAATTTTCTAAACTTTCTCTCCCCCCCTCCCCCTTGGCTAGAGTTTTGTGAGAGTTCAAACAAATTTACAACAAGTCGTGCTAAATAGTTTGAATTTTATAGACGTCATTTATGAACAGCCCCTGATTTATTATTTATCCCCCTAGAAAGTGGGGACTTAAAATCAACCTTATTTGGTGTCAATAATACTGTAAGGAGTATCCAGAATGACAGCAGTCATTGCTATGCTGCTCACTGACCTTGACAAGAACCTTCCCCCTCTAGCTTGACCCCAGTTGCCCTCTTTTTCATAACTATTCAACTTTATTAATTACAGCTGCTCAATGCATGATCAAATTTGTCCGAGACAAGCCAACTGAAATGCTTCCACGCGACATAATTGTCGTCCTTGGAAGTCACAACATTTATCAACTGTTTGAAGCTCAAAAGACCAACATTGCTGTCCAAACTATTCACATCCATAATGATTATAAGTTTGAGTCCACAGATAATAATGCTGATATTGCTGTAATCATCCTTGATTCACCTGTAAATTCCTCAAAGTTTATAAAACCAATTTGTCTAATTGATTCTGAGCATAATTCATTGACTGTGACTAGTGGCATTTTAGCAACTTATGGACATAATAACACTATGAAACTTAACCCTAACTTTACACCAAGAAAGCTAGAAATTCAAATTCAAGACTTTTTCGAATGCATCATCAACAATGAAGCTTTCGCACGCATCTCAAGTAATCTAACATTCTGTGCTAAATCAGACGACGGCACTGGAGTTTGTGTCGAAGATTATGGAAGTGGATTGTATGTGAAGCATGAAGGCAGCTATTATCTTCGTGGAATCTTATCAACTGTAATGTCTGACATCACAAGTCAATGTAACGCTGGCTCTGATTCTCTGTACACTGATGCTGCTGCATACTCTAAATGGATAGAGGAAGTGCCATTGTATGCTTATGAAGATGATATTGATGAACGATTTGGGTGAGAAATGTTTGATCAATTGCTGGAGTTTATGTTTGAAATTATATATATTTTTTTAAATAAAGCTATTAAAGGCATTGAATCTGATAAAACTGAATTAGCAATTTTTTTAAATTGAATATTGGATGTGTTGCTGGCTTTAGAAGCTAGCTTGTCTTTTTTCTAGCAGCATTTTATGTCTAAGAAGAGTGTGGAATCAGGCGCGTAGCAGAGGGGTGATTTGAGGGGAAAATCGTCCTTTGTCATCAGAAATTTCTTCATTTTGCTAGGGTTTTTATGAAAAATTTGGAACCCCCCCCCCCCTCCTTTGTCATCAGAAATTTCTTCATTTTGCTAGGGTTTGTATGAAAAATTTGGAACCCCCCCCCCTCCTTTTTTATCAGAAATTTCTTCATTTTGCTAGGGTTTTTATGAAAAATTTGAAACCCCCCCCCCCTCCTTTGTTATCAGAAATTTCTTCATTTTGCTAGGGTTTTTATTTGACAAATTTGCGAAAAATCCCCCCCCCCCCCCCAAAAAAAATTTTTCTATGCAAATTTTTTTGTCATCCTCTTTCAAATTTCTGGCAACGCCCCTGTGTCGAACAAAATTAAAGTTTTCAGATTGTCATAATACTTCCCCCCCCCTCCTGCGAATTTTCAAGAAAATGATCAAAACCTTTACTGGCAGCTCAACATCCTTGGTGTCATCAACTTATTATTTCAACATTATATGGAGGGGTATCTGCGATTTTGTATCATTACAAACAAGGGAGTGAGGTGGGGAAGGAGGGTCTAAAAAGCCATTTTTTCGCATTATGTAATAAGCTCGGAATCATTCTTAGGAGAACCGAGGTTTTTCGAGTGGTTTGGAATTTTCGGATGAAAAGATGACCAGGCTATATTCTTTAGTGATGTCTCAATTGTTTGTGTTCTTATCATTGCCACTTGACGATTGAAGATTTCTAGAGAATTCACACAAGGATGATTATTTAATAAAATTGAGATCGTTCATAAATGATGTTCGATTTTCGGTAGGCGACCTTTTTGAACCACACTCGTGTGCTGCGTTACTGATATAGAGTGTAAGACTTTTTTATGGAGCAGGAGGCTTAAATATTAAATCATTATTAGTTATCGCTGCGCTATAAAACGTCATTATGTGTAGATCTCATTTATTGCTCACAAGGAAGAGTACAAATGTGAGCACAGATATTCAATTCTCTCAATCACAATTTCCCCAACTTAGTTTCCCCGCTTCGTTGAAAAAAAGCCGTTTTAATAAAATTTAACTTAATACAAAGCCGTTCAGAATACAAAACAGGCAGGAGGTTCTGTAAAATTTTCGAAAAATGTTGAAATTTATTTTTGTATTTTTATTTTTTCTGACAATTAATGGCGGTAAGTTTGAACATTAATGAATTAAATATAAAAATAATTAAAACCTTTTTTTTGCAATAATCAGCACCAACTAAAAAATTCTACGATACAATTTCGTATGCAAAGCAATCAGATTCGCCATGGACAGTTCTAATCAAGCTTGGCGCTGATGAACGGCGCTGCACGGGAAGCTTAATTCATAAAGAATATGTCATTACCGGTAATTTTAATTATTATCAAAAATCACGAAAATTCATTAAACGACTCACAATCTTCAAATAGCTGCGCATTGCTTCGATAACTTGGAAATGGACTACGAAAAGCTTGAAGAGTTTATAAAAATTAACATTGGCGATTGGAAACCTGACACAGATCCAGATTGTGATGATGCTGATGACGATGATGACGATGCTGAAATTTGCTCTGATCATCATTACGCTGACATTCCACCAAAAGCAATTTACATTCATGATGACTACAAAAATCATGATATTAGGTTTGATGTTGCTATGATTAAGCTGTCAAGACCTCCACGATTATCTCCTTACATAACTTTAATTCCACTAAGTACTGACACAGACGAACAAACATATGAGGAAGGAACAATGATTATTACTGGATTTGGTAAGTATTATTTATGGAGGAAGTGAGGGGGGGATAGTAAAAATGTATCATAAATGGAAAAGAGCTATGGGGTCGTTCACTTATGACGTCCGAGATTTATGGGGGGGGGGGGGGGGGGGTGGGTGACAGTTTTGTGAAAGAAAGGAGGAGAGGGAGTCTAAAAATCATTTTATTATGGACGTCATTAGTAAATGACCCCTATCTTTAGAAATGAGGTTCAACCCCCCCCCCCCTCAGTCTCATCAATGATTTTTTTTTTCAATTTGAAAATTTTCTGACTTTATCGTTGAACTCCTTGTATAGGTAAGCCTCTGTGCAGCAATGAGGGGGGAACCTGTTGCCAGCCTTGAATAAATTAAACCTTGACTGAAACTCTTTTTTTTTAGGCGAGGACAAACCGAAACAACCTACAAAGCAAAAGAAACAAACAGAAGTAACATTAATCGAGTATAGGAAATGTAAAACAGAATTAGGTGCTTCATATACTGCTGAACATCATGTAAGTTAGCTTCTCAAAGGGCAAGGTGAGGGGAAAAGTACTTGATTTGCAGTTTTTTAATTTACTTTAAAATATCAACAGTTCTGTGCCAGTGTTCCTGACGGAATAACAACATGGTAAGCTCAAAAAACAATATTTAATCAAAAATAATAATTTAATTGATTTTTTTATTTTTTAATCTAGTTCAGGAGATTCCGGTAAATTTGGGTAAAATTTTATACTTTACGATTGAATAGCTAATCTTACTCAGGTGGCCCTGTTACATCATTCGACAATGGAGTTTATAAGCTGCAAGGAATTGTTGGCGCTGGTAATACAGACTGCGTTGGATCAGATCGTCCTAGTAAGATTTTATATTGGAATAGTTCAAAAATGGTGTCTGAATTTTTTATTGAGGGTGTGGAACTGATCATAGTTGACCCAAAAATGAATAATTATCATTATTTTGTGATTTATCAGTGCCTTAAAAAAATCTATTTACCAGTCTTTCAGGCGCGAAGCCATGGGGGGGGGGGGATTTGGGTGACAAATTCCCCCTCTTCGTTAGAAATTTCTTTGTTTTCTGTATTAATCCATACAAAAACATTTCTTGTTCTTCAAACTACCAGCTATGCCCATGAGTCTTATGAAAAAAAAAATAATTGGGTCTTTGATGGACGTCATTAATGAATGACCACTAATTTTTAAAAACTCAAAATAAAATATTTCTTTTTTCATCCCAAACCAGGCAGAATTCTGAAAATTGAACCACTGATTCCATGGATCGAGCAGACTATTCGAGGTGAATCCCATACACTAACGACTCCATCAACTACAACAACGACTGAAGAGGAAGAAGAATGCGATGACTTAGTTTGCTAATTTATGAAGTTTTAGATGTTTTTTTTTTTCTTCAAATTTAAAGTCAATAAAATTGTAAAAAATTATAAATCTTGCTTTATTATTTTTTTTGTAAAGTCACTTTTTAGACCATGACTTTTTTCCATGTTTCTTAGGGGCCGTTCACTTATTACGTAACGCTTTTAGGGGGGAGGGGGGGTCTAAGATTTTGTTACGATTCAAACAAATGAAATTTTTTTCCATACAAATTTTGTTACAAGGGGGGGGGGGGGGGGTCTAAAAAGTCATTTTTTTGCGTTACGTAATAAGTGAACGACCCCTTATAAAGTTTGATGTTGAAGTTGGGTAGACAGACCTGTTCTTATAATAGTTAAGTTTCCAGGCCTAGTCGTTCAAGCTAATATAATTCTATTCTCTACGATTATCAACATACAATAGATTCTATCATCGATCAGGATCGCAGTGCCTCCGGCTTGTCGCAATGTGTAGTAACACATCGCTTGGCTGGAACCCTCTCACATTATTATTGCTATCAACATAGAAACAGCACTTAGTGACACAAAACAGCTTAGTAGCCACTATTCTCCGTTCTTTTATAACTAGACGCTTATTCGGTACACCAATTCATTCAAAAATTATGTCAGTAGTAAATTAAGTTCTTACTTACTTATTTCCCTGGCTGAGACGCACATGGGACCATTGCCATGCTTCGTCTAAAGACAGCTCTATCCTTGGACACCTTCTGCCAGTTCGAGATATTCCGAACTCAAGCATCCTTTTCAACACAACCAATCCAAGAGTTATGCAGCCTTCCGCTTGCTCTCTTTCCATCCACAAAGTCTGCTGAGGCATCCTGTGAGCATCTAAACACATGACTTGCCCATCTCAAGCGATTTGCATGAAAAACTGTTGGAATATCAGCATCCTGGAAAAACTGATAGAGTCTGTCATCATACCGTCATCGACACTCCTCTCCTTCCTTTGCAGGTCCATAAATCGTTCGCAATACTCTTTAACAAAAACACCAAGTGCTTCTTCATTCGCTTGTGCTGAGTTCCAAGTAAATAAGTTCTGCAAAGTAATATATTCAAAGGTCACACAATTGCCCTCAAAAGTTTTATAGATTTCCCAGTAATCATAGTATAAAATAAAATTCCTCCCCACCATCGAATTGATTTTTATTCTCTCACGTAAGCACACATAAAAATATAATCACATTTTAATCAAGTGTTTATTCTTCCTTGACTCGCTGTGGAAAGATGGAAGTGCTTCAAGTTTTATTTTTATTTGTTCTATTTCAAATAGGCTCTATTAGCTGCGATGAAGAAGAGTAAGCATAAATATTTGATGGGTTTTTTGAATAGTTTTTGTGTTAAGTGAAAGGATTGAAAGTTTAAATTATTATTATAAAATGCTTGCAATTGTGAAGCAAGGAAAGGCTCACAATCGAGGTTCTTATCATGATAGGAGGGGAGGGGGGGCGAGGGGATCATGTATTGATTCTAATTCTCATTGTAAGGTATCGGTGCAGAGTTGAATTAGGTAAATTAAACCTTTTGTCAGTGTTGCTCTAAATCAGTGTCGCCAAACTTTTTTGAGCTACTGCACACCTTAGGAGTAAGCCATTACCAAAGTAGCACATATCATGCGGCTCGCGTCATTTCAAAAAATTTCAACGGCACACCAGTGTCCCGTGGCACACAGTTTGGAAAACACTGCTCTAAATTTAAAGTACTTGTTTTTATTCGCATTCATAGTAAGGGGTCGTTCACTTATGACGTCCATCAAAAAACCTGATTTTTAGACCTCCCTCCCCCACTCTGTTACAAAAATTCTATAGAAAAAAATTTCCATTGTTTGAACAGTAAAGCTCCTCGGAGCATAGTTTCCAAAACACTGCCATATTTAGACGAGTCTATCAGTGTAACAATAATAGCTCTTTGTCCAAGTGATTCGGCATAACCGGATATTTAAAATCTTTTTTTGGACGGAAATCGTATTGATTCTCAGACAGTGACCCAACACCCCCCCCCCCCCACCCTCCGAAGGGAGTATCCAGAAAGTTATTGACCCCCAATCAAAAATTTTGTTCCGTACTCTCACTTCGATTCAAAACTTTTAGGGGGGTCCAGTAAACCTCCTGGTAACGACCCTGCCCCCTCCCTCTTATATCTATAATGTAAACACCCAATTCCCTTGCTGACTTTACAATGGAAGTCGTGTGAAGCCAATAATTTGGGGAGTGTTGACAAGGTGGATGTCAGGTGCAGGAGGGGGTGAGTGCCAGTTGTGAAGTAAAGTAGGTCCAAGTTTGAGGGGGTTTGTGAAGCCATGTGAAGTTTTGTGGTAGGATTGGCCTTAAAAACGTTATGGTTATTTGCATCTTACAGTTATTTCCAAAATAGTAATGAAATTTAAACCCTAATAAAACGCACCAGGGGAGCCTTCGAGTAACCTAGTTTTTAAATAAGAGCTTTAGATTAAACGATAAGTTTGAACCTTATAGTCGAATTTATCGGTACCGTTGGTCAAGAAGGTCTTATGTAGAGGGTAGCGAGGGGGGGGGGAGTGAATTATTTTGGGGAGCAAAGGACGTTTTTTAGTTTCAAAAAACTGTAACAAATTGAAGAATTCAATGGAGACTTCAATGGACGTTCTAACCCTCTCGCCTTCAACTCCCCTCCCCCCACCTTTGCCCCTCGCCCCCCCCCCCCTTCCATGTTACCTTCTTGCGCATACTTATTAAAATTAATACTAATAAAAATTAAATATCCTTACAGATTTATTACAATTGTGGCACCCAATCAAGTGTACGAAAATAAAAATTTCAGCGTCATCGTCCTGCCAACGAATCTCCAAAGTAGAACAGAAGTAACAATGTATTTTCGTCAAAGCTACGGAACATTCTCAATATATCCATCAAGTGAAGATAGAGTCCATAAAGCTAAAATATTTACTAAAAATACTGGATCTAAAGCATTATTTGATTTAACAATGATAATAAGTCGAAATGTAACGATTGCTGGACAACCAAGACACATGTGCATGAAGCAGACACTCCAAAAAATTCGCGCTCAAAAGAAATATTTTCATGTATTCATTCAAACTGATAAGCCAATTTATAAACCTGGCGATTTAGTCAGATTTCGAATTATTTTTGTTGATCGAGATTTGAAGCCATTGCACATAAATAATATAAATGTCAACATCACAGATCCACATCATCGTCAAATTCATGCTTTTAATGATCCAGCTGAAGGATTTATTGGAGTTTATACAGACAAATTTACATTGACTGAACCTACAGCGCTCGGCATCTGGAGGATTAGAGCAGTAATTGATAAATATGACAAATGGGTAGAAACAAAAACATTTGCTGTTCAGAAAGTTGTCTTGCCTGAATTTGATGTCTACATTAAAGCATCAAAGACACACTTGAAAACAAAACAAATTCAAATTCTATCATTTTATGCTCAATATTCATTTGGAAATTTTGTCACGGGAAATGCTCAGCTGACAATTAGAAACCTTAACAATAGTCAAATTGTTTTTACAAAAGACTTCAAGAACATCAAAGAATCCCACTCATTTGAAGTTAAAGTTGATGATGACTTGAAGGCCATCACAACATCTCGACTTGATTATCGAGCAACTGTTGTTTTTACCGAGCCAGAAAGTGAATTGAGTGCTGAAAAATCGCTAATCTTTCATGTCATCGCCGACATGAAGGATAGAGTTCATGCAAATTATCCCGAAAAATTCATACCAGGACTTCCATTTAATGTTAAAGTTTCTGTTCTTAACTGGATTAATGAAATTATTTTGGAATATCATGAACGAATTGAAGTTATTTATGAAATGGTTTTGAGAAATGGAGCAACAAAAAAGCACTCAGAAGAGGATTATCTTACTGATGGTGTTTTGATAGTCAATTATTACATTCCTGAGGATGTCGTTGAGCTTAGATTGAAGGTTAAGCTTAAAAATAGGAATCATGTAGATAAGATCATCGAAATTGGTGATCCAATTGTTGGAGTTCATCGAATTACAGTCACACATTCTCCAGAAAAGTAAGTATCATCAAGTCAGGGGGTAGCTAAGCGGTGAAATGGCATCAGTAGCCTAAATGGTAAAGCGTTGGCCTTCTGTGCCAAAGGTCCTGGGATCAATCCCAGGCCATGTATCTAATTTTCGAAGCTCTTTTTCCATTTCACCGTTCTAGTACGAAGCTCGGTTGGGGTGTTTAGTGTAGTTTTGAGGGCTACGGCACATAAAGTGTCTCCTTTGCTAGGTATACAATGATATAATAGCATCTGGATGGTTTCATTACAGCATCTTGGGCCCACGAATTGTGACTAGGTACATTGCAGGGTACATCAGGTCTTATTACGTACTCGTGTCTTTGCAATGTGTTGAGCTTGCAAGTGGTTCGGATTCCACTATAAACTGTAGGTCTAAAGGGTGTGGTAAATAGATTCTGTTCTAATTTGAATCGCAGTGCCTCCAGCTGAAAGGCTGGGCCCTTCACACATTATTATTATTCAGGGGGTAGCTAGGGAAGTCTCTTAATTTTTAATGGAAAACTGCCAACTCGTTTCTATTCTAAATAAGACATTGGGTAGAAATGTCTAAAGCTGGCCTGGTGCTACTATTTTGTGAATTGTCTATGCTTGAAGGAGGTTTCTAGGTCCATCTGGGGCACCTTTGTGTAGTCTTAGATTAATTTTAGCTATGTTTCATATTGTAGCACATCAAAATTAATTTTTGCCCTAGGGTGCCTTGAGAAGACCCAAAGCTAGTGTATCACTTGCTTCTTTTAAGGTCTGTACGATAAATCTCAATCGACAAAAGAGTTCATTTTGACCTGTGACGCTTGGTATCACTGTCTTACATCCATTTGTGCTGGCTGTGACAAAGCCTTTCAATTCCAGTTCACAATCTTGTTCACTTTTTTTGTGATTTAAAGGTTTTACTTCTCAAATACTAGGATAGAGTTGACCCTCGCCAGCTATGCCTACACCCCAACCCTACTTTCCTACTATCAAATAATTAATTAACATTATTTCCAATTTTAGTCCCGATTTTAAGCAAAACGTGAACATTACTGTTAGAGCTGACTCAGAAATGGACAGCATCATCTTAATGATTATGACTAAGAACGGAAATTCAGAAATTCATCAGCATTACTGTAATTTTAAAATGACATGCACACATGTTATTTCAATTAAAAAAGACATGATGCCAACATCAAAGATTATTGTTTATTACGTAAAGGAGAAGAAGACAATCTATCAAGGAGAGACAATTATTACTACTAAGGAGCTTAGTGGGAATCATGTAAGTTGATGAAAAAAAACAGGGGAATTTTGGAAATTTGACGGTGTTCCAAAATAACATAAACCACCTTTATTATAAGCATTTAATCTACTGAACGGAAGTTTCCATATGACTATGGGTTAAAGGAGGTATGATTAGAGATCCAAAGGGTTGAATGGAGATTTTTTTTTAAATGGGGAATTGTTTCGAAAAGGTAGCTTAATAATCCACTTTGATCGGTCGATCGGGACGAAAAAAACTTTTTAACCAGACATCGTAGAGAGTTCTAGTTTGTTTTATTCCCTAAGGTCCATTGCTTTATTTCGGGCAATTGCATTTAAAAGTCTTGGAACAGTGTTTTTGTAATATTATCAGGCGGGTAGCCAGGAGGGTATTGTCCCCCTCTTAAGCATTTTCAGCAGTGCTCTCACTGAGGTTCAAAACGTTTAAGGGGGGGGACAAGACCCTCCTGGCTACGCGCCTGACTATTATTAATGATATTTTTATTTCAAATGAAAAACACGTGATGAGTGCGTTTAGAAATTCGATTTTATTTCTACCGTTAAAAAATTATGAATCTCAAAAAATCGTTAAATGATAAACAATTTTTTAATGATAATTAAGCATATCAAATTTTTTATTGTTGAATCCATGTTTATTAGCCAATCAAATACTGATCGCTGTGTCAAAAATGTGCTGAAGTCCCTCGATCAATAACACGAGGACTTTTGCAATTTTTTCTTACAAATTTGAATGATTCAAATATTTATTTTACATATTTCAGTTATCATTAACCCTTCCCAACATTGTTGAACCAAAAGCCTTAGCAAATGTCACACTCAAATCACGTCCAAGTTCAACTGTTTATTTACTGGCGTTTGATAAGCGATTAACATACATGTGGACGGGAAATGAAGTAACAAAAGATAACGTAACTGCATCTATTGGTGGATCTACTGGATCAAACAATATAAACAGATTTGATATAACAAAGTCAAATTGGCATGACTGTGACGATGATGAAAAAACTCGAATATCAAAAGGAAGAACCTTTATAGTTCCTCACTCAACAGACGAATTTTTATTTAATGAAGATGGAACAGAAAATTTTGATGGAAATGCAGAAGAGGAAGCGATTGAAACGGAGTCAGAATTAGAAGAAGCTGGAAATTATCGTGAAAACTTTACTGAAGTTTTCATTTTTGACACTTTAAAGACAAATTCTGTTGGAACTGCTTCAAAAAATTATAAAGTACCGGATTCTATAACTTCATGGATATTTTCATCATTCTCAATGAGTGAGTCATATGGATTAGCTATTGCACCAACACAAGAAGTTATTGCCAAAAAGCCTTTCTTTACAAAATTATCTGTGCCTTATTCAATTCGATATCAAGAAAAACTTCGACTTGACATTATGGTTTATAATTATATTGACTCAAATGAACGATTAGAAGTAACTGTTAAGATACGTGAAGAAGGACTTCAAAGTCTTATATTTTATGACAGTTTATGTTCCACAACGCCAAGCACTAATCGATCGCCAAGTAAAACTGTAGCCGTTCGAAATCAAGAGGCTAAAAGGGTCTCATTTTACATACAGTCGAATTCACAAAACGATAAAATCAAGCAATTCCCAACGTAGGTTAACCTTTTAATCCATTTTTAAGTCAGGTTTAAATTTTTTTTTTTCTTTGAATAATAAAATTCTAGAATTAATATAAAAGCAAAAGGAAGAACACCAAGAGGCAAAACTTTTGAAGATAATATGAGCAAACCAATCAGAATTGAGAAAATTGGAGTAAAGACATATGATGTTGAATCAAAAAGTCATCGTCTTAAGCCGAAGGAATTAAAAGAGGATATCGTCTCAATAAATATTAAGGGTGATTTTCCAAAGATTAGAGTTGCCATATCTGGAGATTACTTGACCAATACCATCAATATTGACTCGAAATTCCAGTAAGTTAAAGAGTTAAACATTTGTAAACCAGTGGTTCTCAAGCTATGCTCTAAGGCACAATAGTGTTTCTCAAACTACGCTCCATCGCACCATATTATATAGAATCACTGTTGTAAGCCTTAAATTGACTGATTCTTTGATAGAATTCTCACTTTTAACCAAGGATGAGACCACAGCAGGCGTAGCCGGGGGGGGGGGTAAATTCTCCTAAATTAACAGGAATTTTTCATTTTGCCAGGAGTTTTTATGAAAAAATCGTACAAATCTTTCGTCTTCCCTGAAATTTTTCCATGCAAAATTTCCCCCCCCTCCCCCCTTCCCCCCTTCCTCAAATTCCTGGTTAACGTTTCTGGTATTTAGTGTCAAACTAACTTAGACTTCCCTTGATGGGACATTTGCTTTCCCTTTGAGTTCACAACTTAAAAATCCTACTTCCCCCCTCATTTAAGTATGAAATTAACAATTTCACCATAATTTATTTTTTAGATTTCTTCCAGATGATTGTCTTGAGCAGAAGACATCAAAGTTGAAAGGTAATGTTGAGTATTTAAAATATTTGCGCTCAAAGAACATCACAACACCAGTCAAAGGATTTAGCGAGTATTATCAATCAATATTAGAACAACGAAAAGGAAATTGGGTAAGTTAAGCTGCCAGGGGTCGATCAGGGGTGTTGCTATGTTACTGTTGTGATGGAAAAAAGTGGAATCTTGGGTATCAAGACATGTTTAGGTGAACCTACCTGTGCGAGATCTAGACTCTGTGACGAACGGACCCTCTTTTCTATAGACTTTTGTTCGATTCGCCTTAGAGATCGAGCACTCTATCATTATACAGAGTGTTGTCGATATGACTAAGATTCGCACAATGCTTACAACCTTACAGAAGGGTACATAAGGACCTATTAATTGGTTTTCTCCCTATTAATTGGGATTTACGGGTCACTTTACCTAAAATCCCAAAATTTTAACATGATTTAAATATTTTCCAGAACTATAGAGACACTGCTGGCTATAGAGCATACTTTATAGAAGCAATCGCATCAGCAATGGACCTCAATGCGATTCCACAAAATACTGAAGTAATTAAAGCTGAACTTGATGCATTAAAGACTTTTCAAGAGCCAGACGGAAGTTTCAAGAACTTTGGAAGTATGCCAAAGTACAGAGGAAATCCAGAATCTACCAAATATTTCCAAACAGCTTACATTTTGATTCCATTTATCAAGTTCCGTAAATATTTCAACACAACATACGATGATGTTATCAACAAAGGTTTTGCCAGCCTTGATATACCACTTAAATCAGAAGTGTCAGCACTTTCAGTTGCTGCATTGGCATATGGTTTGAATGGCAACAAATCAAAAGCAACAAGTCTGTTGGAAGAAATCAAAAAGAGTATGATTGATGGTGGAAAAGGTGAAAAGTGCTTCAAGATAATGAGAAATGAAACAAAATGTGATGTTCGACACACATCATATGCGATGCTTGCGTACATGGCAATCAATGAAACAGTTGTAGCTAAAGAATTAGTAACATTTCTACTTAAAGAGCACAATGTCAATCTATATTATTCAAATACTCATCCCCATGCCATTGCGACGGAAGCTGTCTCAACTGCTATGCAAGGTGGAAAAAAAATTAAGACAGACTTTACTGTTCAACTTCAGAACGAAGGAGATTTTAACAAAACTGTTCATGTTACATCAAATAATATAAAAGACACAATTGAGGTTGAATTTCCTGAATATTCATCAGAGGCTAAAATCAAATCATTGGGCCATGGATATTGCGCAATTACAACGATTATCGAAAAAACTACAAAACTTGATCAAGCGAATTCAAAGTTTACTTTAAATGTTAAAACATATTCAGGATCAGTTTCCAGTGAAGCTATTGTAAATGTTTGTGCTACATATAATGCCAATATTGATGATAATGGCGGTTCTCAATCAATTTTTAATGTCATTTATGATGTTGAATTTCCTAGCGGATATGTCTATGAAGAGCTTATTGGAATTAATCAAAAAACTGAGATTAGTGTGAGTATTCCTAAGTATGAGGCTACAATCTGGAGTACAGCCAAGAGTATGGAAAGATCCACGCTCTTTTCTATATCCTTAACTGCCTCACAACAATCAAATTTAATTTTTTCTATTGTTTTCATATTTTTTTTAGTACGTAAGACCCAAAAACCTTAAGACAAAAATATTAATTTACTATAATGACTTTGTGGATGGCAGGAAATATTGTGTTGATATTAAAGTCAAGAAAGCTTTTGAAGTGACAAAGTTGCAGAATGCTGGAGTTCAAGTCTATGACTATGAAGACAAAAGTAAGAAAATTTGATTTTATTTACATTTTGTGGTTTGAAACAGGGGGTTGGGGGGCGGGGGTTTGCTAAATTTGAGAAAACAAAGTACGATTCAGTCGTTGGATTTCGTTTATCTGTTTTATGTGTGGTTCTAATGTAAATCAAGTCGGGTATGATGGGAATCGAACCTAAGACCTTTAAGATGTGATCTTTGATCGGCCGCTTGTTCATCAAGACATTTAAGTTGTCCATCATATGAGTAGAACTTGGGCCCAGATTCTAGGACTACCGAGAGAACCTTGTTTTTAGCCCATATTTAAGTAAATCAAAATTAATCAAAAAGTCCTAGAGTGCCCTGGGTAGACATAGAAACTGGACGCAATCCTATCTGGCTTATCTACTTTAGATTTGATATTGTCCGAAAATCAAAAGTCGGTTAGCTTTAAGCAGGCATAACTCTGGCATGGTGCTAGATTAGATTTGAGTCCAGTACAATGCCAGGGTTTTGCTGATTTGATGCCTGATTCTATTCGATTAACCGACTCATGCTTTTTGGGTTAGGGGTCGTCAGGCGCGTAACCAAGGGGGAAGGGGTGGGGGTGAATTTGGGGGACCGACGTTAATAGAAATTTCTTCATTTTGCTTGGAGTTTTATGAAACATCATAACAATTCCCCCCTTCTTTTTGAATTTTCCATATAAAATTTTTTTGTCACCCCCTCTTCAAATTCCTGGCTCCGCCCCTGGGGGTCGTTTACTTTTTTCAGGGGAGGGAGGGGGTCAGCAAAATTGTGGCATCCAATTTTTTAATCAGGAAATTATAATTTTTTTGTGTCTTGGATTGGACGTCACAAGTGGGGGGGGGGGGGGGGTGGGGGGGTATTGACAACTTTGAAAGTTTTGTGACAAAGAGGGGTTCTAAAAATTTGGTTTTTTGATGGACGTCAAAAGTGAACGGCCCTTAGATGATGGAGCCTTAGGATAGTTTTAAATTTTTTGATGGAGAGTTGATTAATTTTGCATGGAGAATAATTTTAAGGGGGGGAGGGGGGTGAGGCAAATTTTTGTTAAAAGAGTTGATTGCCCCCTGTGGTCCCTACTTTCTTTTTCTGTTCTTGACTATTTCTGCTGTAAATTCATGAATTTATTTTATTTCAGAAAACATTGCTGTTGCGTTCTACAAGTTAAATGATGAATGCCTCAATACTCCAGAGAACAATAGTCAGGGCAGAATGGACGACTACTAGTTGAGTTTAGGTTTACTAACCAAAATCAAAAATAAACCCAGAATGAAACAATAAAGTCACAAATTAACTTTGAAGAAAATTTTATTCCAAAAATAGTTATAAAACATTTTAAAAATCATTAATTAAATTTAAAAAAATAAATTTATAGAAAAATGTAGAAATTTTGTTTGAGGTTTTTACTAAAAAAAAGATGTCTTTATACTTTAAGTTCTCTTCTTTTTAGATAGCTTTTCAATATTCTTATCTATCCAGTCATTAAAGCACGCCACTTTGACGAAACCAGCTGAAAAATTATATTTAATTATTATCTTATCCAGTGTTTCTCAAACAATGCTCCGCGAAGCACTTGAGTTTCACGAGAGAGTCTTAAATGTGTTCATAAGAGCAGCCAATGTAACTCGCTGCCAAAAAAGTTTGAGAAACACTGCTTTAGTCCACAAACCCTCTTTCTAGCTACACAACTTGATATAGTCTTACATGGTTTATTTCCTGCTTTGCATGTTGCAACTCCATACGCAACTAGACCTTCCAACTTATGGATATCATTTTTGTAACTTGTAACTCCACTTCCAGAGTCTCCTGGGCTAGAAATAAATGATTAATAAGCTTTAGAATTTTATAGTTATGTTGCACTTCAAAGGTTGATTTGTAAGAGCTGCGTGAAGCATCCTCCTCTTTGGTAAATAGAATTGATCTTAGATTAGTGAAGGATGCTGCGGGTATCCCTAGTAATCATCCCTTAATACTTAGCCAAAGTTTAACCCTTTTAATAAAGATCCAGCAAATTAATAAAGATACAGTCAAGGTCCAATGTCCTTGCTAAATGCAGATCACCAATGTTATCATGTTCAACCTACCAAGTTGTTTCACCTAAAACAAAAAAATAAGATTAGTAAAAATAAATCCACATTAGACATTTGTCACATACCTTCGGTACCCAAGCCACACATCTTTTTAATTTCCAAAAATAAATTCAAGTTTATTGTAAGTTTCAAATCAATTTTACTTCGATCTTACATGAAATCCTCGAACAAAGGAGTCCTTTAGATTTTCTCCGCAGTACTTTTCTGTCTGAATTGACATCTTAATGCTTTTTTTAATCTTAGCGTACTCTTTTCCTGATGTGGGTGTGTGCCCTAAAATTTAAGAAAATATATTGGCCGTGTTTGAGAACCAAAAAAAAATTCCAAGAAAATCTATTGTTTTAGGGCAGTGGTGCCCAACCTTTTTTGAACCATGCTAACCTTGGATATAAGACATGTCTGAAACCGCATTCAGCACACAGTTTGTTGATTTTTTCACTACTAGGCCGCTGCACCAAGGTTGGTGCACTGATCACTGATTTAAGTTCAAGCCCCCTCACCAAGCACGTAGCCAGGGGAAGGGGGACAAATCCCCCAACGTAAACAGCAATTTCTTTAGTTTGCAAGGGTTTTTATGAAAAAATCACAAAATCCCCCTCCCCTTAAATTAATTGACCCTCTTCAAATTCCTGGCTACGCGCCTGCCCCTGACAATCCAAACTTACCAAATCCAGTCACAAAAAGTTCCTCATCTTCATAATTATCATCACATTCGCCATCAGTCAAATCAATATTTTCAATCAATTCCGATTTTCTTGGTGCCCAAGCAAGCTGAATAATTGCAATGTCATGCTTATGTTTATTGCGCCGTGTGTCTCGAGGATACTGCTCATGAATAACAATTTTTTTCGGTGGAATTTCAGCAACTCGTTCACATGAGTCATCAGCAGCAACACAATCTGGATCTGAGTCTGTCTTCCATTCGCCAAGAACAACCATAATGTCCTTCTTTAATGTTGGTGAGTTAATGTTGATGCCATCAAAACAATGGGCAGCTACGTGAGTATTGATATTAGGAAGTGAGAAGTTTTGTTTTGCAGGGGGATAACAACATGATGGGTAAAAGTTTTTTGGTGGATAGATGAAAGTTGTGTAAAATATTGAACAGAACTCGGAGTCGACTCCACTTTATAAATACGGTTAAATCTCGAGTCGACTTCGAACTCTGATATTAAAATATTCTCAGGGGGATAACAACGTGATGAAAAAAGTTTGTAAAAAAATTGTATCTAATTTTCCTTCAGTTTTTGAACAATTCTAAGCAAGAATATTGGCGTAAAATGAGTAAAATTTTCAGGGGGGGGGGTAACAACATGATGGGATATTTTTCTCTGAAATATTCACAGGAATTTTCCACAAAGCTCTCAATTTCCATCTTTTAAGAATTTCAGAATAAAATTCCCAATCAAAACTTTTTCTCATCAAGTTGTTCACCCCCTCAATAGCTTAACAATCATCAAACTTACCTGTGATGATGAATTTATCCTTAACAAGACTTCCACCACATCGTAAGTTCCTTACTTTAATATTAATGAGTGCCAGCCATGGTGACTCAAATTGAGTAGCATTTTTTAAGGTAAATGATTCCGTAGATCGTTTTATTATAGCTATAATATTTTTTAATTTAATAAAAGTTTCAATATTTACAAAATTATAAAAAAAGTCTTACATGCCAAACTCAATTGACAAACAGCAAAAACAATAAGAAACTTAATCATTTTTAATTCAAAATTTTTTTGACTTATAATAACTAATGTTCTCCAAAGATTCATTCAAACTGTTGCGTCTGACAAGATTATTCGTTTTTTTTCAAGCAAACTTAATGCTGTATGTGTGTCTATAGGAATATATAAGATTAAAATGTGATTGTATGGATAGATTCTATATACTTTCAAAATATTATTATGCAAAAACAATGACAGACGACTTAAAGTTTGGTGACTTGGAAACATCTGGCTGTACATCAACCTTATCCTGGCCATCCTCAGTATTGTTTTGAACTTTCTTAGTCGCATGTTATTTGGACTAGTTTCATAGGGCATGAGTGTAGGCAGGGGAGGATCTCGTCACGGTTCAGAAGAGCTCCCGGAGAGCACAAGTCGGATAATCGAGACGAAATCCTACGCAAGGAAGATATCACGGCGACTTTAGGGCAAATTTTTCGTCATGACGAGAAATTCGCCCTTAGATCGTAACCACGTCGCCCTAGCGTAGGATTTCATCTCGATTATCCGACTTGTGCTACTCGGGGCTCTTGCTAAGCTCCATACAGCTCAAAACCTAAGAATCAACTCTATTCAAACCTGGAGGTGAAATGTCAAATCTACTCAGTGGTTCTCAAGCCGTGCTCCACGAAACTTTTCTCGATTTTGAATAGGTACCAGAAGTGTTAACAGAAGCCAGAAATTTAACCAGAAATGGCAAAATAGAATTTTCAAGTCCTGAAAAGATTGAGAAGCACTGGTCTAACCCACTCGAAATTAAACCACAAAATCCAAAATTAAACCTTAAAAACCTTATCAATTATGCTCCTCAATATTATAAAACGTAACAAATCAGTTCCTATTGACAACTGACAACAACTGTCTATTGATATACTTGGGGAATTCCGCAGTTATCAGCTACAATACCGAGAATAAGGTCAAAATGAATTATGGTGAAATTCAGTTGATAATAGAAGCAATATTTAATTTAATTGTGGGATTTTCCAAAGGATGATAACTTATAAAGGTTGAAATTGTTGACATTTTATGACAAAAAGTATCATAAACTGAAAAAAACCCGCAATAATGTATTTGATGCCACACATTCTGATGATATTTACTCTCATTAATTTCCCCTTAAATTCTCCTGACATTTTTGAGAGAACTGAGCATTGAGAATGAAATTTTAAGATTTTTGCTGCTCTTGATTCCTCTCGAGAAATTTCAATGAATTGTCAGTTTTTGAAAACAAAGTTTTGAGCTGTATTCAAAGTCAGGAGAAATTGATGTCCTTGAACTTTACTTTTCAAAATTACCTAATTTAAAATAAATTTTGATCGGTGGGCCCATTGCCGCGTTTAGAGATCATCTACAGACAGCTCTATCCTTCGAGACTTTCTGCCAGTTTGGGATATAAAGGTCTCTAGCGGATGATCATCGACTGTATTTAAGCTGAAGTACATTAAAAGGAGGCCGATTGGTGCCAAAGACTAGTGGTGTACAATCTTTTTGTGCCACAGCAGACTTTGTTGTAGGACATGACCAAAACCGCACACAGCACATGGTATGTGAGATATCCCAAAAAAGACACGCTTGTGTGCCGCGGCACAGGGGTTGGTCATTACTGTCATAGAGTAAAGTTCCACGAAAAGAAGTAAGCTAAGATGAAAAATACTCTTGCTTCTCCTGTTTTATCACTCAGTTTGCCTTTTCTCATCTTTGGTCAACTGTTGGCTACAACTGTATCCATAACATATGAAAAAGATGCTTAAACATCGATTTTTGACGACTTTTGGTCAAAAAGCGAGATTTCAGCTCTTAAAAAGCGGAAAAGACCAAATTTTCAAGATAAATAGGTTTAAGAAGCTTGAAATTAAGGATTTAAGGCAGAACTTTGTTTAAAAAGGCAGGATTTTGTTCAAAAGCCAGTTCTTTATACAAAAAATGGAACTGTGCCGCTCAAAAGTGCCCAGATAGACAGCTTCCTTACACACGATAAACACAAGTCGTTCAATCAAATAGAAATCCGTCATCAAGCCAGAATGACTTTGGCTTCGATTAAAATCCAGAACCATGCCAGTCACACTAGCTTAATGCTGAATTTCTATTCGATTAACCGATTTGTGTTATTCGGGATTCATCAATAATTAAAAAAAAATTGGTGTTCAAATCTTTATTAAAAATAAGTCAAATCATTAAATTTTTAAGGGGCCATTCACTTATTACGTAACGCTTTTAGGGGGGGAAGGGGGGTCTAAGATTTTGTTACGGTTCAAACAAGGAAATTTTTTTTTCATACAAATTTTGTTACGAGGGGGGGGGGGTCTAACAAGTCATTTTTTCGCGTTACGTAATAAGTGAACAGCCCCTAAGAATTATCAAACAATTGTCATTAAAGTCCAAAATCACAAAATCGGTACCATTTTGCGCAGTTTTCTTTAGAATTATGGTCATCATTTATTGCAAGGCTTGCCGATCCTCCTTCCGGTTTTTTAGTTGACTTTACCGGAGTCAAGGTTGTTGATGATATTTGATGTAATGTTGATGTTTCTGTTATTGTTGCAGCTACTGTTGTTGCAGCTACTGTTGTTGTTGTTATGTTCGATTCTACTGCGTTTGATTGAGATGCTTCATTTTGATTTGTTGATTGTGTTGCCAAGTCTTCATCATCAACTTTTGCTTGTCCATCTGTAGAAGCTGCAACGCTGGTAGTTGTTGGCTCCGTAGCAACTGTATCTTTAGCAGAATCTGGCTTCTTTGTAGTACTGAAATTTTGCATAATATCAAATAATTTTTTGTATGTTTTAAACGCTTCTTCTTGGTTGGCTTCTGCATCCTTTTCAGCATTTTTGGCATTTGCTAATAATTTGTTAAACTTTCTGGCTTCTTTATCGGCATCCAATTTGGCTTTTTCAGCTTCTTTTCGTTGTTTCTGTGCCTTTTGAAGTTCCTGTTGTGTTCTTGCAACTTCATTTTTAAGCTTGCGTGAATTTGTTTTAGCTTTTAAGGCTTCCTGATTTTCATTCCTAACATCTTCAATGAATTCCTTTGCTTTCTTGTTTAAATCTGTTGCTTTATTTCCATTTTGTTCGAAGTTGTTCAGTAAAGTTGTTGTTGAGCTTGTGATAGCTGTAACTCTTTTATTTCCATCATCAAACTCAACAACCAGTGCCTGAAATGAGGTTTGAATGCTGATGAACCTGCTTTTCAATTCAGGAGCTTTCCTTTGCTTCATTCCTTGATTTTGTTCATATTTGATGGAATTTATTAACGATTGAAGATTATTTTGAGTAGTTCTGACATTCGTTGTTAAGAATGTAACATTTTTCAATGCTTGATTAATTCTGGCATGCTGAGCAGTGATAATTTCGTGGATTTCATTGATCTCAGTCTTCATTATATTTGATATAGTGTTTATATCAGCAACTGAATTTATGGATTTTAAAGAAGTTTTTTTTAGTGCTTCTGCTTCTTTTAAAGGTTCCTGAGCATCTTGTTGTGCAGTCTTCAACTTCGTTTGAGCTGCTTTTATGGCTTCATTTGCAGTTTCAACACCATTTTTAGTTTTGTTCAAATTTTCTTCAATTTCCTTAATATTTGCTTTGATTGTTTTTACTTTATTTTGAGCGGCTGTGTACCTCCTATATGCTTCAGCATTATCTTTCCTTACATCATCTGCACTTGTGTAATTTCCTTTAGGTTCCCATGACATCTCATCTGAAGCAATGATTCCTGGTTCCTCTTCAGCTTGCTCAGTATCATCATTTGAGTCGTGACTTGGCTCTGCAATTGTTGTTGCATTCAAAGCTTCATCAACGTTGTTAGATGCTTCCAATCCAGCATTATAAATTTCTGTAGCCATTGTGTTTGCCTGATCGACTTCTTTTTGAGTATCTTCAATAATTTTGAGTACTTTTGGTGCATTGTTTTGAGCTTTTGTCAGTTCTGAACTGGAACCATCAAGTTTTGTTATTGTTTCTTTCGCTTCTTGCTGGATTTCCTCAGCTTTGGTCTTTTCTGTGTTCAATTCTTTCCCAATTTCAGTTTTCTTGCAGCTGTCCGCATTCCTATCTAGATTATAGTTGTATTGACTCTTGATATCTGGAAGATTAGGATTTTATTATTTAGGGATATGAATTTAAAGCATTGATAAAGGCTAGTCGAATTAGACATTGTTAATATTAGCTCTTGTTTATAAACATCAACTTACTTGATCTATAGTAATCATAGATTGTGATTTTTGATGGCTCGTGATTTTCAAAATCAAAAATTTTCAGCATATTCAATGTTAATGTAAATGCTCGATTCCTCTCAAATTTGTTGATGTATAACAAGACACGACTGCGATCATTTTGGACTGATACTTTCTGAAAATTAAAAAAAATTTAATCTTTGGATTTTTTGAAGTTTGATACTTTTAAATGTTTGATTTTTTTAAAATTTTTAAATTTTTGAATTTTTGAATTTTTGATTTTTTGAATTTTTGAATTTTTGAATTTTTGAATTTTTGAATTTTTGAATTTTTGAATTTTTGAATTTTTGAATTTTTGAATTTTTGAATTTTTGAATTTTTGAATTTTTGAATTTTTGAATTTTTGAATTTTTGAATTATTTGAATTATTTGTAATTATTTGAATTGTTTGAATTATTGAATTTTTGAAGTTTTGAATTTTTGAATTTTTGAATTTTTGAATTTTTGAATTTTTGAATTTTTGAATTTTTGAATTTTTGAATTTTTGAATTTTTGAATTTTTGAATTTTTGAATTTTTGAATTTTTGAATTTTTGAATTTTTGAATTTTTGAATTTTTGAATTTTTGAATTTTTGAATTTTTGAATTTTTGAATTTTTAAATTTTTGAATTTTTGAATTTTTTTTTAATTTTCTTGAATTTAGAATTTTTGAAAATCCTCTAATTTACCTCAATGTTGTCATTTTGAGCATCATATCCAGTATATCGATAACCTCTTGGAAACTCAACCTCAACAACAGCCAAGTTCGTCTTGTCAAATTCAGTTCCATTATTGACGATTTTTAAACTTATTTTAACTTCATTGCTTTTACCGAATTCTTCAGCTATTGACACCCAAAATCCATCAATATCATCCTGTCTAGTTCTCTTAACTGATTGTAATCCCTGAGTTCTCATATTCTTGCTGATTGAATATTCATATAAAGCTTGATGAGCAAGGACAGTGTCAAAAGGTGAGTAAAAGCTTCCATCTGAACTTCTCTGACTTAAAAGCCATTTGACTTCATCTTGTGGATCCTCTTGCAGCAAGACTGTTGTCAGAATGATGTATGAAGCAGTTTCAATTGATTCTGAATTAGCATCAGCATAAGAGACACTATTTATATTTCTGAGTAATGACTTTGCAGTTGCTGTGTCGCCACTCAAAGCTAGAGAATAAGCAGCTATGCTTTTTGGGTAGCTACTCCATGACCTAGCATTAGTCTTTAAAAAGTCAATAGTTTTCTGGATTTGCGTTGTGGATTTATTTTTCAAAAATGCAGCTATGATTAATGCTGATTGAATTTCTTGGCGGAACTTATCGCCAATATTTCTATGATAATCAGCATTTTCATCATATTTGAATTTTCCATTACGATCTTGTTGGGATTTGATGACATTTAAAGATCTGATTATCAAATCCTCATCAATGGAAGTAATTGTTCGAGCATCAATCAGATTCTGAGCAGTCATTGACACCAGCCATGTAAATTTCATATCCATTTGCTGTCTTGAATTTAATTCCGGTAAAATATTTTCGAGAATGACAATTGCTTCTTGATAGCCAGCAATGATGTCATTTAAAGCTTTTTTGGCTATTTCGTCATTAAGTTTATTTATTTTGGTCAAGAACTTGTAATTGGTGATTGCCATACCAAATTTGAGCATCTTTTCTTCATCTGTTACCATCGGTCGATCACTAAATTGAGATTAAAATCTTAAAATATGCAAAAATATTTAAAAATGTCAAGTCAGACTTACAACATTGTTTCCAATCCATTTAAACCAGGATCAAGTAAACTTCCATAAATCCTGCTGTTGACATTTTCATTTGAATCACTTCCAGGCTTACGAATTTCAATAATTTTCTCAACATCATCCTTGTTGCCACCTCTAGACACAGATACTTTAATGACTACATTTCCATGTCCATTTGGTTGAATCAGAAAACTTACTGGATTTGAAATTTGCTCTGGTGAAAGTGTCCACGACAGTTGCTTCTGCCTTGCACCACTGGAACTTAATATATCACATTTAAGTCCAAACTCAGTTTTTGATGTTTTGTCAACAATAAAGCCATTCTCAACTTTGATTGTTCCTTGGACATTAACAGGATCATTGAGTGGATTAAAGGCTCTAACATCAACTGTAAAAGCTTCAGTGTCATAAGCTGATGTTGGTGCTCTAACTTGTACTGCAAGTTCCTTCTTTACAGTAATTTTTGATTGAACTTTGGTGACTGTTAAGCCTATGTCTGGATGTACGGAAACACCAAATAATTGCCATCTTGTTTGACTTTCAGGGATCTTTATGCTTCTTTTTTCAGCATTACTGGACGTTGCGTCATAATTGTCATTAATCATGATTTCAGGGAAGTAGTTTGTTGGAATGTTAACTGCATTCATGCCATCTTCATTACTAGACTCAACTCTGTCACTTCTTAAAGCTTTATCGTTGCATTTTCCGTCCATAACAGGCTCAAAAACAAAGCCATTGAATTTCTCAAAATGATACTTTGAAGCATTTGGGAACTTGAAATTAAGATAGTAGACCAACTCATTGTAGATTTCACTTCTAGATATTTCATTGTTCATAGTTAAGGAAGTTGGGTTTTGGTCGACGGCTGTGATGTAAACTTTCGATCCACGTTCCGTTTTGACATCATAGTTGATGACTTCATTTGGTTTTGCAGTTTCTGGTGATGTGATTTCAAGCTAGAAGAAGCATACATGATTAACATGTCCAACACTGCCTTATAAAGCATATGCAACTTACATCATTGTCAACAGAAAATCTAGTGCTGATAGAAAACTCATCGTAGACCATTTCGCCATTTCGGCTATAAAATGCCAATCCACGTGCCTCTGGTTTCATGTCATCACTCAATGGAACTTCAAAATTAACAACATCCTTTCCAATGGAGTCTGGAAAGTCTTGACTAAAAACAACACCTTTGGTTCCAACTACAACTACGTGTAAACGTTCCATTTCTTCAGATGCCTTTACTGCAAATGTGGCTTTGCTGCTGGATTTTGAGCTGTAAGATGGAAATGATTATTGTTGGCTAGATAGTGAGAAGGGTCATTTTTAATCGAAGCAAGGGTGTGAAACTAAGCAATTCAATAATATTTCACAATCCTTGATTCAACCAATGACTTTATTCTAGTCTGTAACAGTAATGGAACCTTTTTTTATGACAAAGGGCACATAAAATTTAATCGTTAAAAAGATCGTGACTTAATGAGCACCCTTTGCAATGTAATAGTGAGTCATGGAACACAGGTTGTCCAACACTGGGTTTATGGGGAGGGGGGGTGTCTGTTGGATGTTGAGCTTACATAAAAAATGACTTTTTGGACCCCCTGCTCCCTTGTTACAATTTTCTGGGGGATGGTGGGGGGAGGGGGATTTTAACGGATGGAGGGGGGGAGGGGGTTGGAGGGAGAAGGGGGAGGGGGGTGTCTGGTGGATGTTGAGCTTACATAAAAAATGACTTTTTGGACCCCCTGCTCCCTTGTTACAATTTTCTGAGGGAAGGTTGGGGGAGGGGGGGTTGGAGGGAGGAAGCGAAGTTTGAATGGGGAAGGGGGAGTTTGAAGGGTTTAGGGGGAATTTTGAGGGGGCAGGGGTGTTGCTCAAAGTTGGCCAGTTTTAAGTGACACAAAATATGCGAACATAGGTTGATAAAGTTTGAGAACCACTTGAATACATCTGCCTAAGTATACTTACATTTTATTAGTTGGACTAACTTGCATGTACTCTTCGATACCAGGAAATCGATCAATTTTTTCCGAATGTTCAACTCCCGCAAACTTTAAGTCAAGGACAATCCTAATTGTGTCAGCTTTTGGCTGTAAACTTAGCAAAGTTTCTCCATTTTTCAAATTAATTTGACTCTGTTCATTAATAGCTTTTGAATTTTTGTCTATATATTTTACAGCTACAGAAAGTTGATTAAATGAATTGTCAGGACGTCCATCAAGTAGTTTGACTTTAACTCTTGCATTAAACCTGTAATTTGGCTTGAAATACTTTTTTCGTACAACCTGAATTGTATTCTTTCCTTTGTAAATCAGTTCGATTTGTTTATTGACTGTAAATGATCTCTGAGTGGCTTGATCTTTAACAACAATATCGAAATCAAGGATCATATCTGCTGTTGGAAATCTGATTCCAATGTCATTATCAAAATCAACTGGAATGACTTTTTTGTTGCCATTAATGTCCACCGTCTTTACGTGCTGTTCCAATTGATTTTTATTTGCATTTTTAAATTTAGCTTTGACAAAAATGTCAGCAGTTCCAACAAAGAACTTGTCAATATTGTCTTTAACATGAACTGTGATGTACAGCCTTTTATCAATGTGTGCAATAGCTGATGGAGCATCAACTGCTACTTCTAATCCATTCTCGTCAGGCTTGTATACAAAAAATGATTTTGAAATTTTTTTATCACCGATAAATGCACGAATTTTCCACTGTCCTAAGTTTGGTGCTTCCGCTAGCTTAATTGAATCCTCGAAAATTCCAAAACTTGAAGCTCTGATTTTATTAAATAATTTTATTGGATTTTCTTTAGAGTCAAAAATTAAAACTTCAATATTTTCATGATTTTGATGCGGCCTTAAATTGTTGTTGAGTACGAAAATTCGGAACTTGAACTCCTCTCCAGTCTTGTAGACTGGCTTGTCGAAATGGACGAAGATTATTGATTTATCAGATGTGCTGATCAGTTTGACTGATTTTTGAGTGCATTTATCAGCTTTCATTTCAAGTTTAATTCCATCGCTGCCTTCTTTTGGCGCCTGGATTTTAGAAAATTAATTCTATTTGAACTTGAACTTTAAAAGGATCAACTTACCTTAACATTGACATAATTGAATTTTTCTTGTGATGAGATTGGAAAATTTATTTTATTTAATCCTTCAAGAGATCCTTCAACCCTTGAACTTTTCAGTCCATTTGTAAGAACAACGGATTTGTAATTTTCATTTGGTGACACAAAATAAGATCCTATAAATGTGACACGTTGCCTGTAATTTGATGAAAGAATCATATTTTATGAGTATTATTTTGGGATGATTAATAAGGTCGCAGGTCAAGTAAATCTACGGGAAATTCCCAAAAAGTATCACTTTTTCATTCAATAATTAAAAAATGTGAACGTGTTGAGCAAAAAGGGGGTTTAAGGGGAGTTAGAGGACTAAGCGGATTAAGGAGACTAAGGAGACTAAGCAGACAAAGGAGACTAAGAAGACTAAGGAGATTAAGGAGACTAAGGAGATTAAGGAGACTAAAGAGATTAAGGAGACTAGGGAGACTAAGGAGACTAAGAAGATTAAGGAGACTAAAGAGATTAAGGAGACTAGGGAGACTAAGGAGACTAAAGAAATTAAGGAGACTAAGGGAACTAAGGCAAATAATGCCAACTCTGGCTCCCAGAGTAGCCCAAAAAAACAGATCCTTCAAGGTTCATAATTCTCCTGCAGAATATCCGCTAAATCTGAGTTAAAATCTAACCAAACTTTAACTTGCTGCTATGAATTCTAAGCACTTAAAGGACAGATGCAACGAGATCAAGGAAAAATCAACACGATGCTAATAATATTGACTGGAAATTCCTACAATTTTCCCACCAAAATTATTGTTTTAATAGAAAGAAGAATAATTCTGAGTGGGACTCGAACCCACGTCCTAGAATTTCTAGTCACTTGCTTCTACCACTAAGCTATCGAGGGTTATCCGACTAAATGGCTAAATGCCAAGTATAAGTAACGGCTTTGTCTGTCTCTACTTTCTGTGTTTGATGATCTAAGTCTTGTCATTGTCAAGGGAATAAATCTAATATCTCGAAAAAATAGGAATTTTCATAGCTCGAAGTCGATAAAGTTCGAAACTCGAAACACAGTCGACTCGGTTGGGTCAATCATCTCATCTCAAGTCATCTCGAGTCGACTTCAAGCTCTGGGAATTTCCAATCATGTTAGTTTCCCCTTCAACAAGATAAAATCGCAAAAACATCCTTACCCAAAATTAGATCCAAAACATGCTAAAAATAACAGACACAACTTAAAGTCAAGCTTCATTTTAAAGTGAACAATGCACATTCTAAATCACGAAACAACTAAACAGCTACTGTCGGCGATGCCTTCACTTCGTCATGAAATATATTGCGAGAAACTCAGATTTTTTTAAAATGATCAGATGTTTATAGATTGGCTGGAAGGTTTGATAATGTAGAGACTCAGTTTTTAAGGGGAAAATGAGAATAAAAAAAATAAATGAATATTTATGTAAAATTCTCAGAGATTCTGCTTGCTGAGATGATTGATTAAGGCTTTGACACTAGAAAATTGTGAAAAATAATTAAAATTTTAGCTTTTAAATGGCTATTGAGGATCAATTGAAGAGGGGGATGAGGTTTGGTCAATGCTAATGGAAAATTGGGAAATAAGTGAATCTTCAGTTTTATTTAGTATGAAACACTAGAATGGAGGAGGGCGGATGGGTATGTTAAGATAAGAAGTTCAACAAATCCAATCTGGGGCTGGAATCTTGTGATTTTAAGTCTACTTGAAGTGATGAAACGGAATCAGAGGCTTTTGTGGTAGAGCGTTGGCCTTACGTGCGAAAGGTTCAGGTTTCAATCCAAGGCCAAGTCAAGCTTTTTTTCCATTTCACCGTTCAAGTTAGGAAGCTCAGTTCTCGTGTTTAGTGTAGTTTTGAGGTAAAGCGTCTCCTTTGCTAGGTATACAAGGATATACTAGCATCTGGATGGTTTCATTACAGCATCTTGAGCACATGAATTGTGACTAGCTAAATTGCAGGGTCCATCAGGTCTTATGACGTACTCGTGTCTTTGCAATGTGCTGAGCTTGCAAGTGGTTCGGATTCCACTATAAACTGTTGGCCTAAAGGGTGTAGTACATTAAATTCCGTTAACATTTGAATCGCGGTACCTCTAGCTGAAAGTCTGGGCCCTTCACGCATCCCAGAGCAACTGATAAAGCAACTGAGACTCTTACTCGAGACAGCTGGGTTGATAGTGTAACTAGAACCAAGTGACTGCCAGTTAGAAGGGATTTTCAAGTAGATGCCAAGTGTTTGCCATTTCCAATTGGCTGCTGCTTGTTTCTAATTTTAATATCAACTCTTTCTTACTTTACTTCGCTGGCCGTACAGATCAATTGTGATCCATCAGCCTTTCTTAGATGGCGCGTGAAGCTCGCTCCCGTTAGCCAATTACCCATATCAAATGAAATATTGTCAACCCGATTCAAAAAATTTCAATGTGTGTCAAACAGAATTCTCGATTCTTTGCTAGATTACACCACAAATTCCTAGAAAACAGTCAATGATTTCACCATTAATTTAAAACTCTCTTCAGACCCTCTCCTTCTGGCTACGACCTTGATTGAAGTATATAAAGCTGTGCCTTATCGCATGTTTAAAAATATCTCAAGTTTTTCATTTAAAATCTTCATAAAACATTTAAAAACGCCAGTTTTAACTTCAGATTAAATAAAATTCTAAGTAATGAATTTCAATTTTTTTCTCATTTTCATTTTAATTTCAATAAAAACTCAAGAAAGTTTTGGACACACTGGAGTATGTGATTATTATGACAGCTATTTCTATTCAGTTTTTGATAAACATTCAGCATATGCTTGCAAAATCACGTTGAATAATTTGCAAAACATCAATCGAATCACAAAAGTTGACGGAATTCACGAAGATTATAGAAATAAAAAAGATGTGAATTATCTTCAAATAGCGTCGGTAAATTCAAATATAAAAGAATTTAATTCAGTGTTTTGTGCGACATTTAATAATTTAAAAACAATTTTAGTTGAGGATTTAAAAATAAATTCAATTGACGACGATTCGCTGCAAAATTGTTTAAATTTAAATCTTTTGTACTTTACTAACAATGAAATTTCAAATTTGCCGCAAGACTTGTTAAGTGAAAATTCAGAATTGATTGAATTTGAGCTAACTTTTAATAAAATCACAACAATTCCGGAAGCAGCATTTGATATGCAAGAGAATTTAAAGCTACTGAACCTTAAAAATAACGAAATCAATGATTTACCGGGCGGAGTCTTTCGAGCATTATCATCGCTTCTGTTTTTAAATCTCAATGATAATAAAATTCAAGAATTAAATCCAAAATGGTTCAAAAATTTAAAAAGTTTACTAAAATTAACTTTAAATTCAAATAATCTTCAAGATTTACCAGAAAAGGTTTTCGAAAATTTACACAATTTAAATGCAATTGAATTAAAAAACAATAAATTAGTCAAGATTCATGCGTCATCTTTTGGCAGACGCGATAGACTTCAACTTGTCTATTTGAGTAAGAATCACGTTGGTTCCATTGATCCAACATTTATTCATCAATCTGCGATCGGAACGTTGCACATGGAAGATAATTTTTGTTTTGGCGGTGTCATTAGAACCAGAAATGATATAAATAATAAATTACGGAGATGCTACATGTCCTACAGACCTGGTGAGTAGACCTGACGTGTTTCAAAAATTCTGAATTGATCTGCAACTAAGGTTTGTAGTTTGCTTGATCTTAGACATTAATTTCTGGTTAATAATTTAGCCTAAATTCGATATTTGACAATTTCTCTGGAGTACTTTTCAAAAATTGTCATCAGTCGACCTAACCCGAATAACACAAGTTGGTTAATTCAATCCAGTGCCAAGCTGGTGTGATTCTCCGGATTTCTATTCAATTAATCGACTTGTGACATTCGGGTAAGCGCTACTTACCAAGGCTGGTCTAGTTTTCACTCTTGATTCTCAAATTCTACCTTCCTTCCCTTTTAAGCTACAACAACAACATCAACAACAGAAGCTCCAACAACCACATCATCATCTACAACCACTACCGAGCTGACAACAACTAGCACCAAGAAGTCATGGAGTACTATCGAGCCCGTTACTTTAACAACTACGACTGAAGAATTATCAACTTATCAAGATTCAGATGAAGATGTTGAATATATATCAACAACAGCCAAGCCAGCGACATGGACAGACTCACCAACAACATCTCAGAAACTAAGTTCATCGGTAAGATTAGGGTTGGCTGTGGTAGAACTAGGCAGGGGCTTGCCAGGGGTTTAATTCAGCGTTGCGACACAGGCATCTTTGCACAGGCGAGAACCGTACAATTCCTCGATCATTTGTGAGATTTTATTAAATTTTGAATTATTTGAAGAGGAATGATGGAGAGGGGGGGGGGGGGTATGGGGAGGGTATAAGAAGCTGAAATTACTTTCAAATTAGTTAACGACTACAATTTGTTTTTACTTCATTTCATGGATCAACAAACGACGCTGCCTAATTCTGGTAAGTTTTGAGCTTTATTTTAAGGTTAACCCGAATAGCACAAGACGATTAATCGATCAGAAATCCAGCACCAACCTAGCGTGACTCTGGCTAGATTTAAATCGAAGCCAGTTGCTAGTTAAATGCTAGATTTTTTTTTCGATCATCCGACCAACTCGATTATGGCCAACTTTTGTATCATCTATTAAATCTTTTCAGATAACTCTAGTGTGGACAGGTTGACGATGATATTCCAGCTATTCAAAAAGGAGACAAAGTGACTCGTGGACAGTTTCCTTGGTAAGTCTTGAGTAAAACTTGAATATATATTATTCAGCATTGCCTCTTTTAGGAGTGTGGCGATTTTTAGGACTGAAGATCGTTTTGTTTGCACTGGTGTGCTGGTTTCAGATAGAAAAGTCGTTACAGGTAAAAATAAATCTTTACTAGAAATTTTCATGGCTTATGATCCAAACCCTCTCGAATTACAGCTGCAAGATGCATGTACAAGACCAGACAAGAACAAGGTCAAGCATTTTTAATGCGTGAATTGAAGATTATACTTGGCAGTCAGATCATTTACGAACCTTATGAGCATTCAAAGAAAAGCATTGCAATAAGCTACATTCACATACATAAAGAGTACAAACTGTCAAAAAGCGAGGCTGACATTGCTGTAATTATTCTCGATATTGCTGTAAAAGATCAAAAGTACATCAAACCAATTTGCTTAATTGACTCAGATGATGGACCTTTATCTGTTGAGGATGGTGTCGTAGTAAGCTACGGTCATAATGCGTCTATGGCAAAAAACTCACTTTGTGTACCAAAAAAGTACGACACAACGATTCAGGACGAATTTGAGTGTTTCACAAACAACGATGAATTTGTAAATATTTTAAATAACAGAACATTTTGTGCTGCCAATGACATAGGACGTGGTGTATGTGTTGAGGATTATGGAAGTGGATTGTTTGTGAAACATGCTGATAACTTTTATCTTCGAGGGATATTATCAACTGTGCTTATTGATGACAGAGAAAAGTGTCTGGTCAATTCCTATGCATTATACACAGATATCGCTAAATTTACGAAATGGATACAGGAACTTCCATTCGATGATTATGATGATGATTATGATGATGAGTATTTAGCTCGTTCTGGGTGAGGATAATTTAGTTTTTTTTGTTCATGTTCCTGGATTTCCATTGACACTTATGATATTGACTATAAAAATCATAATACTTTTGCTGATTTTATTGCAGGCTTATTTGGAGCTGATGATCATCAACTGGATGCTGCAAATGTACAATTTTCTTAACAAACTTTAAATAATAAATTTTTTTTTATTTAAATTAAAAAATTAGTTTTTTTTTCAATTTTTTAATGCCAGGGCTGGTCGATTTGTGTGCCACGGCACTGTTCTGAACAAAGCTAGTGTTTTTTTCGGTGAAGAACAATCAATGAGTAAAGTTGCTCAAAAAAGGTTGAGTACCACTGGTACAGGGGCGTAGCCAGGGGGGGGCCATAGGGGGCCCGGGCCCCCCCTACGAAAATCTGATAATTGTTTTATTAAGTATTTATAGAGAAGAACCAGTTAATGTAGAGGAAGTGATGAAAGAAATGTCAAAATCAGCACAAAAAATCAAATTTAATGTATATCCCCCCCCCCCTCTCCCAACCTGTCCTTTGTTCAGCACTCCCTGACTACGTTCCGTTCAAGCTACTTAAGCATTCATTATATCGCGATCTATCTGAAAATAATCTTGCCTAATACCAAGAAAATAATTTATTGCTACTCAAAAAAAAAACTGGTGGGGAAGCAAGCGAGATTCAGCTCTATTTTACTCATAATCTCTTATCGCTCAGAGAATTAAGAATGTCAATTAATTCGCTGAAATATCAAAAATATTCATCATATAATTACAGTAATAAGAATAATTTACAGTCAGTCAATCATCAATTTTTAACGTTGAGCTTAGTGTTATGTTACAACGCATCAATACATTGAATTTTGAACTTAGAAAAAAATTATTATGAGGCTGAATTGGCACATTTTGTCATTCTTCATTGCGATCAACTTTTTGGGGATATTTTGGTAAGAAATCAAGAAATTTGGGTATGTTGGGTTGATTACTATGGACACTGTACCCAAGCTACAAAAAAATTAAAAGTTGAGGCTACACTTTGTTGAATTTACCGATTCACATGCCTGGCTTATGACTCGTGGCAACGATATTGTAACAACACGTCGACACGAGGTATTACATGTTAAAGCCACGACTGTCCTTAAATCCCAACGATGTCATGATTTGAACCCAGCCTTGGTGCCGCTCGAGATTGTTTTACTATTTATTAATTAAGTTGATTAAAGTTCTTCTGTTTGATAACAAAAAACTGCTCATTTGAATTTATTTAATACTTATTTTTACAGTCAACAAAACATTTCACTTATTGGATCTCGATATGCATCAATTGACTCTAAATATAAGACATATCTCTTGCAAGACGGTGCAGACGCGAACGTTATAGTTGAATTTGATAAACAACGAGTTGATGATCAACTTTCATTTGGTGAAATTGCTTTTGATGTGAGTATGACTTTTGGGTTATTTTAAAGGCTCTGTAGTTCGAAAGTCAAGGATTTTGAGTGGATGATTGGTTTAGAAGGAGATAATGAACCTATTAATGATGTTTTGATCTGCTTCTCATTTTCTTATGAATCAGATCTTGATGTTATTTAATACTAAGGTTTGGTTGATCCATATAGCCATAGATACCGGCTCCACCACCGTAATCCCTTACTTCCCTTTGAGAGATTCACTCGTGGCTATAAACCAGTGTTTCTCAAACTTTTCAGACCACAACAAAGCGTAGGGAAAGGAAGAGGGGGATTGATTGACAAATTTTCCCCTATGTGAACAGAAATGATGATCCAACTTTTTTGGCATCACTTTTTAACATAAATTATTATTTTGTTCCGATAATCTTTTTGAGTAGCGTCTACGATTTTCTCATGGATCAGTAAGGCTCCGCGGAACACAGTTTGAGAAACACTGCTCTTTTCGATATTTTTTTTGTTTTAAGACGGCGAACTTTGTTATCGATTAGGGGTGGTTCATAAATTACGTCACACACTGAAACTTTAATTTTTAAACCGCCTCCCTTCCCTCTTCTCCCTTATCCCTTCCCCACTTTCCCTCCTTCCCCCTCCCCAATTTATTTCGTACCCCTTCCTCCTTCCCCCTACTCCCCTTCCCCCTCGTCCCCTTTCCTATTGCCACAAAGCTAGTATTAAAGGAAATGACACAAAATATTCTACACCCTTCTTTTCTAAAGTGTGACTTAATATGCAAAAGACCCTTTGGTTCCCGAATTAAAGCTTATACCATATTTTTGTATATTATCTCAACAGGTCCAAAACGATGTCCCAAAATATGAAATCAAATTATCTTCAACAATAAATAATGTTTGTAAGCAGCAATCAGTTAATATCCTTAACATAGCACACAGTCCAATCGTACTTGTTCAGTTTAACAAGCCAATTTACAGAACAAATGAAAGTTTTAAATTCCGAGTGTTCATTTTGACAAGAAAATTACTTCCGATTCCTAACTTTGGTCCAATTGATGTGCATATAAAGGATTCGGATAATAATGATGTTGTAAGATTCCAGTCAGATAGAAAAACTAATCAATTTGGTGTCTACGAGGAGGACATAAACATTCGCGATCTTCAAAACTACAAACCTGGAGTATGGACAATAGAAGTTAAGGCTAAAGACAGAAAAGTCACTAAAACATTTGAAGTTCAAGATTCTAATGATGGTGCCGAAGTTTTTGTGGAAGCTCCTTCAACTGTTGCTTTTGTTGACCGTAAAGTATACCTGAACATCTACACTAAGGACTCATTTGGAAGGTCGGCTGAAATTTATTTAAAAGCAAGTTTCGTAAATTTAACACGTGTTGAAATTAACAAGCATGTTAAAAGTGTTCGACTGACAGACCTCAAGACATCAGTTTCATTGGACTTTCAGGAAGACTTGGACATTAAATATCCAACAGCTGACATAAATCTATCATTCACTATTCAAATATCTGGTCCAAATCCATCGACAGTCATGAAAAACATCATAATGAAGTATAAAGGAAGGAACACAATCACAACAATTAAGAAAAAATATTTTAAGCCAGGATTTAAATTTCAAGTTAAAGTTCGTGTTAAAGTGCTCGATGGAAAGCCTGACAATTCACTAAATCAACTTTCAACGACCATCCAGTATGTGTCCAAATTGCAAAATGGACAGAATGAACCAAAAATTGATAAGAAAACATTTCAAACAAATTTAAAGAATGGCGAAACTTTCCATCATCTCCAGCCCAAAGCGGATACGGATAAAATTATACTTTCATTTGAATTTGCAGACACAAAGCTTACAGAAGTGATTGAGAGATTTCCAGGAGCTGAAGAGTACATGATGATTACCATGCTTACTAAAAAGTAAGGATATTGATGCGACTAGAGGGTTTGGTCGGGGTTTTAGGCTCGTAGCTGCCTTCAAATTCCTAGCTGCACCTCTAGTGAGGCCAGCGTGCCTTCTGTCGATTACCTTTAATCATTTTTCAACAATTTGTTTCAGTACAACAGTCGGTTCGACAGTCCAAATGAGAGTCCAATCCACAGAAGAAATGGAACTTCCTCGATTATTGGTTTTTGGTACGAAAGGAATAATTCAGAGCCAGACATTTAATGATTCAGTTGGAAAAGATGTTTTTGAATTTTCATTGGAACTGACCGATGAGATGAGACCAGAAGCACATGGACTTGTCTTTTACACAAGAGATGCTGATGGTGCAATGGTCTATGATGAATTCTCAATAAAGATTGGATTTTCTATCAACAATTCTGTAAGTTTGAGGTCCTTAACATCATTTTAGTATATCAAATTAATAAATATTCAATTTTCTAGCTTGAAATCTCAGCACCAGAATTAGTCAAAGCAAATGAAATAGTGGACATCACTGTCAAAACTGAGGAAGGTTCTCAAGTATTTATAATAGCAACTGATGTGAATTCAGCACTATTTAGCTATGAAAATGAAATTTCAAGAATCTCAGTTTATAACGAGCTTGTTTATCACTTGATCAAGAAATTTGAGCCAACTTCAGATTATTATTTTGAAAAATTGAATGCTTTTATCTTAGATCCTCTCCGAAATGGCAGTGACTGTACATTTAGCTCCCGTTCTGCAGTTGGCGATTATGATGATGTTCAGCAAAATACAAATATTGACAAGACTCCACATAAATATTTTCCAGAAGCTCTACTTGAGATTGCCTATGTAGCCACAACAAATGAAAATGAAACAATTCAAATAAAATTTCCAGACAGCACGACAACATGGAAGTTTTATGGAATTTCCGTTCATCCAGAAAAAGGATTTACAGTCGCTAAAACACAGCCAGAAGTGAGCGTTAAAGCTGTACAAAAAGTAGAAAAATTGCAGTTAATGTTAAGAGGACCACAATCAATTAATCAAGGTGAAGTTCATGATTTGCACATTATAGTAACAAATGAACTTAGAACCAATCTTAAAGCGACAGTTGTTGTTAATATCGAAGATGGATTTTTCATCAAGGAAGTGCCATTTGGTAATCAAAATTGTCGAGAACATAAAAAATCATCGTATGAAGAATTTGAACTTCAATTCACACCTGAAAAACACGCTCCATACAGAACACTTCGAGTTACTTCAAACAATGAAAAATCTATAAAAATTACAGCCACAGTTACAGCTACAACAGGTAGAGCCAAAGATGAAGCATCAACGGAAATTCAAGTTCGTAAAAATGTTAACGATTTGGTGAAGAAATCTTTAAGGAATGAATTAATTGACATAACTAATGCTAATCCGAGATTTGAAACGATCCTTAAAACATCAGCTACCATTTATGGAAATATTCTTGGACCAGCAGTTGATGGACTTGAGAAAATATTGTAAGCTTTTTTTGTAAGATTAACTTTAGAATGGTGAAATGGCATCAGTGACCTAAGTGGTTGCCTTACGTCCCAAAGGTTCTGGTTTCAATCCAAGGCCAAGTCAAGCTCTTTTTCCATTTCACAGTTCGAGTTACGAAGCTCGGTTGGGGTGTTTAGTGTAGTTTTGAGGGCTACGGCACTTAAAGTGTCTCCTTTGCTAGGCATACAAGGATATACAAAAATCTGGATGGTTTCATTACAGCATCTTGAGCACATGAATTATGACAAGGTACATTGCAGGGTACATCAGGTCTTTAGACGTACTCGTGTCTTTGCAATGTGCAGAGCTTGCAATTGGTTTAGATTCCACTATAAACTGTTGGCCT